AGCAAAATTTACCACTATGGAGCTAAAAGTAAGAAATTTTTATTTGTACTAGCAATTATCAAATACAATATGTACTTTGCACTTTTTCAATTTGCTCTAATGGAGTTAATTTGCAAAATTTATTTAATAATTCTTAACCCCTTCAATGGTAACTTTGTTGTTAATGCTCTTTAGTTTCATTTCTTGTAATATACTGTGTTGAACTTACAAAATCTAAATTTGAATGTGTATTCGGATTTTACAATGCTAAAAATGGTAATTTACACATATTCCGAATGGTGTCTGGCCCAATTGGGTCGATGCTTCATACTGTATTCAGGTTTTATATATTAAACTTCATTATACACTAAACAATGTTTATTTATGAATCATCATATAAATATTCATTTTCAATTGAATATTATTCAATACCTAATTAGAGATTATATTTTTGATGAGAAGAAACAGTGATACCTTTATGTAGATATTATACAGCAGGGGTGACCAACTTTTGTGTACATAAGATCTACTTTTTATCTTAAAATGTGTTGCAATCGACTTGTTGTCGTAGACATAGTCTAAGTGGAAAGGGGGTGGTGTGAAATACAAACTCTGTTTAGATAGGTAAGAAAAGCCACAATTTAATTCAAAACATGAAGAAAAGTTACATTGTAAACTGAAAAAAAATTGAAACACAATGTTGTCACCACTTCACCCTTCCTCTTTCTACCGTCTCCCGACCACCCTGTCCCTCTTCTCGCCTTTCTTTTTTTCGGTTTTACAATTCTTTATGTACATTTCTTAATCCCCTTTTACAACTGTACGCAAATGGAACGACAAAACTGCATCTGAAGGCGGATTTGGTAGTCCAATATCATTACAGTTGCGTTTGAGCGTTACGTTCGGTTACAACAAGTGTAACACATTAATTCAAGATATCGCGAGCGATCGACCAAAATTGGCTTTGCAATTGACTTGTTGGCCACCTCTGTTATACAGGTTACGTTGTTTATTGGTACGTAATACTAAATAACATACACGACTCTCCAATACCTGAAAGGGAAACCGACTTTCTTTAAGTCTTCAAACTGCAAATGAAAATATTTGAAAAATGCATCATTTGACGTTTTGTAGAAATACATCTGTTTTCCCTTTTATGTCTTTCTCTCAGCTTTCCTATGCAGTTCTATCCAATTAGACTTCCGATAAATAATTGATATGACAACGTACAGCTAGAATTCTTATCCTGAAAATCATAAATCCTTTGAAATCCGTTATAGCTCTTTTTCAAATAGAGAATTTGAATTAAGACGTTTTGAACCCAAAATAATCAATAATGATTATTAATTTCATAACTTTGCAACTGTTTAAAATACAGTTTATTATATTCAATTGGTAAATAAATCACAATCATTAAATAAACATAANACTTTATAAATCTTTACAAAAATTAAACTTAAAACCCTTCTAAACATATCTCATAAGGCCTCATTTTTTCTAAGGTGTTTAGAAAGGCCTTAATTTTAATTTAGCTAAAGTATGTATAACGTTACATATAAGGCCTAGATTTTCTAAGCTTTCTAGAAAGTTTATATTCGTAATTATATAAAATATTTGGAGAAAATTTTGAATTTATCTGCAACAGATGCTGGATTTCATGAAGAGATTCGGAAGATTTCCCATTGGAATATCGATCGCTGGTTTCTTTTACGTAAATAAAAAATTTGCAATTAGAGTAAGTGATGACAATTATCATAAATATATAAAGGTTTATGTAAATTATTTAAATGAGTAAATTATTTTCAGATGATCAGCGCTGTTTATTCTTTCCTCTCCACACTCATACAATTATCAAGCACTGGAAAGGAATGCAAAATGACGCATAAAATTGACTCTTATGTAAATAAAACAAGCAATTAATGGTTGAATCATCAACCAATATAACAATAAATTGTGTATGTAATTTTCTCTATCTACCAAAAAAAATGTATATCTTATGTAATGTTCTTTTTAAGAAATATCAATGTATTTATAGAGATTGTAATTAAAGTACCCATATTTAAGGCTATAAAAATTACTAGCAATTATCAAATACAATATGTACTTTGCACTTTTTCAATTTGCTTTAATGGAGTTTGATTTGCAAAATTTATTTAATAATTCTTAACCCCTTCAGTGGTAACTTTGTTGCTAATGCTCTGTAGTTTAATTTCTTTTAATATACTGTGTTGAACTTACAGAATCTAAATTTGAATGTGTATTCGGAGTTTACAATGCTAAAAATGGTAATTTACACATAATCCGAATGGTGTCTGGCCCAATTGGGTCGATTCTTCATACTGTATTCAGGTTTTATATATTAAACTACATTATACACTAAACAATGTTTATTTATGAATCATCATATAAATATTTAACTTCAATTGAGTATTATTCAATACCTAATTACAGATTATATTTTTCATGAAAAGAAACAGTGATACCTTTATGTAGATATTATACAGCAGGGGTGGCCAACTTTTGTGTACGTAAGATCTACTTTTTATCTTAAAATGTGTCGCGATCCATTTGTTGTCGTAGGCACACTCTAAGTGGAGAGGGGGTAATGTGAAATACATACTATGTTTAGATAGGTAAGAAAAGCCACAATTTAATTTAAAACATGAAGAAAAGGTACTTACATTGTAAACAGAAGGAAAATTGAAACACAATGTTGTCACCACTTCACCCCTTCCTCTTTCTACAGTGTCCCGACCACTCTGGTCCTCTTCCTGCCTTTCTTTTTTTCAGTTTTACAATTCTTTGTCTACATTTCTTATTCCCCTTTTACAACTGTACGCAAATGAACAGCACATGGACCGACAAAACTGCATCTGAAGGAGGATGCGGTGGTCCAATATCACTACAGTTGCATCTGAGCGTTACATTCGGTTAGAAGTGTAACACATTAATTCAAGATATCGCAAGCGATCGACCGAAATTGGCTTTGCGATTGACTTGTTGGCCACCCCAGTTATACAGGTTACGTTGTTTATTGGTGCATAATACTAAATATTGTACGCATCTCTCCAATACCTGAAAGGGAAACAGACTTTATTTAAGTCTTCAAACTGCAAATGAAAATACTTGAAAAATGTATCATTTGACGTTTTGTAGAATTACATTTGTTTTCCCTTTTATGTCTCCCTCTCAGCTTTCCTACGTAGTTCTATCCAATTAGACTTCCGATAAATAATTGATATGACAATGTACATCTAGAATTCTTAACCTGGAAATCATGAATCCCTTGAAATCTGTTGTAGCTCTTTTTAAAATAGAGAATTTGAATTAAGACGTTTTGAACCCAAAATAATCAATAATGATTATTAAATTCATAATTTTGCAACTGTTTAAAATACAGTTTATTATATTCAATTGGTAAATAAATCACAATCATTAAATAAACATAAATGTATTCGTCGTATAATAAATACAGAACTGAATAAAAGTCGCATTAACATATGAAGTAGGATATTTTATAAAACAGAAATGGAAATATTTCATTACAAATAACTTAAAAAATGTATCGAACAAGTGATAATGGGTATCAAACATGTTTCTTATAGAACTAGTCCTATTATTGCAACAATTCAAAATACTAATCCTTGAAGCTGCAGTAACACGCAACCAGATTGAGCGAATCAAGTATTACAACAGATAATTCTACGCTCTGTTGGGTTGCACGTAAACATTCAAGTTAGACAGACGTTCACAGTATCTTCTAACTCGAAATGGCCTAAATTGGTTTTAGGAACGTTATTTTGGTGTACAAAACTTCAATCTTTTTACATTATATACATAAATAAATTTGAATAAAAGTGGTCAAAGCTAAAATGTCAACTAAATTTTTTATAATCTGTGGACTAGTGTAAATTTAATGATTTTCATCATAAATATAAAGAATAATAATAAATCATTATAAATGTTGAAACTAAAGACAACAAATTATAAATATTTATATGTGTATATATATATATATATGTACAATAGGCACTCAGAGCCAATTTTTTAATATTACCGTGCCTTTATCCCAACTCCAAAATCGTAATTTAGAAATTATGGAGTGTAATTTACTAAGTAAAAATTATAAAATCTTTACACAACTATGCACTTTAACTGAAGAATCTCGTGATAAAGAACATTCATTACTTAATGATCATTTTGACGATGGCACCATTTGTTCCCTGCAGGGTATTATTAAATTTAACTTTTGGAACTCTACGCATACAACTCACTCCAGGATACTAAAAACTTGTAGAAACCAATATTTCAAGCATTTAAATTTCATTTCCTAGAGATTATTTTGATCATTTGTGGAATTTGAATAGTTAGCTTATTGCACAGAATTATCTTACAAGTTACATTTTACAATGATTTTTAAGGCCACCTTAGTTGATTCATTCGAAATATTAAGATTTTGGTCAGAGATGGTTTTTCTATTTATCACGTAAAAACCTTCTGTTGGGACAATTCTGCCTACAGCTTCCGAAAAATTTTACTCTTTGCTGCAGCGAGAGTTACTCTCGTTAAATATATTACATAAGAAAAATAAGAGAAATAAGATAAAAATTATATAAGTGAAAGAAAAAGTAAGACAACACAATTATTTGTCTCTAGTATTTAAACCTAACTGTTGATGTAGAAATTCCANAAATTTTACTCTTTGCTGCAGCGAGAGTTACTCTCGTTAAATATATTACATAAGAAAAATAAGAGAAATAAGATAAAAATTATATAAGTGAAAGAAAAAGTAAGACAACACAATTATTTGTCTCTAGTATTTAAACCTAACTGTTGATGTAGAAATTCCAAGCGTGTAATGTATTCTCCCAATCTTTTTCTCTTTATTTCTATTTGATGGATTTCTACATCGGATGATGGCTTTGGCAACATTCTAAAAAATAAAAAAATATATACACACTAATTAAGAATATTTCAATGAAATTCCAAGCGTGTAATGTATTCTCCCAATCTTNGAGACGGTTTTTCTGTTTATCACGTAAAAACCTTCTGTCGGGACAATTCTGCCTACAGTTTCCGAATAATTTTACTCTTTGCTGCAGCGAGGGTTACTCTCATTAAATATATTACATAAGAAAAATAAGACAAATAAGATAAAAATTATATAAGTAAAAAAAAAAGTAAGACAACACAATTATTTGTCTCTAGTATTTAAACCTAACTGTTGATGTAGAAATTCCAAGCGTGTAATGTATTCTCCCAATCTTCCTCTCTCCATTTCTATTTGATGGATTTCTACATCGGATGATGGCTTTGGCAACATTCTGAAAAATAAAAAAATATATACACACTAATTAAGAATATTTCGATGAAATTTAATATTTATATATTTGAAATTCTTACAGCTAATTAGTTTTTAAATACCATTATTTCTTGTGAATAATCTGTGAGTTAACTGTATTTACTGGTCAATTTAAAACTGAGTATAAAAGTTATGTCCATGTCATCCATCAGCTTTAAATTGCAATTATAAACTCACTGGACAGTGTTTTTTTCCATTTAAATTTATCAAAAGTGTCTTTAAAAAACAAAAAATTTCTTTGCGTTTCATACATGCAACTGTTGTCATGATTTTTTCTAGAAACAAATGAAGACACGCACATGTATGGAGCAGCTTTGCTCTTAAGATAAATGAGCTGCAGCTTAGGGCCATGTGTTATGAGTCTATGCTTAAGTCTTCACATTTTTACATGTATCTTTATTTGGTGGAAGGAAGGGAATGTTATGTTACAGCTTATAGCTACAACAAATCAAAATCCAGCCCTACACTGGAAGTCACAGTTAAGTGGTCACAGTACAAATGTTTAATTTTTTGACTTTTTAATACAATGATATTTTAAAATAAAGATTACATGAATTCATTTAATCTGTGGCATAAAATATAGGAAAGAAAACACATAATAATACAAAAATACTCAAATTTGAGGTTGTTTGTCCAATCAAAACAAAAATGCATGTTTGTTTTCCTGATAGCATGTTCAGGGGTCACTGAAAAAATTTTAAAATATCACTACCATTTTGCCAGTTTTACTTACTAATTAATGCAGGTACTGGCAGCCTTATCAGTTTGGTGTCTGGAAAGTAAGAGTAACATGTTTTCTGTCACTACAAAGAGAGGGCCAGATGTTTGGGTCTCTGAATAATTCTGAATGACATATTTAATAAAAATGTTTAAATAGTATTTCACATGTTCTGTCATGTCAAAATTTTTGTTTTAGTCTACTGAAAAAAGATCAAAGTGAAAGAAAATCTCCACAAATTTTCTATCAGTTGATAAAAAGTCCCAATCAGGAAATGTCGGGCAACATATCATGAAAACTGCCTTCGATTCACAACGTTGCTTCCTACTTTTCTGTCCAAACACGCAACGTGATGTCATTAAATTGCTGAGCGTGTGGTGCATAGGAGCTATACATTCTACTGTTTTTCCAGAAGTGTGCTTTATGATTCAATTTCACGGTGATCGTCAAAACAAATGGATTAAGCTTTTTATCACCACTTTAATAAAAAATCACCAAGTGATGATTTTGGCACTATGCAGTGCTACCCCTGCATGATGGTCCTTCCTTTGCTTTTATTAACTTCTGTAATTGTTGCGGCATAGAGTCAACTAACTTTTGGAGTATGTCTTATAGGATCTTGCCACACTCAACATATTTTCCAGAAGTCAGAAAGAATCTTTTTGTCTTATTGGAGGACTCTGCGATCCATTCATCCAAGATATGCTCAAACAGGATTTAAATGTGGGATCTGAAAGGCCATTTCAGTATTCTGAATCCCTTTTTCCCAAAAATTCCTTGGTTTACTGTGCTATACGTTTAGGATCATTGTTGTGTTGAAACAGGAAGTCATCAGAAATGCATTTCTCTGGCAGACTAAAGCAAATTATTGCTCAGAATATTTTGCTCTGTGTTCATTTTGCCTTAAATTCTAACCTCCCATTCCAAACTACAAGCAACAGCCCCACACATTAATGTACTGGAAATGTTTTCACAGTATTGATACAGCTGGTTGCATCAAATGTGTGGTTATTTCTTCTTCAAATCAATTTCCTTCTCCGTCATCTACACCACTCAAATTTAGATTTGTCACTCCAAGTAACCTGGTTCCAAAAATCCAGTCCAGCTTCAGAAAACCTTCTTTTTATATTGTTGATCGATACTGACTTCTTTTATCTCACTTGCTGAGATTTTCAGATTCTTGACAGCCTGAAATTTAAATGTTCTGTCTTCCCTTGTACTGGAGCATCGTTTTCAGCCACTTTTAAGATTTCTAACTGTGCTAAGTATCTTCTTTTGATTTTTTTTTTTAACTTCTTCACAAAACATTGCATGTTCATGGGCAATTTGTCAAATTGACTTTCCTGCTGCATGCTACTCCATATCCTGAATCCATATTTTCTCAGGATATTTTCTTTTTTTTTGGTATTTTAAATAATTGCAGATAACAATTCTTACAGATTAATCTTGGCTAATATGTATACCATTATATAATGTATCATTTTATACTAAATTCACGAGTACCTCCTACCGGTTTCTTTTGCTTTAATTAGAGTTTTGATATACTGACCACTTAACTTTTGACTTCTGAAACTTTCCAGTTCCTAAAGACTCTTTCACTCAAGTGTCTCTCTCTCTCTCTGCTTTACTTACACACTTCATTTAATACAATAACATGCAAATTACATTTGTCCAAACAGAAATCAATTTAATTTGCTTTTATTGCTGAAACATTGGTTCCATGATAAAATGTTTAGTTGTGACCACTTGATCGTGACCTTCACTTTTATGTATCAATCCAGATGTTAATTGATATTATTAGACACTATTATTTAAACTTGTAGCTGAAACTTGCAGCTGATGTTAAGCCTGATAAATTTCTAGTTATTCTACTTCTACCATGCAATGACATTCAAAGAAGTATTGAGAAGCCAACTGTTGTTTTTAGTTACTTTTCTACAGTAAGAACTAAGCAATTAACTCTTGTGTTCATTGGATATTGTAGAGTTTATATACAACTTTCTTAGTAACTTTAAAGGAGTGAGGTATGTAGCAATTCACGTTATGTAGCAATTCACGTTATGTAATGTTTTTATCTTTATTTGAGTAATTTTCTATGAGGTATACATTGATGTAAATTATATGCTGCTGTGGGTTATACATAGGAAATTATGGTAATATATTACTCATCACAAATTGTATATGAAAGTAACAAATAAAACAGTTTGAGAAGAAATGTATAATTTTAGTCCAAACATTACTAGTATTAAATTGTGAATTTTAGGTGCCATGTAATTAATTTTTAATTCATCATAGCCAGATGACCGAAGTTGTAAAATCTATCAGCCTGTTGTTCTAGGGATCAAGATTTGATTGATGTATAGAAATTTCTATTAGTACAATAACCTGAATATGTCAGATTCTATCACCTCAATTATTCTGTCATATTGAAGGCTTAACTGTATTCGTGAGAGTTCAGCTAAGCCTATAATATGCCTTCTTAACTGAATCTATAAAGTAATCTAGCTGAATCTTCATGGATACAGCTAAACTCCTTTGTGTGTTCAGCTATGATAGGCTTAAATAAAAGCCTTCATAGTAACTGAAAAGACAAACAATTACAGAGAAAAGCTTTATTGATTAAACTCAAAAGCAGCTTAAGTCATTGCCCAATTGAAATTAAATACATAAATAAATAGAAACTTTAAAAAAATATTATGTTCAAGTATCTATGTGATGATGTTTTGATTAATGCAATAGAGGAATACAATACAACTCTTACTTAAGACTTTTATGTGAATCGACAGTCTCCGAAACGGTTGGATTACTCTGAATGGACTGTTTCCTACAAGGCAGAGAATTTGAACAAAATGGATGAGTATGATGACCATGGAGAGACGACGGAGACGACGATGAATGTAATTTGCTCGAATTAAATACAGCACCTGAAAAATACATTAAACTGTGTTACAAGACAATTGTATATTCTAAAACCATTAATTAATAATATAAAAACTAAGCTGTATATTATTCTGATTACGAGCTAATTTCTCCAAGATTTGTTATACAAGGTGGCAGGTATTATATCTACCAATTTCAAATGAGAAGTAAAAGACAATAAGAAATTGTAGAAACTTTACTTGGCCATTAAATGGAGATCACATATACGCATTTAATACTACTCAGTGCATTTTACCTGTCAATGTATCAGCCATCTCGTTTTGCCAGTGTGGTTAATATAGACCCGACGCCTCTCGCTTAGGGGGGGTCGACCTTAGGTGAAAAGGTTAGGACCCTAGCTTTGCCCACGATCTGTCAAGATGATGCAAGAAAGCCTTTTTACGTTTGGGGGGTAGTGGTTTGCTGGACGCCGAGAGACTCACACAGAGACCAAATTTACAAAATTAACGTGTGTATTTTTAGAAAGACATGCTTACAATGAAACAATCGGGATTGTAGCCTTTACTCCTGCAATCCCGATCTGTGTTGATCGGACTGTTTTCTTCCAACCTCCCCGTGTCCTTGAAGCTATAACTAGAGCGGGCTTATAAGTATTTACTAATGATTCCTCCAACTTCCATCAAACGTAAACGCGTTTTGTCAACAGCTGCATATATGTGCAACAAATTGAGAAGCAGACTTGGTGATGAGACACCGGATGCGTTGTTATTTCTCAGATCGTATTTTCGCAATTCAAATTAGAATGTTCCTATTAGATTAGTTTTCTTTATATTTAAGAAAAATGTGACTGATTAATATTATTTTTAAATACTTTTTGCTAAGAAACTTACTTTACCTACTTACTAGGTTGTTATACGAAAGTAGTCTATTTAGTCGATGTTAAGAGAGATTTTTGTTAATTTTCAACGTTTATTTGCATAGTTTGTTACATAAAGGTTTTTTCAATTTATGTGAGTTTAAAGAGATCTCAGTGATGCTTAAAAAAGAATAAATTTAACATGAAGACTGAGTGATTTTAAGTCTGGTTAGTCTGACTCTAAGTCTGATTAGTTAGAGTGATTAAATTAGCTAGGTGTATATGGTAAAATACGTTGATTTTTGTCTAAATTTTGATTTGTTGATTTCTGTAAGACTTTCTTATTTTTTATTAACCCTCAATACCGAAATAATCCCGGGATCCCGGGATTGACTAAGTATAATCCCGAAATCCCGGGATTAGAAATAAGGACCGGGATCGAATTCCCTACATACAGTATATGAACATTAGCACTTCTTTTAAAATAATGTCTTCTATTGTCAATAAGTATCCATCCGACAAGCATACAAACCAAGCAACAACCATGCAAATGTTGCTTGGTTTGTAAACAGTGGAAGACAAATATCCTCCACTGCTTGGATACATGCTTATGGGTGGCATGGAAAAGCATCTATGAAACATAGCACCATATCCCATGGAATCTCATGCATTTTCCAAAGGATGGGAACAAATCCACCAACAATTGGTACAAAAAGCATTACAATATCTGCAAAATTGTTGTATGGCACAATGCTAAGCAACTGACTCTGAGGGCTGCGGGAACACATCCCAAATTTTTTAGCATGCGAGCACTTATCCTGTGATCTATTGACTGACCGTCCTGAACACTGTCCTGACTCCATTGTTTGACCCATCACAAAATGATGTACTGCTCTGACATAGGTGCATGGCACTCTTCTGTTGCATTGAAGCATCTGTTAGACTTCTGAAATGGATTTTGTAATATCTCTACTGCCACAATCCATGTTTCTTTTGCCCAGCATTCCATTGTGAAATGATTACTAGCCTTTCAACTACGTAGAAATGTTTGGAGTACCACACATATTCATATGCATTCTAATAATGCTACAACTTGACATTGGTAGATACCACCCTGTATAATAAAATGAATTGCTGAAAAATTTTTGATACAAATAGAGAGATATATCAATTTATAAAGTAAATGCATGTAAATGGAATTTTCCTAGATTTTTGCATGGTTTCTATTGATTACTAAAAGTGTGACCATCAGTTTCATAGTTTTTATTGTGTTTCCAACTCTCACAATTAGTCTAGAAAAGCAAATAATGTGTTAGTGATTCAAAATATTTTGCAGATCAATAAAATAAAAAATAAATTATAATCTTTTTATAAATTACAATCATTTTAAAATCTTTTTTATTTTGTTATATTTTCATTTAACTTGAAAATTAATTAAAGCTTTAGCTTCATGGAATACAAATAAACTATTCATGGAAGTCTCATATTTGTGGCATGGTTGCATATGAAAAGGAAGGATTGAGTGTAGAACAATTATATATAACAAATTAAGTAAATTTTGGCATTAACTTATTACCTTAACGTCACAATTAGTAGGAAAATAAACTAGAGAGAGGAAGCATTATTTAAGAGAGGAAATATATTTACATCATAAACAAATCTGTATGACATGACTTACTTAATTTCCTTTGCAAAATAATTATAAATTCAATGAAAATCATCTCTGTTCTAATTCTAAACGTAAAATGGGTTTTAGATGCCGCTAAAATAATTCTAATGGTTGAAGGGATAATTCAGATTTAGAAATGTTAATTTGAAGGTAATTGTCCAATTATGAATCCATCTTAGATCAATGTCACAGCTTGCGACTTGGCAACTTATTGTTAGAAACAATTAGTAGTTTTAAGCTACAACTTTCAGAACCTTCTAGCCTTTTGATGTGCAAAGTTATATTGAAAACATTGAGAACAAATGATTAAACATTAAAAAACAAGAAGAATTAAGAGTAAAATCCAGAAAAGAGCTAATTATCTTTCAATTATAAGTACTAGTGCATACTAATACAGTTGTCCCTTGATAATCCGACAGGTATGGGACCAAAGGTGTGTCAGATTACCAAAAGTGTCCGGATTACCGAAAATAATTACATATTTCGCATTGTTTTGCTAGCAGTAACTTACAATATTCTCTATTTCAACTGTTCGAACAGAACTGCTCACATAAAACACACGAAATGTGTGTCATCGAGTAAGAATTGGATGGGGAGATTCACATCGCGACATGCTTCTGTGCAAGCAGACACGTAATCGGGACCTTGACGGGAGGTGCGTCGGACTACTGAGCATGTCGAATTAAAAAACGTCGAACTATAGAGAGACAACTGTATATATAAAAGTATAAAAATGTTTGTAAACACAATCACTTTTCACTGCTTTTTAAGTAAAATACATTCAATATCTGTTTCAATTAAAATGTATGTGCCAATTTAATAAAATTTGCTTAAAATTAAAAAGCATATTTTTAAATGTACCATTTTTTATTGCATTTTGTTCCTCAGAATTTAATTCTTGAGTAGCTACATGTGAATTCATAATCTTAGCTGCTTTTCTCCAACGGTGAACCAGATACTTCATACGGTGGACTGCAATAATTGCATAAGCTGCAGATCTAAACTTATAATATTTATGTGGATTGTATTTAAAGGAAGATGATGAAACGCTCTTTTCTTCATCCATGTCACCAATCATCATACACTTTAAAGTCGTCAAAGTTTGCTTTTCTGTTGACTGAAAACCTTCCAGTAACATAAGAAGATAATTCTTCTGGAATATTAAAGCCTGACGATAACTCTCAGAGCGACGGTACTTCCAATACAATCGATGCAACTACGGGTGTAGAAATGTTAATTATTTGAACGCATAATATTTTCTAAATCATAATTAATACTCACCTTAATAATTTGGTGTTCATACTCCTGCATTACCTTTCCACATTTACGTTCAGAATCAAATTCCGCTTGCAGAGAAGAGAAATTAGTCTGTTCCCTTTCAAGTGCTTGCATAAGAGAACGATTGGTGGCTTTTTCCAGACCAAGAGCAGTTCTGAAATTCAAAAATGTATCATAACATAAGGTGCTTGATTATTTAACTATAATAGACTTGTATATGAAGGTTTAGAAAGAATATTATGCAAAGCTACAACAACAAAACAAAAACAGGGACATTACTGTAGTAGTGATCCTCTTACTACTCAAACTACAGTAAAGTATATCAATGTATTCTTAACATGCTGTGTATTGATGTCATCACATATTACAGCAAGTGATTTTGATTCTTGTTGAAAACAACAATCTGAATCAATCAATAATTCTAATGAATAAGTCCGAATGGACAATGCTTGAATCCTTAAGCAAGCACAGAGCTTTAAGATCCCTTTTGGAAGTTTATGTAATGTAAAGAACCTCAAATATTAACTATTATTGGATTCTGAGCTAGTTATGAATCAAGAATAAGTACTGACAAGTATATATTTGTGTATCTGATGCCTATAAAAGCACATCCTTGGTAAAAATCTAGACTTTTTTTGCCTAAAACTATCGCTGTCAATAACTAGATGAACACCATATCAAGTAGGCTATAGACATGTTTATATTCTGCATGGAAGTTGCTAGTCATTGCTGGGAATGACAAGAACAGTGGAGACATCAGCTAACTGGTGTAGTACGGTATAGACACCAAATATTGGAATTGAACACTGTTCGACCACGTGTTGCTAGACCAGAAGTGTGCATCTCTAGTTTCACATCCAGCTGAGTGGAGAACAACAAATGTAGCAAACTTCATAAACTCCACTGTAGTTGGAGTATAAACTGACCTTAATAATTCAATTTATCTTATCACTGTAATTATATTTCATTTCATATATATTTTTAATATATCTAATAAATTGTCCATTCATTATTTAAATAAAATAAACATTTTTATATACTACACTCAGAAAACAAAATGCTTTTTAAGAGGTTATTAAATTGTAACAATATATTTAATCTTTTGTATTCTAGAACATAAAAATGGATTCATTCAAGGTAAAAATATTAAAAGTCTTCATATATTCTTAAATAAATGAATGATCTTCAAAAATTAATGAACAATCCAATTATAGAGATATCCTGAGACAAAAAGGTACTTACAGACAATTTGTTAAATGTTTCTTTTGTTGATCCAAAGCATTCCGCAGACATGCAATTTCCGCTTTGTAAGTAGAGTAGGAACTTTCTAATTCCATGTATGCTTTCTGCTGTTTGTTTAACTGCGATCTCAAATCCACATTTTTATTTCTTTCTGCATCCAATGATTTTTGAAGATCATCTGATAGAACTTTTTCTTGTTTAATCCTAAATTCTAAAACATTTCCTAAAAATTCAAATACAAAAATATCAAAATAAAATTCTTTTATTCCATTTGTGTACGATGTAATATTAAATAAGCTATGCAATAAACACTGCATAAAGTGTAAAAAATATTGAATTATGTAATAACTTCACTCAGATTTTTAGCTAATAAGTTAGAACCGATTTCTCTCTCCTCAGCCTTGTGAGCACTGAGGCCATTTTTCAAGTTTCTATTACGGCAACATTGATAGTTGTAGCCTAACATATCCAGTCAACTATCAAGGATTTAATCTACAATTACCATATTTTCTCAATTAAATCCCATGATCCAAATAAACTCTGAGGAATACAGGCGCTGTCATAAATAAACCCCAAGTTGAAAAGCTTGGAAAATATATTGAAGTACTGCAAAGTGTAGAGTAAAGTAGTTTAGATTTAGAGTGACAGATAAAATGTTTAACTAAAGTTCTACCTCTACAAATTGTCTAGAGTTGAATGGCATTTTTAATTCTACAATTCACAGGATACATTTTTGATAATAAAATTGTAAATATTGTTGAATATCAAGCACAAGAAGGTCAATCAAATTTGTAAATTGAGAACATATCAACCAAACAGTAATTAGAAAAATGCTTTATCATCTTGCTCTCTGTATAAATGTTGTTATATGTAAACATGTTTTAAGATAATGCACAAAAAAACAAAAAAAAAAATTGCAAAAATCTAAATGAACTTGCTACATAACCCAATAAATCAATAATTGTTATCATGTAATTCTCCTTTGTTGACCTAATTTGCATCTCAATAAAGGGATAGTTCTTTGTACTTCAGTATCCTGGACTGTTCAAACAATTTTTCCAATTTAATCCTAGTCAAGTCTATAAAATCTTTATAAATATTCATTTCAAATGGTCATCACATTATTAATTAATAATATGATTTAATTGCAATATTAATTTTAATTATTTCATGGTTAAAATACATCCATACACATATAATTTAAATAAATTTATTTAAAATTTAAATATATATTGTGTTTATAATATTCATGTACAAGGCACAAAGCACCAATTATATCATTATATCATCTCTTCCTGAACTTAAATTTAGTGATATTTTAATAGAGGATATTGTAGGTTAAACTTAAACCAAGACACCTTGCACAAAGAAACAGCACATTAAATTGCCTGTATGTTACTATGGATTAGTAGAGCAGACACACTGCAGACCACAAGTGTCAGTGTACAAATATTGCCTGAAACCAACCAACAAGCTAAAAGGGCAACTGCAACTTTAAACACTCATTGTGGACATTTAGAAAATAAATACATAGTAATATATTACTTTGAGTCTTCAACTGCTCTTCAAGATCCATTTTCTCTTCTTCTAATTTACTTAACTTATGTTCGAGTTCTTCTTTCACTTTTATGTACTGTATCTGTTGATTATTAAGAGCTATTGTTGCACTTTTATATTCTTCTACTAATCTATTGGTGACATGTGTGTTAAGAACTTCATTCTGCACTTCCTAGAAAAGAAAAAGTAATAATTAATTTAAATTTTATATGAAAACTTCATGTATCACAGGAAATCAGATGGCTGTAATCTAATTGTTTAAACACTCTCCCTCATAAAGTGAGATTTGGAACACCTAATTTGCAGCTTTATATTATTCCAGAATGCAGCATGTCTACTTTAAATAGTTATTTACTGTATTTCGCCAATTGCAAGATGTACATTTATTAACGTACCTTATCATCTCTGTATCACTTCAGTTACGTAGACTAACAAAACTACAACTGTTTGATTCAACTAAAATTTAAATCCTCATTTGAAATGTCCTCAAAATGATTGTATTATGCAGCATTGAAACAAAACATGCAATGTAAGCAGAAGAACATGAAAATGATGCTTTGGAGCATACATATATATACAGCAGAGTCTCTATAATCTGACATATATCAGACTGGCAAGTAACAGATAACAACAAATTATCAGATTACTGGAATTTGAATGTACAGTAAAATTGCAATTGGTTCACAGGTTACTTTATCAAATTAATCATGATTCTGACTGTTTTTCAATTGCATGTGAAATAAACAACTAGTCCATCAATTGTCAAACTGACAAGTGATAGACTATAGACACACTACTGTATCGTGTTCATATAATTGCTGTGTTCGAACATTTGAAATTTTGTATTCCGGTTGAAATAATCAATCAGAATTTATTATTCTGTTACTAAAGATTCCTAATGATAATCTATAAATTAGACTGAAAGTGTTAATCGAATATGTTTTTGCTGTGTAAAGGTGTTGTTTATTTGAATCCAATAAATGTATCTCCACACTGATATAAACTAGTTAACATGTTGCTAGTTTATAACAATAAGTACATACATCTATAATTTTTATTATCTGTTAATTCTATTTATTTTCCTTCTACTTAATTTTAAAATTACTAATTAAATTTAAATTCAAAAATAATTATAATTTCTTAATCTTATTACCAAGTCTGTTATCCTCTCATTCAGTTTCTTATTATCGGTGCTGATAGCGTTATCGGTGGTGTGAACTTCATTCCGTAACTTACTGATCAGCTTTTCTTGTTCACTCCTGAATGCCGACACTATTTGCTCTATGGTATCTTTCCAACTCTTGTTTTCAACACCCTGAAATTTTTACTAATTATAAATATTTGAAAATATTTATATGTAATCAAATTAAAAAATTAATCGTTACTTCTCTGATAAGTTCTTTTAAAGAATAGATTTCGTTGAGCAGCATCTGTCGTTCTTGGAACCATTCTTCTGAAGTCAGACAAGACTTACCGGTCTCTGACGATGGAGTTAGATGATGCTTAAGCAGTTGCCTTTCCGTTAATGACAGAACCTGAGTAGTTCGTATTTATTATTTACAATTATTATTAAGAAAAGATAATACTTGTAACAAAAATTGTATGTCTTTACAGACTTATGTAAAATAAATATGATAGACAAAAAAATTTGTTTTAATGATGTTAAAAATCAAAATAAGTGATTTTGAATATACCATTGGAAAAGTTTAAAAGATCATTATTATAGTAATAGATTGAATTCATAGAGTAAGCCAATGTAACGTTTAAATAATCTACCAAAGGTGCTTTCCAGGAGAAAACTGTCCTTTATTTAGGTGTTAGACATGTGAAGAAAACATGAAAACTCCACATGACCAGCCTGTTGGTAAGATGTAAACCACTGTTCAGTGGTTTTAACGTTTTAATGTGTTTCTTACATGTTATCAACATAATGGTGAGTTCTTCCATGGTGTACTATAGTAATGTTATTTGTGTTTACGACAGGTTTCTATAAAAATAAAATATACGTAAATAAAATAAATAACAAAGAAATTATTTTTGTGATAACTTCATTTGCTTTATATGTCACTCCACTAATTTGAAAAACCTCATACAATAATTTGGATTAGAAAGAATTCATTGTATTTTGATTTTAAACTCCATTAATACAAATTTTTCCACATTTTAAACTTGTGGATCAATTTTTGTGTTTTTAATGTAAGATACGAAAAAAAATATATATATTTACCTGAACACCTTCTTTGTAAACTTTCTTTAAAAGTTTTTCTATGTTACTCGGTAGTGCGCCATGAATGTCTTCTTCCGTGCATACGGTTGTATTCTGCGAGCTGGATATATCAGAATTAGACGTGTCGTCTCTTGAATTAAAGCTTCTTCTCTCGGAATTCAAATCAGATCTAGATTCTGAAACATCAAATGTAACCATTAATCTATATCTTCTTTATTTAATAATTTTAAAACAATCTGACTTATATAAAATATGTTTAAGACATTTTCTGCAATGCAGTAATTACACATCCTATGAATGTAGACACATTTTCCATTTTTAATATTTTTAGGATAATTTCCTTACAAGTATTTCTAAATAGTCAAAGCTTTGTATATTAAAAGAATTTATTTACACATCTATATTAATGAATTTCATTTTTAAACCACTGAGAAGACTATAAAAACAATGTCAGATAAATTTAGATAAGTTGAATTGAAAGAATATGATAATGTCCCTTCAATTCATGGATGATTTGTTAAAGAGAGAGTGCCTTCTGAGAGAACATTTCTATGGAAAATTGGTTCCTATTTTGATGTGAGACAGAGAAAATTCCACCTGATTGGATACAAACCCATAACTGACTGCTAGAATTTAATGAGACAGTAGACAGGTTATGACATCTACAAAATAACTTTGTTTTTATCCAGAATAAACTAATTACTTTAAGAATATCAACACAATAAGATTATATAGTATAAGAGGAATATTAGTTTATTATTTTACTTAAATATTAATATATAATTTAAAATTCCTTTGACAACTCCTAGTATAAGTGGGCCCAATCTTTAATAAGATTAATCAGTATAGTAGAGGAATGGAGAACAATGCCAACTCATACTATCTCTGATAAATTAAAGAAATTTATACAGGGCTTCTATAAAATTTCGAATAATGCATTACAACAGAATGGAACAACTTTCTGTCCAGAAGTGACTCTCCGACATCAGCTGCATATCCTCCATCACAAATTACCTTAACTCTTATGCTATAAAATGGAAAGACAAGCAAGGACATTGTAAGAAAAGATTACTATCTCCAGCAATTCTATCACTATCACTGTAAAACTGACAAATTAAATTATTAGCTTGTAATTATGTATCACTTTAACTTTTGGTACAAAATAATAATGAAAATGATGAAACATTACTTTTAATTATTAAATTAAGCTTATGTATACAGTAGAGCGTCGTTTATCCGAATCAAATGGGGAATGAGGTTGTTCGGATAACTTATGTACGAAATTCGGATAACTTATGTAGAAATTCGGATAACCGATTATGTACAAAAAAATATATTAACCTGTCCTGTAGGTTAATATATTTTTTTCCCGTAGGTTAATATATTATTGAAATTTTTCTCCGTTGCATGTCCCTTCACATTGAATTTTCGTCGATGTTAAGCCTAACGTATATTTTTTAAAATAATAATTGTGGCTATTGTATCGTTAAAAAATATTTCTTTATTTCTTACAAACAAAATAAATATACTGAAAAATATAAAAACCAAAAAATATATACTTTAGAAAATGATCTACTATCAAAAACGTTCGATTCAGCATGACACACAGTCCTCAGAAAAACATCACACAAAAGTGCCAGTGCTGTCAGCTAAAAAAACACACACCAACCAAAAAAAAAATATTGGAGTAGCTCAAGATATAGCTAAAGATTGCAGCGCCACAGCACTAGCGAAAATTTAAATTTGCCGACTGGAATGCTTTCGGATAACCGACGTTTTGGATAACTGACTTTCGGATAAACGACTCCCTACTGTATTTATAACCTAACCTAAAGTATAACATTTATACTTACTTTGCAACAAACTCTTCAATGTTTTAATTTCATGTTTGTAATTATTCTCTAGCTGAGCCAGTTTATTCTGATACATTTCTTCAAAATTATTTTGTAACACCAAGATCCTTTCTTTCATTTCATTATTAGCTCTTTCAATTTCATTTTGGTGTAATGCAATCAATCTTTTCTTTTCTTCTTCCCAATTTCTTTTCAATGTCTCTTCGAATTCCTTCATCGCTTCTTCTTGCTTTTCCTGGGAGTTAATTCTTTCTGAACAGATCTGTTTTTCATACTGCGATTTCATGTAATTGATGTTCTCATCATGTTCCAATTCCAATTTTTGTTTTTCTGAATTATGAGTTCTTGCTAACTCTGCCTTACAGTTCTGCAGCACTTCTTGAAAATGATTTTTCAGTTCTGCCTTTTCGTTCTCATGTTTTTGTTTCAAGCTACTTTCGAGAGAATTCAACTTTTCCTTATGCAAGTTAATTAAGACTTCTTTCTCATCGTGGAATATTCCCTCTAAGTGTGATTTTATGTGACTGATTTCCTCTTCATGTGTCTTCTGTAAGAGTGATTCAACTTTCTTTGCTTGTAAATTAATATCTTCTATTTGTATTTTATAGTTTCTCTCTATAATTTCTTTTTCCTCTTTACTTTTATTTTCTACCTCAACCAGTTTGTTCTGAAGTTGTTCTAGTTTCATAATTAAGTTTGTATTTTCTTCCTGAAAATTCGTCTTTAGTGTTGTCAACTGTTCATTTAATGCTTTACATTCTAGGCAGTTCCTTGCATCTGATAGTTCTCTATTAAAACCAGTTTCTAGTTCTTCAAATTCTTTTCTCTGTAAGAAATTTGACATTTATATACGATATTAATGACTATATACTTAACATTACAGTAGAAACTTGAGTATCCAAATATATTGGAATTAGAGACTTTCCTGATAAACAAAATTTCAGATAATTTGGAAACTTATTTTTGTGTTTTGGGTATGTAAAGGACCATGAATTAGAGTTTTGTGAACCATAAATACTGTAATGCAATTACTGTATTTGAAAGTAAATTAATTTACTCAAAATCTAGTCTAATGTTATGTATATGACCCAGTTTTACAACACTACAATTAAAAAATGGATGGTCTGTTATTGTCTGGAAGTTCCAGTTATGTGGAAAGTTTGATTTCTGTGTTTTATACCTTATGGTACAAAAACAACCCTAAACATTTGTTTCGATTATTTATTTTTTGAAAATTGTTTTGGATAATTCGATGTTTTGGGTAATCAAGTTTCAACTGTAATATAATGCATATTAATAATGATAGCACTTTTAATATTATATATTCAATCTTTGTTCAAAATGCCTTCATGTTCTTCAGTTTTTCTCAAATTTCTGTAAGATTTCCCTCAACATCTCTGGTAAATCCCTTAAAACAATTTTCCTTAACCTCCTCTTTCCAGAAAATCTTATCTTACTGTCAGTTTTAATTCAAATTTTCCCAAAATCTCTTACTTCTTCATCAGTTTCCTTACAATTTCTTTAAAATTCTCTACAATATTCAGGGAAAAATTTCTAAACAGGGGGCTTCACTTTCTCCACAAGTAATGAAATTAAATAATTAACTTCTGAGTGCTAAAACTTGGCTATTTAGTGGAATAGATATTTCACGGAAAAACATAAAATACATATTTGAATTTCCATCGAATGAATAAATATTTTATGCTTATAGTTCAAATGCCTGATATATACAAGTATGATTGTGCAAATCTGAACTAATTGAGACCTGTAACAGTGTCAGAATGACAGTAAACACAACCAAAACTACTACTGCATGGTTTGGAGCATCATCATGCTTAATGGTCGCACTGAGCTCCATGTTTTTTACAGTAGTGGCATTGCTTGCAATGCCACTACTGTAAAAAGATACAGAGACAAAGATTTGCAATCTTACGTGATACATTTCTAAGATGCGATTATGCAGATTTCATTTTTATAAATGATAATGTTCAAGCACACAATGCTACATTCATTTATTACTTTCTTGACAGTGAAGATAGTTGATGCACGGAATGAGTAGCAAAATCTCTAGACCTAAATCCCATTACACACGAGTGGTATGACAAATGAAGACAAGTTGCATATTGTTGCCTCCAAGAAACACTTCAGGAGCATCAAGATGCTCTTGTTCAAGAATGGGCTTTGCTCTAAATGGAGCTGATAAATGATGATATAATGAAAATGAGCAATTGCTGTTCAGTGTATGTATATGTAAAAACTACAATACTCCACTTACGGATTATATTCTACATCATTCTGATCAGTGGTCCCTGAGATATTGGCATTAATGTTTTGGACAGAAGTGTATATTAAAACTTTTGAGAAATAAAATTGCTTATTAAATTTTTTATGTAGATAATTATCAAAAATTTTTAAAGAATAATTTACTTGATTGTAAGTTTCTTCCTGTAACTGAACCAATTCCTTTTCTTGTTGATCCGCTATTTTCTGTATGACGTCAAAATCCTCTTGCAGTTTCTCCTGAAACATATAAAACAATATATAATATCAAATTTTTAGATTATGACCCTATAGAAAAACATAGAAAATGTAAACACATCACTTTACATACTAATCTATGGAAGAAAAGCAACTGACAAAAAATACTGGTCAAAATGATATTTTTTTATTTATTCTAAGTTAGTTTTTATCCATTACTTTATTTTAAAACATTAACAATTGAGAGTATTTGTCAAAAACAAAATATAACTTCTTGTATTTTAATGCCATTATTTTGAAGTGACACATTAAAGCCAGTTGATACTCCAATTGCAGCTTGTAGCATGTGAATAGTAGAGCTCACTATTAGAGCACTCATTATTAGAGCACAGTATGCTCTAATAATGCCATGAATGATGTGTTACATGGTCTGTGATTTAGAATGTAGCTCCATTACCTTCCAGAGTCCATATAATTGACTCCGTCTTGTCTAGTGTAAACAAGATAAATGTTTATTATTCACATCAGTCTCATCCAGTTGACATATACTGACAACAACATGCTGTATACTCTGGTTGTAGACCAGATTTTGACTATAAACTCTTATCCAAAGCTAAAGTTACATGTAAGATAACCAAGCTACAGTTTTGGGTAAGGGAAAGGTAAGTGTAAGCACTATAAAGCTGCAGCTTAAGGCCTTGTGCCCTTGTGCTTTAAAATTTACTATTATTTAGTGAAAAAGAAAGATGGAATTTATATGTTAGGGCAATGAAAAGTTTAAATCAGCTTGCTCTTAATTGCAACAATTCCATACTGGAGTTGGATTATAAACTGGCCTTTACACTTGAAAAAATTATTTTTTAAAGCAAAATGCATCACTTAAAATACATTAAATTGACGTAGCCACTTGTAAATTTCTTTGATTTTCATTTCAACCAGCAATGTTAACAAGTACTACAAATTAAAAAGGGTCAAAATTATGAAAAACAAATGATGTATTTATATAAATAAATGCAAAAACCACAAAACCAGAAGGAGGAAAAAAAACCAAAGTTTGGATGCAAATTAAAGCAAAGAATGACGTTACTTCCGGAAACGATAACATAAGACTTTCACCAAAACAAAAACAGAAATAACCAGACATCCCCACGTGCACAATAATTGGCTAAAGATAATCTTACCGGCGGCTTGCAGATTCGGTCGTCTTTCGTTTTGCTAGCCAAACCCTGAAGACGGGTAAAAGCAATCAGCACCAAAACCAATAATTATTATGTTAAACAAGAAAGAATTAAATTTAATTAAAACATATTTCTTTTAAATTATAAATAATAATTTTATAATCATTTTGATTATTTGTTTTGCAATATTAAAAAATAAAAAAAAAATGCTATAAATTTTTAACTGCAAAGCATAGATATATCGTCTTTTGAACTGATAAAATTAAGATGCGGCATTCTATAACAAAGACAGTAAATGGTTTGCAACAAAGAAAACATGTGCAAAAAAACATGCATTTTACAGAGTGATAAATTAGTTTTGGTTTATTAAATTTATGTTTATAAATTAATTATAAATTAAGATGAATCAAAAAACTAATTATTTATACAAAAATACAGTATATTTTTAATCCTTTTTGTAATGAGATAATAATAGGACCTTCCTTTTTGTGTCTTAATAAGTTGACTAGACCATAATGTGCTAGCCACTGAATGAGGATGGACGTATTTCAGTCAAACCATCAATGAAAATTTTTGTTTATGATTTCAACTCAAACCTGAATCCTCCAGCGCAAGAGAATAACATCCTTATAGTGTTTTTCAATAATTCATTAATGTATAACAATGCCAGCCAGACAGCTCAGGTAGTTAAGATGTAACTCTACTACTCTGTAAAGACCAGAATTGTTTGGGGATGGTCTATCACAAATAGGTTGGGCCCAATCTCTGGCCACCCCATTGTGGGCTTGGTTGAATCCACGACAGTCTTAGAAGAAAACAATTTTAGTGCTAACAGGTGTTATTTTGTTAATGTATAATGTATATTTTTGACCTGTATATATGTAAAATAATTCTAAATACGTTATTGTTTAAGAAAATGGCAAAAATGTAAACAATATAATCACCAAATTAATAGTTTACAATATACAGTATTCAATGAAAAAATAATTGCAAAGTGAATAAGACATTGTCATATTTTAATTGTAAACCACACATTCTAAACTACATAATATAAAACATAGAACTTCAGCGGTATCTGTCATTCATTATTTACATCCCACTCACAGTTAAGATGACTTGATCCAAGGAACTTGCAGTATCAATCATGTGGTATCATCACTGATTCTCTCACATTATTAGCTGTTTGCTTGTGACTTTACTGCTAAATAAAATATTGCCAGATCCACACTAAGTTTCATAATTACCAGCAAGACGAAAGAAAATAGGAGGATCAGGAATTATGGAAATTGTCCATCCATTTGTGGGAGGAATAAAAGAAAATACCATCTGAGATGTAACAGAAGTTAGAGGAAAGTAGCTACACAGAGTATCCACTGTCATTAACTTGCAATCACATGCACTTATTTTTAACATGTGTAAGTGCATAAAGTGACAGATTCCTGCTAATTTTTCAGACACAAATTATACTGCATGTAATTGCCATTCCTCGAATTTAATAATTCTGAAAAATCCTGTAATTTACATTCTTTTCACATATGAAATTTTAATGCAATACATAGTTTAGTTTACAAGATATTGTTTTTGTTTACAGAACAATATCCTTTCAAATTTGCAATAGCATGGATTATTGCAAAGTTTGAAGGTGATGCAATACAATAGCACGAGCTATCACATTGCTTATTTTCAGCTGAAATGACTTCAACTGGAAATAAGTGATTGGAGGGCTGAGCTGTTGTTTCTAAGAATGAGAAAATTATTTTTCTGTGTATTTTTGGACACGAAATAAATTTAAATTGTTGAAGATCATAGTGTTCATAAGCTATCTTACAGTAAAAGTGTTCAAAGTCTTAGTGACTTGCAGACTGCCATGTCATTATGTCATGCACGGCCGACAAACATTCATGATGTCACGAATACCTCTTGCAACAATTATGAAGTGTCTCAGAATTGCCACAAGGTGATGATGTCTGGTCACAAAAAACAACATCTGAGCAGAAAATCATCTTATAAATGTGGCCATGTGACAATAAAGAAAAATTGTATGTGACCACATGTATAAGGTGACAATTTTAAGCAGTGTGGTATTTTGAGGATCTGTGATAAATGGAAAACATTTTTTGTTTTGACTGAATTTTTGCACAGATGGATAATATGTATCATGAGGATATCATACTTACTTAGCTGTGGTTAATTTGGTGAAAAATGCTCATAAAATACTAGAATGGGAATGTAACAAACTAGAAATAATACATTAACTGCCTCTGCAGACAAATTAGTAAATCTTAAAACGTATTCAAAAATATTTACAGTAAGATAAATCTCTGTATGCATAGCATACACCAGTATATTCTCCACACAAATGTATTACAAGCCATTCTAGTCAGACTATGCTTGCTGCAAGACCAAGTGATTATGACATATGCACAAGTGAGTATGTCCCATATTCACTCAGGATGAATGCAACAAACAGGAGCCAAATTTTTGTTAAAACAGATTTCATAGCTCACTGTAACTTTAACTTGAAAATGCTCTAAAGTTTTAAATCTAAAATTAGAAATGAGTTTGATAGTTTCAAATGTTTAAACTATGGTCCTTTTAATTGAAATTCTGGACTAGTAGAAGAGATATGAAAGTAAGATTAAAAGCATTTTTTTCATAAATGCATTTAAACTTTTAGAATTTAAATAACTGTTCCTCTATATTGTTTAAAAAATCTTAAAGCTTATTTAAGCTAACATCAAAAAGAAATAAATTACAAGTTTTACTTTAATTAAAAGTAATTTTTAAAATACATAAATGTTTTCTCAATAAACCCCATTAAAAACTAACTAAATTATTATTATACTTCAAAGTTCTCATCTGTTTCATATTCCTAAATACAACTGTCATGAAAGCACAAAATATACTAATGTGTTCATTGTGTATGTGGTGCTGTATTTATAAACTTGTATGCAATGATTAGTGTATATTTTTATATATTCGGTTGTTCGGAAAGTAATTTCGTTTTTTTTTTTACCACTAGATGATTAGTCGTATTTTTTCTGCCATTTTCATTCTAAACCGTATTATCGTTATATATTTTGACAGCTATCATTTTAAGGCTTATTTGTAATAAAAATTTGTTTGATTTTGTGTAATTCTTTATTTTTTGTGTAAATATGAAAGATCGAAAGCATCATTTTCAGCATATTTTGCTCTTTTATTACCGAAAAGGTAAGAATTAGTGTTGCAACAAATAGTATATTCGGCCCCAGGCCGAATACCGAATATTCGGCCAGGAGCGTGGCCAAATAGCCGAATACTCGGCCAAACTATTCGGCTTGATTAACGCACGTACAAAAATTGGCGCACAAATCGCGTTATGGGGAGGACCCTGCTCTCTATTGCCCGCTGTTAATACGCTTCGCCAATCGCGTTAATTCTTGACAGCTGTAGCATACAGACAAGAGCGTCATGGCAGAATGTAATAAATAGTCAATGCCATCAATGTCAATCGTGGCCATCAATGCCAAACAATTGTTGTCATACACTTTGGAAAGCTAATAACAAATGATATCAAATGTGAATAACAATAAAATGACCTACACGTGTAAATAACGGAAAAAGAACAGAGAAGGACTGTGAAGTGAAAATATGAAAATAAATATGAAATTGAGTTGATAACATAATGAAACAAAGTCAGGCAACTTATTTGTGCAAAATTCGCCAATGCCAAACAATTGTTTTCATATACTTTGGAAAGCTAAATGCTTGTAATGAAAGTCACTTAGCGTGCACGGGCAAAAGCCTGGGGCCATTCGGGCTACCAAGCTGCCTCGAATCTGTAAAATCATAACTGTGAGACAGATAGGACATCGGTATATGATGTCCTATCTGTCTCACAGTTACCGATGTCCTATCTGTCTCTTTTCTCCGTTATCACCAGGCTATGAGTCACGTAATTATAAAATGGAAAAACTACGACAGAAAAGTGACGAATCGAAAGTATCGTAAGCCGCATATTATGATGTATGCATATGCATACGTGGACTAGAGAGATGGAGGAAAGAGAAAGGGAAGAGCAAAGACGAGCACTTAGAAAGGATAGGCAGGGTCAGACCCTCAGATGTGTGCGACTATTCTCAAACGAATAGGTGTGTACGTGTGCTGATCTTTGTAATTATAAATTGTGAATACATGTGACTAATATTTTTTTTTTATTTTGTGCATGTTATAAGTTATAAATGAATATAAACAAACAACACTAACCTGACAACATTAAATCTAAATACCAAAATGATTAATTTACTGTGTTTTTGTTATTTCTTACTCCTGTTTTTAGGTATTCGGTATTCGGCTGAATCGTGATTAAATATTCGGTATTCGGCCGAATAGCAAAAAATAGGCCGAATACCGAATAGTAACCGAATATTCGTTACATCACTAGTAAGAATGCTGTTCAAGCAAAAAAAAAATTGTGTGACGTGTATGAAGAAGATATATTGACAGAACAACAGTGCCAAAACTGGTTTACAAAATTTCGTTCTGGCAATTTCAATATTAAAGATACACCACGTTCTGGATGGCCAGTTGAAGCCAATGAAAACAAAATAAAGGTACTGATTGAAGCAAACTGCCGAATAACAACACATGAAATCGCTAAGAGATTAAATTTGTCAAATTGAACTGTTTATGATTACTTGAAACAAATTGGTTTCATTTCAAAGCTTGATATATGGGTTCCACATGTTCTTAAAGAGAGACGCTCTCTTTAAGAACAACCAAAAAACAATTTAACTGCCATTGAGTAAACAAATTGAGTAATATCATCAAATAGAAAAGGGGGCCAGAATTGATCAACAAAACAGGTGTAGTGTTTTACCACGATAATGTCAAATTTCACACAAGTTTGGTAACTCATCAGAAACTGTTATAACTTAGATGGGACATGCTATCTCACCAACCATATTTGCCAGATCGAGCACAGTCAAAAGTCAGATTATTACTTGTTCCGGTCTATACAAATTTTTTTTAACTGTAAGACATTTACTTGAAATGACAATGTCAAAAATCACTTGGATCAGTTTTTTGTAAGTAACGATCAAAACTTTTATGAATATGAAATCATGCTACTACCAGAAACGATGACAAGATGTATTTGACCAAAATGGTCAATATATAATTCAATAAAATATTTATTTATTATAAAAATATTGTGTTTTTTTCCAAGGAAAAAAACGAAATTACTTTCCAAACAACCCAATAATACTAAAAATATTAATCGAAATTTTCATAATGGTAAATTCTGCATACAGAGAAATGTATAGAATGTCACTAATTATACGTATTAAATAGTACTAATTTTCTGGCTATAACAATAAACTTTTTAAATTACACTTTTAATTCAATAATACAGTACAGTTTCAAAACTCCACTACCAAATTTTGAGAAGTAATAGATCTCAGAGAGAAATGGATTTTAAAATCAATAAGTGTCCTCTGACTCATGGACAATCATGAGGAACATTGTCCAAGAGTTTCAAAGTCTACTAGTGGTACATAATACACGCAAAAAATAAAAATAAACATATCTTAAAGAGTGTCAACAAACAAGAGTTGCTTCTCTACAACCATTTCTCTCAATGAGACCTGCCATCTCACCAAGTTTGTTAGTAGAGTCTTAAACACCCTATATACAAACAAAAAGTTATAAGACAAAAGTTAAAAGCTACTGATAGTATTTCCATCCCTGTACAAAAGAAAATTCTTTACATAATGTATCAGAAAAAAACAAATTACATTCAAGAATTCAACTTTGTTAGACTGAAGAAGTTTCCATTGTATAGGAATGAAAATATTCATAACATTTAAAACTATTTTGCTAATGTCCAGTAAATATATTTTTTGTATTCTGAAAAATGCAGCTTATAAAGTTTATTGAATTAAATGACAACTTCACATCTTATCATTATTTGATTATTATTTTACAGGTGTTTTGTCAAAACAAATATGACATTAACATAGCAGTAATTGTTATTAATATCAGTAGAAAGCTGTATGTAAATGAAATAAGTGATAAAATATTTAGTGTTAAAAAAATAATTAGCCTTAACCTACAATTAGATAATTAAGTTCAAATATAATTCAGTACTTACATGATGCCTGTTTAAACTTTCCAATTCTTTCATTAATGTATTTATCTGCTGCTGTAAATTATTCTTTTCTGATGTAGTTTCGGATAACGCAAGTTGCAAATCACTACATTTCTGACAGTCACTCAATTCCGGCTGCTTATTTTCTTTCTGATGGGTAAAAACAAGCATTTTTGATATTATAGTCACTCAAAATATATAAGTAGTCCACAGTTAATACTGTAAATGCATTCTGAAAGTATACGTTAGCAAAATCCTATATACAAATATAACATAGAAATATATCAAATTTAATTCTCGCATAGTAAACACTAGTATCGTGTTGTATTTGATGGAAGATAATTGATGGAAGACTTGCCATGTGTTTTTAGAACACAACAAGATACTAGTGTTTACTATGCTAGAATTATAAAACAGGACGCAGCTTCAAATAACAAATCAAAATATCAAATTTAAGTTTCCTTTCACTCTTATTATTTGTTAAATTCACAGAATAAATCAAAAGCCTGTAATTATGCAATTACACATAGAAGCATAACGATAAAGATGTGAAGTTGTCATTGTCTATGTACTGACACCATCATCATCTTGTATTTACAGTTTGTGATAATATCAATAAAGGATTAAAATCAGCGATAATCCCAAAAAATTAAGGCGATTTTAAATACAAACTATGCCAATTGGCAAAAATAACATAGAATACGGAAGTGCAATTGAATACTCTGTATATGGATCTACCAACAATCTTCGATAGAACCACATCACACCAAACAAGTGGCATTTAGTTTAAAAAGTCCTGATAATTAATGAACAGCACTGAAACAGAATGCATTAACTAAGAATTACTTGAACATGAAAAACTTCTTAAATACTCACCATTGTCTGTTTCTCTTTTTCATTATCATGATATGTTTGTATGAGGCCTTGTAAATTGTGAACTTGTTGATTAAGAAACTCTATTTCTTCATTCTTGTCGTCGAGGAGTAATTTAGCATAGTCGGGAAGTGTGTGACTGTCGTTATTGGAACGCAATTTCTCCACTTCTTGCTGTAAAGTTAGATATTAAACTTAGATTTGGCTTTAAATGTTGTTATTTCATCAAGCACATTTTTATATAAAGAAATTTTCTTTGCTGTTTTTGATATTTTCTGCTAGAAACTGACATAGTTAACTTGTAATGATAAAATAAATATCAATTAAAATCCTATTGCAAAATACAATGTTCTGTCTAATGTCTCTAGTTTTGTGGATTAAGTTTGAAAAAAAAATGTGAGTATTATTGTAAAAGAAAATTCTTCTAAAAAGTTAGGTATTATATTACCAAATCAGTAAAGTTCCACATTTGCTCCTGACATATATATGGTCCACACTTGATTTAGCCCACACCTGAGCCAGTATGTTAGGAGTAACCCTTTCAATGTCATCCACAATTCTTGTATGCAAGACTCTTTGTGTCTAGCAAGACAATAACATCAAACATAGACGGTACTGTAGCCATATGTACACAGTTCAGAGGGATCCTACTTTTCTCTACTGTCTATCTCCTGCCGGCTAAACACTTCGTGTATGGCCACTGTCTTTCTTGTATGTATGTATGTATGTATGTGTCTAGCATGCACAGAATCCTTGACACACCCACAAAGAAAAAAGTTGAACAGGATGATGCGGGGTGATTGCGCAAACAAAAAATGGCAATCCAGCAATCTAGACTGTGGCAGTGGAGGTCCAAATTGTCACCATGTAGCAGCAATGGCTGTTTCAAGCATAAACAGATAAAATTTGCAGTATTGACCAATGTTTTCTGACACATTTTACTTACATATCTGAACAAATGGATTTTATAGAACAGTTTAAAACTAGAAACATTCAAGAGGAACACCCTGCAGAACACTGACATTCACAAATCATACTAATAAAAAGAATACTTATATAATATAAACTAAAATAATATAAAAAATTAAGGAATAGTCATCCTTAGCATGGTTTAATAACTAATCAACAGTACAATGTGCAAATGTGAAAAAAAAATTGGCATAAATCTTCTCTTCCAGAAATCCTGAATCAAAATTATCATGAAATGATGGCTTAATTGCCTACCCTCAGACAAATTATTTAGTATTTAATTATTAACAGCCTAAACAAGGCCTAATAATTTAGCAGATCATCTGGTTTTAATCAAAGGTCGAGTTTATTGAGCCATTTACACAGGCTGCATTGAAATATTTTTCATTATGTTTATGAATACTGTAATTTAATCCAAACTGCTGATAAAACTACAATATTAGCACATAAACAATATTTATGTGCTAATATTGTACAGATATATTAAAGGTAACTACTGCTTAATGAAACTAATATATTCCAAGAACTATGCCATTAAATAAACATCATAAAATATATGATATTGTCTAATACTCATATAGGCTATATATATATATATATATATAAGCCAATGATAAGTTTTTATGTATCTAAACATATGTAAACATAGAAAATGTATAAGCAGCTATTACGTCAAGAAGGAATGGCCAAAGCGTAAAATGTTTATTCCTAGACAGAAAAATATCGTTCATGCTTCATTAGTCAATGCTGACATGATTCTTCTACCTCCACTTCACATAAAGTTAGGACTTTTCAAAACTTTGTCAAGGCAATAAATATAAACAATACTGGATTTCATTATTTAAAGGAAAAATTTCCTTGTATAAATGATGCTAAATCAAAGCTGGAGTTTTTGTGGGCCCATAAATAAAAACTTTAATTAAAGATGATAAATTTGAAAGCTTGTTAAATGCAGCTGAAAAGTTAGTGTGGAAACCATTCAAAGATGTTGCACAAAATTTCTTGGATAGCTCCAAATTACTGCAACATTGTGAATGGGCTCTTACAATCTTACAAAGTTATGGGATGTAATATGTCCCTCAGAATGCATTTCTTGGATTCCCACCTGGATTTCTTTCCTGAAAATCTTGGTGCTGTCAGTGACGAACATGGGGAGTATTTCCACCAAGACATTTTTATCATGGAAAAAGGTATCAGGGCCAGTGGAATTCAAGAATGCTTGCTGATTTCTGTTGGACACTCAAGAGGGATTCTCCAAATGCCAAATATAGCGGAAGATCCACATCTTGCCATTTTAGAAAAGATAAATAAATAAGTGTATGCATGTTGTCTAAATAAATATATTTTACATTTAAATTGGCTGTCACAAAAAACCAGATGTGATGAAGAAAAACTGTTTATATATTTAAAAATAGCATAAAAAATTCTATTAGGATCAGGTATTTTCATTTGTGTGCCAAAAAAAAAAAAAGCTTTTATTTTGTTCCCAGTGTTATTTATATCAATTTCACTTACTTTCAGATCGGTATTTTCTTCTTTTAAGGAAGATATTTCTTGAATGAGAGTTTCATTTTCACTACTATTAAGATTGCTTTCAGAATTAATTATTCTATCCTTCTCATCCAACTCTTTCAAACTGTCAATTTCTTTTAACAGTTCTTGTATCTATAAGAAAATAAAAATGTAATTAATCAGTTCTCAACTTATTCTTCAAATATTATGACATATACAATTATAATGATGAAAAATGCTATTTTAATACGATAAAATAATGAGCAAATATTTATTATGATATTGTCACAATGCCAGGCTGCAATTTATAATCATATTTTAAATTTATTTAATTTAAAATATATGCTCTCCACCTTAAATTAGTTGTGTTTTGCACTTGTAAATCATACTTTTCCTGTTAGCAATAGAGTCATCTATCTAACTCCTTTCAGGGGAAAATTTTTGAATTGAAATAAGGTGCCTTCCAGTTTGCATTGTATACAGTGAATCGAGGTCTCCTGTCTCTAAGTCTTTCACAACTGGTCTCAGCTTCCATCTATCTAACTCTGTTCTTGAGATTAAGAAACAGACAGATGAGCGACAGTGGGAATTTATAGGCTACAGCCTGCTGTCCTGGAGATCCAGGATTGAATTTGGGCAGTCAAAAAACACCAGAAATATTTCACAAGCGGTCCACCCTGGATAGGTTATGTTGGGCCCCATTCCTCACTGCCCTATTACTCCATTACAGGCCACGCCAAGGCCATAATAAATATGGAAAAAAGACCCTCTTAGTGCACAAAGACAGGAAGATAACTCGAAAATTTGTTTCCATTCAAATAACAGGTTTTCACATCTTTGGGTGAGTTAAGTTATTATGAAGATGGTAACATTAATACATAGTAATTGTTTCAAACTTACTTTGTTATTTAAAAGTTCCTGTTGCTGTCGTTCCTTCAGCAGATCCTCTTGAAGCTGAAATATTTCTATTTTAGTATGATTGCCGACATTCATCTGTCCATTCAAATGATGTCTATGCTCCTCAATTTGAGCTTTGAGTGCTGAGATTTGCAGTAGCTGGTTATTCACTTGCTCCTGAAGGGCGATCTTCTCGTGAAGAATTTCCTAAAATATGTGGTTTATGATATTACTTTTAAGAAAAATATTACAGTTTAGACAAATTATACAATTAAACTAACATATATTTGTCATTCCCCTAACTCAAAGCAATATCTATAAACAACAGAATTCTGATAGAATTAAATTTTAATTTCAAATGATAAAAAATGGCACCTTACTTCATGGGTTTCCTTGAAAGTTTTCAACTCTGTTGTTAAATTCTTATTTATTTTTACTAATTCTTCTTCTGCTTTGACTAAGTTATCTAATTTATCTTCGAAGCGTTTCATTTCATCCCAGTTTGAAGTGCTTGGAGAATACACCCTGATGTCGTCTACAAGTCGTAGCGATGCTTCGGACAGTGGTCGAAGCTCTCCGTCCTGCTCGCTTAAAGAAGTATCACTGGGAATGGGACTGCTGCATGGATAGGATAATTTATGGAGTTGTAATGAGGACACGGTGCTATCAATTTTTACTTCTAATGAATGTATCTGTATAAATCAGATGTGAATAATATTAAAAAAAAAAAACAATTATATTCATGATATTATATACAGGATGAATAGTAAAGTCTTTTTACAAACATGTAACTGACAAATATGGATAACGACAGTTACAAATGTAACCTATAGTTATAGCAAAGTGACTATGCACTACAAGATGAAACTGTTCTCAGCAACCCCAGTGGTAAAATTCAGAAGTTAGTATTTCAATCTCAAAAACAATGGACGATACAGAAAAAAGTCAATTACTAGGTTGTAGAGAAATGCATAAATGAATAGCATGAATAAAAAGTTAATGTGCAGATTGAGCAGTAAATGTGTATTTCTCATGAGTTCATTTATTTCTCATGTGTTTATCTACAGTATAACCTGTGTATTTCTGTTTCCTATGTCTTTGTGCAGCATTCACTAATGTATGTCATATCTTTTGTGTTACTCACACATATCAATGTATAAGGACTTTACTATTCACCCTGTATGTTATTTAATGCTATTCATTATTTAATGCTATTCATTATTCATTTTTAAAAAGGAAAATTTTAACAAATACAGTACTAAATATATATATAAGTTTTTAATCTACTCAACATTGTATAATTTATGTACAAACACACATACACAATAATTATGAATGAATAGATTAATTATATTATCAAAAATCAAGAATTTAACTTACTTAATTTGAATTTTATTTTTGTCTCAACTTACCTCCTCTAGATTCAATGCATTCTACATTTCTATAAGTCAAGTAGTTTTGCGATCAAATTTTGCTGCCTTGAAATTTAAGAATCGGAGACTTTATGTCTAATTTCATATGCTTTCTTTCCAAGGAGATAGAAAGTATTAAGACAATAAAAATTGGTACTGTATAAGATTACATCTCTGATCATACGAATATAATCGAAATTTTAATGATATTTTGCACCAAAAGTGATAATCTTATTCTTAAATGAAAACTGACCAATAAATTGTAATGGTTTCAAATTTAAAAAGTAATGATTTCAAAATGTAACAAATGCACCCGTGACCTGACAACTTAGTGAGTTATTGGCCAAATTTGAGTTTATCTAAATGTATCTCATTACTTAATAAACAATTTAAGACTATAGAATAATGAGTCTTTTGATGTCCTTTCAGAATATTTTCCTAAGATGTAAGAAAGGACATCAAAAGACTCGTTATTCTATAGTCATGAATTGTTTATTAATTTTATAATTATTGTCCTAGCAATTTTATCAAATGTATATTATACTTTTTATTTGTACAAATGTACATTATTATATTATATTTTATAAAAATTTTATATTCCACCAAGTATTCTCACTACTTAATTAAATGTGAATGTTAAGATGCTAAAAACTGCATGACAAAGTTATACTATTTCTTTTAAATGTCTGCTGGAAGAACAATGGTGTTCAAATTAATTCGTGTCACAAAGATAAAAAAGCAAACAACTTGTAATTTTTTTGGAAGCAGAATAATAAAAACTGCTGTTGTTATTAATAGTTTTGATCAGGGAATCATTCAAAACTTTACATTACGATACAGAAAGCCTATCGTGCAAACAACATTGTGTGTTGCAGAAGACAGATAATGAATGTCAGTTTAGTGTGAACCTGCTAAATGCAATGCAAATGATCAACAAAGCTTAAAATAAAGTTCCGCATGGCATTGCAAATTGCTTTGTAAAAGTGGATTTTGATTAACAGTTTGTCAATGCTTCAAATAAATTGAAATTTCCAAATGAATCTGTCAACTATATCAAAGAAATCCTGGCTGATCTCATTATAGTAATGACTATAATGTTTCTCAAACTTTTTTTGGATCATTGCTTATTAGTAGTAACATCCTGTTCTGTGTACACAGGAGCCCTCAGCAGGGCTTTTTTTTTTAGCCCACCAATATGAAGTAAAGCAAAATAACTGAAATAAATATTTGTATGTTTTCCTGCAAAAATGCCCTCTCGGATAATTCAAATGTCCCCAGGGGGATAATATCACCTACTTTGAGAAACATTGGTCTAGAAGAGTCATGAGTGGCTCACAATCTGCAGTTAGGTTACCGTGGATCTAAAGGAAGAGTTTATTTAGAACATCATATTGAGATCAAACATATCAAAAATGTTTACGTGCTCTTTACATACAAGCACTTTTGGAGCTATATTTGACCCATAATCAATAAATCAATTAAATAAATAAGTTTGTCCTAAAGATTGACAGTTAGGCTGATATATCATATTACTTGTAAATTTAATAATTTAGAAGATTCTGAAGATTGAAATGAGACATGAACCCATGTGTGTCATGCATATAGATATATTACTAGTTATGCTACATGGACCTCCGTCCAATCTTTCCTTCCAGAACTATATTACTTAAAGCCCTATAACTATACAAGTTAAACATTGTTTTATATACTGTATCTCATTAGTTTTGGAATGGACCTTAACTGTTCAAAAAGCATAATTCTTATATAATCATGTACATATTAATATTTACAGATACTCACATAACTGTGGAATTCTTGCAATAGAGATTGGCAATTCTTCATCTGTTCGAGCTGCTGACCTTTTGATTCCAGCTGTTCTTTCAAGGCTTGAACATGATCCTTTAATTCATTATTGGCACACATTGCCTGCAGTCTCTCAATCTCATTATTAAGGTCTGCATTTTCTTTCTCATGATGTAACAAAGTTTCTTCTAGGTTAGCAATTTTCTAGAATATATTTATTCATTTTACTAATTTGTATGTATCATTTAATAAAGTGAGTTAGGTGTATGATCTTCACACAAATCTATAGAGTAAGATCTTACAGAAATATTGAGTTATAACGTACATATTTAATTTTCAGAATATCATTATATTTATCAAAATGTTTACTTTATATCCAATTACTTTTCATATTCGACTATATTAAGATATATTCAGCTACATTCTAGAATTAAATATTGGCTTAGAATGTAAAAGTATGTTATAAATGCCATCTAACATATGAATTTAACCAAAGAAAGGATTATTTTTATATAAGTAGATTATAGAATATATAATTGGCAATGCATAACTGATGATCTTTACAGATTATTGCCTTTAAACATGTGTCAAATGCAAGTTTATCAAGTATTACCAAGCATTTTCTATTTCTACAGCAAACAATTCAGTTGTTATTCATATAAAACTGAAACTTACCTGACAGAATGTAGGTTATTTATGACACGATGTAAGTACTAAAACATATAAGAAAACATTTCTGTTTCTAAATTATTCTTAATAATACGTTATGTCTTATGACTCATAACTTGTTATACAATGTAGTAGAAACTATCAAGGTTTCTGTGTATTACTTGGATAAATGGTTTGATAGTTATAAATATAATTTTAATTAAATTTAGAATAGGGAATTGTTCATAGTTTTTTTATAGTTTATAATTTACAATTATAAATGATAAATTAGAATCTTTGTAACATTTTCTGTGAAAATGACTTTGAGAAACTTGATTGCTTATGATATTTTAAAGGAAATTAATATAAAAATTAAATTTAAAAGATTAAAATATTTCTTTTAAACAAAATTTATAAAAAATAAAAAATAAAATAAATTTTTCTGGAGCCATTCCAGTAATCAAGTATGTTTGACCTTTGTTAAAGGTCAAATGTACTCTATTGTTTTGTCTATACTTGCATTCAAGGTTTATCTTTTTTTTTTTTTTTCCTAATTTAGTAAATTTATTTTATAAAAAAAATCTATCTCCTAATTTACTAGACTGGCATTGAAACTGGCTTAACATTAATTATTACATAATTTAGATACAAAATTTCTTCCAAATTGTAAGCTACATTACAAACATTACTCAACGATTGAAGGTAAACTACATATTATATAAATACTACTCAGGAAGTTTATATTTCAAGTTTATTGTTAACAATATGAACAGAAAGATTGTTTTATATCACAGTTTCCTAAGTAAGTAAACATCTAAAAAACTGACTAATGTAAAAATCATAAAAGTCAGGTTACACGAACAAATTAATGCAAAAATAAAATTTTTAAATACAGTATGTTTACATGTCAAAAGAAATTTAAAAAGTATGAAAATAAATTAGTAGATATCAGAGGTATGATTTGTATGGATGTCATACATTTTTATACTGACTTAACACAATGATATCAGTCATGCGGACAGTCAAGTTAAAAGATACACATTCTACAGTGTAAGTTTGTTCTCATTTGTTTATAAACACCTAAAGATGAACCATTAATATTTGCAAGCACATGGGTTTAAATAGTTACAGATTTTATTCTAATTAAACATCATTTGCTTATGCTGTTTATTTAGAAACATTAAAAACACATTGTTTATCATTTTATTAGTAATAAATGACTCTGTGTAATCAACAAAATCATCTACAGGTCCAAGAAGCCCTAAAATTAATTTGTAATTAAACATTTTCTGGGACATTTTTTCATTCAAGCTAAATCTCCAGGTTTAAAACACTATTAATTATTATTCTTGCAAATTTAATGATTAAAACATTATTAATTTGTTTCCACATATAATATTATATAATCTACATACAATAAATAAAACTATATTGGCATAGCATTTTTGCTTGCTTACTGACATAAAATGTGTTTGAGTAGAAGCAAACTTCTTACAGAGAAGCAGAATGGCATCACAAAGCATTATCTAAAGAATCTGAATTCTCATAATAGTAAAAATACTTGTACTTACTATAAGACATTGTACTTTAATCTTTTATATCTAGAACTGGCATGTGAACAAGTGAGCATTGCTCAACTATTCTTGAAGAAGTTTATCATCATCTTGTTGGACTAAAAACTACTCTGCTAGTACTTGACTTGTTTTGCCATTCCAATTTTGTTCTGTAAGCTCTGTTAAAATTTTGCCATGCCATAAGAGGTATTCATAACGGAAAGTTTTTCTTGCTTTTAGAAGTGTGGCATTCCAAGAAAGATATAAATCACAAATGCACATTCTGATGAAACAATCTGCAATCCTTATTCCTCAAAAAATGATGATGCCAACCAATAGTGTCTTCAGTTACTCACTGTTGTCAGGTTTTGACAATTGACTAACATTGCTACAAGAAAGCTTTCCTTAAGCCATTGGCTTTTGCCAGATATAATACAAATCACAATACTGCTTCTAATAATTTATTTTTATTAGAATTATTTTAAATTACCATTTTCTTTTCTGCTACTCTCAATTATTTTCTATAGAAATTTTTGATTCGTTGATCAAAATAACTAAAGATAATGTGTAATGCTAATTTTCTTAAGGAAAATATAAATTATGAAAAAAATGCAGTGTGTGTCATAAAGCCGAGTACACATGTACAAGTATATCTGGCAGGTATATCTGGACAGGCATGCTTGTTTGGTATACCTGAATGTGTAAATGAAAAACTGACAGTTCAGGTATATTAATGACAGTCATTCATAAGTTCAGGTATACCCATACATATGTATCCAGCTTCAGACATTGTAGTTGGGTGGTCAAGGGCACCTGGATTGAAGTACCTCTAGTAATATAACCTAACTTACCTGATTTAGTTCTTTTTCGGCATTAATCTTTATATCTAACTGGCATTCCAATTCAGAAATGATATCTCGTAAATCGTGTATCTTATCCACAGACTGTCTCAAGTCCGCTTCTGCCTGCTCTCTTTTTTTCAAGATTTCTCTTTGATCTTCCATTTTGCTTTTCAGTTGCTGTTCTAATAATTCAACCTACAAATTATGAATAATTTAAATGGTTACAATATTCGTTAAATTGTTACATAAAACTAAAATCTAATTGATACATCTTTTGTGTCCAGTGTTTGCTCAATAAAAACAAGACCCCCCCATTGTGTAGTGAGACCTTTGATTAATCAGGATACCCAACTTAACTAAAGAACTGGAAAGTTTCATAAATAAATGTACATTAGAATCATGAACTCTTAATTCAAGTGACAATTTTTATTTGAGCAAAGCTCTGCATAAATCAAAAAGTATGTTGTCTGTGATCAAAATTTAAAGCAACTGATGACCACTAAACACGACTTTTTGTTATGTTATGACAAACCCATAGATCAAATATCAAAGGAATTTTTAATTTGATCTATGGGCTGAGATGTTTGAAGTCAAAGTTCACAATGTGAAGGCAAACTGCCAGTGTATGATGGTCGCACATTAGATGTTAATTGAGTTTCTGATTGCTTTCGATTTACATTAATTGTCACAACAATTTTTTATTTTAGATTTATATCAGTATTAGGTCCTTTGAACAGTTCTAGCTTTCTACACACTAAATAATTCATTTTCATTTTTCCAGAAAATACCTAGTTTACCAAGAGATTGAGATACACAGGCATGATGCCCTTAAAAAAGGACTAAAGACAGGAATGTTGCTAGGAGACCAACTTTCAAACCCTCTCAAGAAGATTGAAATAGTAAGAAGGATGGAAAAATAGCAAAAAGGGCAATGCATGAAAGAAACCTCATAGTAAATGAAAGATATGGATTGTGTATATCTACATCTGAATTACATATTTAATATAAGACATATTTTACTATGACATCATATAACAGAACTAACTGTACAGTTGTTTTTATTAATCACAGTTGGGGAGCATCTGTCAGTGTTGTCATCGTTACTAATATTTTTTTTTATAGGCACGGTATAATTCTCTGTATTTTTAAATAATTACTCTAGAAAATTGTTTAATTTTTGCATGGTAGAGGAGACTGTGGATGCTTGGCATATTTTGGTTAATTGTGGGCGTCTTAAGGTGTTAGAGAAGAAATTTTTGGTTGCATTGTTCTTTTCAAGTCTTTTTATCTGAAGATTTTATTGGAACCTTGCTTTCAATTTAAAGTATTTCGTTTTCTAACAAAGTCTGTTGATATTTTGTTTTAGGAGACGTGTTTCCTCTGCTTTAAATTTAGTCTTACTACCGGTGTAGTTTGGGAGCATCTGTCAGTGTTGTCATTGATACTAATATTTTCTTTTTTATAGGTAAGAAGTATTCTTATTAATAATTAAACTATTATAATTTATTATTATAACTATTTTATTAGTATTATTATGTTTTTCATTATAGATGCTCCCGAATTTAAACTAGGTTTAAGCTACTTCTAATGTAATTTAATATTGTTATGTATTAACTGTTTTTGTGATTTTATGTTCAATGTAATTATGTGATTTGTATTTGGAAGATTGTTTTGTCTCTCCAAATCATGGAAATCTCCAGTATGCATAAATAAATAAATTAATTAATTAATTAAAGTTCTCTGTTTCTTCATTTACGAAAATAATTTCTTACATTTGTGATATTAAAGCTTCGGAATTCTCCTCTATTAGACAATTTCTATTTCCGAGAAGAGTTTAATTTATACTTGTTAATAGAGTTTGATAAGAATACGGGGTGACACAAAATACATTTTAAAATTATTTCAAAAACACTGAAACATGTGTATATTAAATTATGTTATTTAAAATAAGGTAGGTATAGTTATTATAATTAAAATTAATTTTTAATTTCTTTTATTAAAATATAAATGTGAACATGTCACCTGTCTCTAGTTCAAATTATACACTAAATTAATTTATTATACAATTTGAATTAGAGATAAATGAAGAAACTACACTATATTTTTTCTTTTAACTGTTGCATCCTTTGGATGCTAAGAAGACTGTTTATTTGTGCCAGTCTTGAGTTCAACCAGCCCATAATGGTGCAGCTTATTGGCTAAACAGCAATACTTTTTATTTCTAATAGAAGAAAGCATAATAATAAGTTAAATATTTAATTACTTCTCTAGACAGTCTTTCGTCGTTATTTTGTATCCGGTCTTTTTCTTTCACGATCTCTTGCAACTTTTTAACTTCTCGCAAATACTCGTCTCTTTCCTGTTCACGTTCCTGGGCCTGTTCCTGAGTATAAATGATTTTGTATAAGAAATTATAGTCAAAACACAGGTAATAATTACAAAATTTGCATTTTTTTATCTAAAAATTGTTAATTAATTCATGAAAAATTCTACAAGCTATAGAAATAATTAAATAATATGAAGTGACCCTAGTTTAACATTTTATTATAAATAAACAACAAACTATATAAATGTTATGCAAGTTTCATTCAAATCAGTATCTGAATCCATTTATTATTATAATTATTATGTATTCAATACATTTCCTGTCAATTTTAATCTCCTTGATCTTATTCCAAAGTTTGACATTGCTTTGAAGATTTTCTCTAGGAACAGCAATAATTTAGCATTTAATAAATAATTGATTTCCTCTAAAGTCTGTGGCTTGAGTTTATCAAACCACAGGCTTTAGAAGAACTACCTTCTGGATATTTCCATGAAAATAAGCTGCAAGGATTTGCATTTAAAGAAAAGATAAAACAGTCAATTCCCTTCCCCAGTGCTTTCCATGATGTAAAGATCATCAATGTTGATAAAAAACATATTGAACACATTGTATTATAAATGGCTTCAAATTCTAACCTTATTATTCATCTGTAATTAAGCATGAGACTCAAGCCAGCTACACATACACCCATATACCTAAACAGGTTCACCAGTTCAGTATACTCGAATATTTAGATGAAAAACAGCTGACAGTTCTGTCATCCACATATTCACGTATACTGGTATGTGCATAGCCAGTGTTAGACTATCCTATATTTACTATAACATAAACCAATGAATTTACCTCAATGAATCTTTTATAAGACAGTAACTGTTTCTCCACAGATTCCATTTGAGATTTTAAGTCTTCTATCTCATGGCACTTTTCCTCCAACAGATCTTCTTTCTGAGATATTGTCTCTTCCAAAACTAACTCCAGATGATGAATGCGCGATAACATCTGTTGCCTTTCTTTGTCATGATTTTGCTGTAACTTATGTTTGTCGGAATTCAGTTTGTTGTTTTCTTTTAAGAGTGCTATAAACAGAATTCAACATTAATAAAATAACTTAGAATTCAGAAAATTCATTGCATTATTTTATGAAAGCTACAAATTACTAAATATAATTAAATTTATTTTTTGCTCATTTATCTTGCAAGTTTGCCATAAACTATATACAGCAGAGTTTAGTTATTACCATTTATAATCAGTTGCAACTCTCGACAAGATCAAAGTACAAGCAAAAAATGAAATTTCTAGTTAAATTCCTATCTTTAAAATCCAAAAATACAAAGTTCTACATTTAGTAAGAAAGTCCTGTATTGCATAATCTATGAAGAAAATATGAGGAATTAAGAAGGACAATCATCAATTAACCATTCATTTGCCAATGTTCTCTATTAGGAACATATTATATAATATATTTTACTTTTTTTTTTAAATTAATTTTATGTTTTTTTTTGTGATGTTATAATATAAAAAGGTTTGCATTTATTAACATTGCTTAATTTTTCTCATGATGTTGTCATTTAGTTGGTCTTTAGACTGTTGAATATTGACAATTTTGGAAAGAAAATTTTACCAAATTTTTTATCATCAATGAAACAGTCCAAAATGAATTTTGCAATTATAAATTTCTTCTATTTATACTATTGTTCTTTAAATTGTATCAATCTTATCTGTTTATTTAATAGGGGAAAACATTTTGATACATTTGCATTTGGAAACTTTGGTACATCATGTAAATATTGTTTTCATAAAAGCTATGAAAGAGTACGCAATCATTGATGTCGTCTGTGTGATCTGAAGAGGCTGTTCAGATACTACTTGATGAATCAGATGTTGAATTTTGCATTTTGTCCCTAGAAGAAACAAAAAGAAAGAGTTCACGAGAACAATTTCCAGAAAGTTTTGCCTGTAATGTAGTGTAAACAAATTAATTTCTTTTTTCCTCATTCTTCAATGAATTGTTTTGATAAAACCAACAATCCTTGGCTATCAGGATACTAAACAAGAAGTGAAACTTTTCATTGGGAAGCTACATCATTCAAATAATTAGAGCACCAATACTGAGATTCTTACAAATGTTAGCTGACAAAAAAAATTGATCAAGTAGAAGAAAGTTTCTTGACTTTAAGTTTTCCTTTTGAAGTGAATCAAACTGACAAAAATATAGCAATTTTGCACAGCTCAAAAAAAAAAAAAAATGATTGACATCTAACCAAATCAACTCTCATCAAGGCATTCAACCAGAGAATGGGTAGAGTTGATGTCTTGAACCACCTATTAGAAAGTTACCGGCCATAGCCACACTTAAAAATTATGGTAAAATCTATTCTGCAATGGAAACCCACTTTAGAATAGAACCCACCACCATTATTGCTTGTAGCAAGCTGGTTCCTGCACATTAAGCTTCACAAAAACACACCGTCAGAGCCTACACATCAGGAGTTTTGAAGAGAGATTGTGCATCTTCTTCTTCACTTAAAACCAGAAGTCCAGGTACACCCTACATTGAGTTTATCTTCTCCAATCTTTAAAAACAACTGGCAATCATTATTCAGTTTCACATTTCCAAGAACATTGTTGTATGCAAAAGAGCACAAAGGAACAGTACAAAATGTTCAATACTCAGAATTTAATTTAATACTAGCTATGATCCTAGATGCTGTATGATACCAATCATCATAAATTGCAGGCTTTACATTACATACAATTATGTAAAAGACACTCACAATTTCATGTTTCCTTCAGACTTGCATAACCTAGAACTGTAACTGCTTAAAAACAAACAATTTTTCATATGACTAATGTAAATAAATAAGTAATTCGAACACAAATCAATTATTGTATTCATTCAGACACTTGGCAAATCTCATCATTAAATTTTATTCGGTTGAAGTTGAGCTTGCCCACCGTTTACTACACAGTCACATGACGAGTAGGCTGCCTTGTGGCAACATTTTTTTAAAAATATTTAAAAGGTTTTTTAATTTTATAAGATATCGAGCCAGTTTTCGTTTGTTTTAATACTTACGTTTTTATTTATACATTTATTACTTTTGATAATTTCTATGCTTTCTTTGAACTTACGATGATATGTTTCTTTTTCTTTGTGGAGTATTTGTACGTTATCTTCATCAATGTTACAATCATTCAGAGTGCAATGATCATGAAAGGCTGAATTTATTCTATTGTATTTTAGATCTGCTATATGTTCTTTTAATCTGGTTTTTAACTTTCTTTTAGTTTCTCCTATATAATATTTATTATCATTAGAAATACAGTGAATTTTATACACCACATTCTTAGCTTCGACTGGTAGTTGTTGTTTTTTCTCAGTGTTGAGTTGTTTAAGTCTTGTATACATTTTTTGGTATGACGGTGCTAACTTAAAGTTTATATTACTTATTTCATTATCAATTTGTTCGTGTAGTCCTTTGATGTATGGGAAACCAATATACTTTATATCATTTGTTTTTTTATTGTCTCGTGGCATTTTAAGATTATTTATCTTAAGTTCCCATTTTTTTAACAGTCTTTATGGGTAACATGCCAGGAGAAATTTCTTTTTTAATTCGGCTAAATCTGAAAATATGTGTATTTCTTGACTTGTTCTGTTTTTTATCTTATAATACTCCATTTTAAATATATTATATTTGACATGAAGTGGCACGTTAGACTGATATCTTACTGTTATCTGACTCGAACCTCGCTTTCTAAATGTTCTAAATTCTAAGCTTTCTTTTAATCTTCTTATCGTAATGTCCAAATAGTTCATTTCTTTTGTGGTTGTATCTTCTATTTCTGCTTTAAACTTTATCTCTTCTTGTATATTATTAACTTGCTTGTTGATTTCTTCTATCCTGATTTCTGTTTCATTGTATATTATTAGAATATCATCCACATATCTTTTATAAAACTTTATATCTCTTATATTGCTAATTTTGTTATCTATAACTATCATTATTAATTCTGCTAATTTTGGTCCTATTATCCCATGCTTATCCCACTTGTCTGTATATAAAAATCATCATCAGCCTTAAAATAATTACTTCTGTATGCAAATTCTATTAAACTTATTATTTCATTTACTTTTTTAATTTATCCCACGTTATTGACGGATACATATCTATAATGTCAAGACTTGTTATCTTAAAGTTTTCTTCCATACTGATTTGATTTACAATAATTGATTTGTGTTCGAATTACTAAAAATTACTGGCACGGTTTCAAAAATACCAGAGTAAATAAATAGCTTGATATGGTTATATTTCAACCAAAAATTAATATATATTTTAATCATCTGCAATTGAAATTCTCTTAACATAACCAATTATATATATATTGAATTAATCAAAGCAGCTTTAACATGGGAAAAGTTCAAACAACAACAACATTTTTGACCCAGTTAATAAGCCATCTTCAAGCACAAACAGTTGAAAATGAAATGCAATATTAAAAGATAGAGAAGAGTAAACGGGCAGGAGGAGATGGTAGCAATTGATGCAAAAGTCCAAGAAGATATTCTAGGAAGGCAGAAGGAAAATTACATCCCTGCACACTCAAACACATATTGATAACAGTATGGTTACAAATTTCACATTCTTCGATAATGCTGGCCTGAGACAGGATGAGAGACAGTCCTGATGATTGGCAGGTGGTGAAAATAATCAAAACCATAACCGACAAATGTTCAAACAGTAAGGATGAGGATTCTCTTCACCTTGCCCAGCAATATCTTCTTAGACTTTTTCATCAACTTATGCCATCATTGTTTACTTTATTCCATCTTTTCTTTCAACTCTAGAACTTCACTTTCAATGTCTGTGCCCATAGATGGTCTGTTAACTGGGTCAAAATAGTAAGTGTTGTTTAAACTTCTCCTACCGTTAAAGATGTATTGATTAATTCAGCAGAGTAACTACAATGGCTAGTTCATCCTTACTGATCATATACCTCCACTTTGGAAAGAATGCAAGTTCAAACTACATTCTGGACNGATTTGTGTTCGAATTACTAAAAATTACTGGCACGGTTTCAAAAATACCAGAGTAAATAAATAACTTGATATGGTTATATTTCAACCAAAAATTAATATATATTTTAATCATCTGCAATTGAAATTCTCTTAACATAACCAATTATATATATACTAGCAAGTGGGCCCGGCGTTGCTCGGGCAAAAGTAACGATAACTAAGATAAAGATTATTACATTACAGTCAACCTTACCCGTTTCACAGAATGCAAGAATTGAGTCCCCTTGTTTCCAGACTAATTAGAGAACTTTTAGATGGTTCGATTTCCCGCAAAAACGAAAGAACTGCATCTGTGCCTGTAAATCTTGCACGTCTCTTTCTCTTAACAATACCATTGTTACGTAACACTTCCATTGTTACTTAAAACTTCCATTGTTACTTAACACTTCCATTGTTGATGGAAGTGTTAAGCCTTAATCCTGTCTTTCTCCCCCCGGGAGGAATTTCGAAAAATCCCTTCTTAGTGTGCGTTTTCATGACGTACCCTAACTGTGTACCAAATTTCAGCTTCCAACTCCTAACCGTTTGGGCTCTGCCCTTATTATTATTATCATCAACCCATCTCGATTATATTATAGATATTGAATTAATCAAAGTAGCTTTAACATGGGAAAAGTTTAAAAAACAACAACATTTTTGACCCAGTTAATAAGCCATCTTCAAGCACAAACAGTTGAAAATGGAATGCAATATTAAAAGATAGAGAAGTGTAAACGAGCAGGCGGAGATGGTAGCAATTGATGCAAAAGTCCAAGAAAATATTCTAGGAAGGCAGAAGGAAAATCACATCGCTGCACACTCAAACACGTATTGATAACAGTATGGTTACAAATTTCACATTCTTCTATAATGCTGGCCTGAGACAGGATGAGAGACAGTCCTGATGATTGGCAGGTGGTGAAAATAATCAAAACCATAACCCACAAATGTTCAAACAGTAAGGATGAGGATTCTCTTCACCTTGCCCAGCAATATCTTCTTAGACTTTATCATCAACTTATGCCATCATTGTTTACTTTATTCCATCTTCTTTTCTTTCAACACTAGAACTTCACTTTCAATGTCTGTGCCCATAGATGGTCTGTTAACTGGGTCAAAATAGTAAGTGTTGTTTAAACTTCTCCAACCATTAAAGATGTATTGATTAATTCAGGAGAGTAACTACAATGACTAGTTCATCCTTACTGATCATATACCTCCACTTTGGAAAGAATGCAAGTTCAAACTACATTCTGGATGAATATTTAATTAAAATTAAATTTAATTAATTAAGATCTATATTATTTTATTCATTTATTCTTCCTACCTGATCCAATAATAAAACGATATAGTAACAGGCAACAATATCATTAAAATAACTTATAACTAAACCCATGTTGTACAATTATATCAAAAGAATATAGTAAAAAAATTATACAAATATTATAAATAAATTGCTTGCGTGTCTTATTATCAACCAAAACCATTTAGAAGAGTAAATAGACATATAAGAAACTAAATTAAAAAAAAGTAGAGCCATATTGTTTCATGCAGCATTCCATATAAACCATAACCAAGTTTTGATAGCAGATAAGAGTATTATTGGAAGAATCAAAAGTGTTTGTAAGGTGCCTGCCGAGTCATTTGAGGAACTCAGGCAAATTGCTGGTTGGCATCATTTATGGTTAGAACTAGGGCGGTTAGAAGGCGATCAGATACCGCCCTAGTTCTAGCCATAAATGATGCCAACCAGCAATTTGCCTGAGTTCCTCAAATGACTCGGCGGGCAGCTTCCAGGAAACCAAAGTGTTTGGGTTCCAGGGGAAGTGTGTTTGTAAGGTGGCTGAATCAGCAGTTTCTGGATGATTCTATAAAGTGGCTTTCTATATACCAAGGCCTCAACACCTTAATCTTTATTTCTGAAAGTACTGTACATGAATCAGATAAACACAAAGCAAAAACTACCAAAGATTTATATACATGTATAACATCAAATTATTTAAAATATTATGCTATAAGTAAAAGAAAATATCCATATGTATATTTATTTAAATAATACCCACAAAGTATGCTTTGAGATTTTATAATAAAGTGATTTTGCCAATATGAAGAGATTTTTCTCTCATTCTGTATGATAAGGAGTAGAAGATTGCATTCAAGAAACTGACAAATCTGACAATTAACATAAAATATAAGATATATTGGATAAAGTTATTGTTCTAGAGTAAGTAATTTCAATTGATAATGTTAGTTAATTTTAAAAAAAATTAAATGAAACATAAAACAAAATATCAAAATTTAATAAAAAGTAGAATTGTGTCAGACTTTCTTTTGTAAGGGATCTGACAAAGGGAGGTATGATGCAAGTGCAATTTTCATTATCCTGACATGTACCGTGTTTCCCTGAAAATAAGACAGTGTCTTATATTAATTTTTGCTCTGAAAAATGCGCCAGGTCTTATTTTCAGGGAATGTCTTATTTTTTCCAGGAAGAAGAATTCACATTTATTATTGAACAAAAAAACTCCCAAGTCGAACTTAGACGAGAGTGACGTATATCCGGTGTGTCGAACTGTCGCGTTTTTATAGCGTCAACATCGGACTCGATGACCAATTAGTGCTTACTGGACTGTAGCACTATGCAAATGTCATGTGGCGTGATTCCCGGCCGACCAATTAGCCATCTCCAGCCGTAACGTTATGCAAATCTGTGATTCCCAAGCGATAGTCTTATGCAAATCATGCCGTGTGGCGTAATTGTCTGCTGACCAATCAATGGCTGTACTTTCAAAAAGCCAACGGCCACTTTCAACCATCTGTCGATGACCGTTACGACTAAAAAAAACTTTGCTAGGTCTTACTTTCAAGGGGAGGTCTTATATTTCGTAATTCAGCAAAATCTGTGCTAGGTCTTATTTTCTGCGGATGTCTTATTTTCGGGGAAACACGGTATAAAGTAAAATCAACATTACAGAATTTTAAAATAATACAAATTATTCTTACACAAATATATATTTTCCTAAAAGATCCAGCACTTTCAAAATATATTCATAAAATTATAAGTTTAAGGTTATTTCGAATGATTTAAAAGCCAGAAGGCTCAGACAGAGCATATCTGATGACAAATAATAAAGCATGAGCTTATATCTTGACGAGTGCAAAGTTTTCAATGTCAGAGTGCAAGTAGATTATAGAACTGAGTGAAGATTGAAAAGAATTCACTTCCAACATCCAACCAATAGCAATTTCTAGATCAAACTACCATAAAAATTTCTGATAATCCGAATGGAAATCAACCCAGATCTCCTAGAGAAGCAAATGCCTTTATCAGTTTAGACTGTCAACTTGCTGTCAATAAAGATAAGATAGAACTAATATGATAAAATTACAGAAATTTAAAGATGAGCACAATAAAAACTGATTGTGTAACTAGCTATAATTAATAAAAACAAAGATAAAGAAGAGCAAACAGTAAATCCTAGAGAAAACAAAGAGAAATGTATTGCTAAGAAACAGAAATATGTGAACAGATAGCCCCATAAACTCACCCAAAGACAAAGAAAAGTTACAAAAATTAATGAAAACATATCAGTTTATATTTAATAAATTAGTAAGACTACGTTTCCATCCTGTTATAAAACATTTTCCCCGTATTTAAGATTTCTGATTTTGTAATATTTTAATAAAAAGATGTGATAAAATATTGTAAATTTTCCCTAAAAAAACATTGCAGTCAGCATGACATTGCAAAAGCATGTAACAGTCTGCATCCAGAGTTCCATCAATAAACAGTGGTCTGGATAAGCCCATTAAACTCTTCAACAACTCCACACTGACTGCAGATTTCCATTATCAAAATAACTTTAATTCATTCCTTCTTACTCATTGTAATTGTAATGCTTTATCTGTAAAATTGATTGTCGTATTTAAAAACCTTATCCAGGGAAAAACAAATACCATGTTTGCACACAGTGGAAAACATTCTAAAAACAAAACAGATAAAAGCATGTTGTAGCCATTAGGAAGTTATTGGATCATTGATGGATATGAAAACAGCTGACTTTTGAACTGAATGTAGTGCTTTGACTGTGTTCAACATCTTAGCAAAAAAACTGAAATGTGAAACATTATTCCAAAGTAAATTGCATGCCTCTCTCACTAATATGCAACAGATAAACATGGCACAATTTCATCTTGAATGTTATAGGTGTACAGAAGAGGAGTTTCTTCACTAAATAAGTGCACTTGAAGCATCGTCCATCATTACCATGTCTCAGAAACTGCAGCAAGAACTAGAAAGCTGAAGATAATGATCATTGTTTATGACTCTGAAAGTTATTTTGGTCCATGCTGTGACATAAGCAGTAAACTGTGACTATTAAAAACAAACCTTCTTGCAAAGTCATCAGTGTCCAGCAATTCCACAAAAGAAGCCTCTGTTGTTGCAGTCACATACATTTGTCCAGCACAACAATGCCCAGTGTCACATTTCTTCTGCAGTGATGACATTGCTAGAACAGTGGCACTGTAAGTACCCACCATATTCACTAGACAAGAGCCCTTGCAATTCCAGTTTGTTCCAAAAAAAAAAAAAAAAAAAAACACTCAGAGGCCAGTGTTTTCAAACTGCTTCGCAGCATCATATCTGCATCAGGATGGTCTATGCAAACCTTGTCAGAAAACAATGCTGCTGATGGCATCTGACAGCTATTAGATGTCTACCAACTAGTCATCAATGCATTGAGGATGTAAATTGAATTTGTCTCTATAATTTTTATCGAATAACTTCTGTAAAGATTCTAGAGACAAACTCGATTTATAAACCTATCTAATAATGTTTTATTTGTTATAAAAATTACATAAACAGAAATCTAAACTACAGGGAAAATAATTTACAGTATGGAATAATTGGTTGTTGTTATATTCAAATTAGAAAGATAAGAACCATCTAATTATTAATAACAGTAAAGAATAAATACCGAACAAACCTGGTTTGGAAGATATCGTTTTTTCGGAAGGAGACGTCTGTTTATCTTGGAAAAAAAAAGAGCCAGATCATGTTATTTAAAGGCACGAGAAAAAAGTAACAAAGAAAGTTAGTTTGTTTGTTTTTAGATATCTTAAAAATAATACTCGTCTTGAAAGTCTTTTCCAATACTTACCTTGCTCTGCTTGTCCCACATTGTTTGCCAACATCTGACACTGTTCCTTTGCATACCGCTTCTCTTCGGATAACGTTTCTTGGGTTTCTTCCATATAATGAAGTTGTCGGCGTAATAAATTCAATTCCTTAACAAGTGATTCCTTAGTTTCTTTGAGACTATTTATAATATCATCCAGTTTTTGCCTTTCTTGTTCACTATTTCTCAAAAGCGCTTTAAAATATATATTATATTAGTTTTATCTAGTAGTAAAATTTATCTAGTTAAGCAATAATAAAATATTCAAAAAACCTTCAACTCTAATTAGTTCCATTTGGAGAAAATCTTTATGTTGTGTCTCTTCCTGAAGTTCTTTGGCAAGTGCCTCATTACGATGCAAAAGAACACGCAAATCCTGAGTCTGCTGGGCTTCGACAGCATGCGTCAAGAGACGAAGAACTCTCTCAACAGCTGCCCGTAGTCTCTTGCTGGCACCTTGAAAATGAAATTAAATTAAAGACAAAATAAGTTATAAATTCTTTACCAATCATTTCTTTTAATAACACTAAAGTAAATAACATTACATCATAAAGAGTTGAAACATGCAACTCAACTCATTAATAAATAGCATGACCCAAAAACAGTTTGTCGAAAAGTTAGTTTGGAACAGTCATATTCATAATTTATCTGCTTTCAATGATGTTACTGAATCACAAATAAAAACATATTAGTTAACTAACTTTTGGACCATCTTATGCCTATCAGCGGCAATACACCTAATTAAAACTGGTAGTTGATCACAGGTTTGCACCTCATGACCAACAGGCTGGCCATGTGGAGTTTCCTGGATTTCATCAAATCTTTCTTATATAAATAGACTAGACCTTTTCCTATTTAGTTTACATCTGAATAAGAGCTACAACCCATAAAAATCTTTCCAAAATGCATTTCCCTGGCAGATCATCTGTTATGTTGTCACACCCTATCAAACCAAACCTTACACCAGCATTTCCCAAAGTGGGCTCTGTAGAGCCACGAGGCTCCGCAACTGAAATTCTAGGATTCTATGTGTAAATTTTAAAATATTTTTAAGTTACTGAATCAAATGCATCATTTGTTTATTTTATAGCTATTTTATGCAAGCAGTTATTTATTTAAATCGGCAGTACGCTTCAACACGATAGTTGCCATTTACCCTTATCACATTGACATTTCACTGAATAATAAAAACAAAATATATATATATTTAATTTAATCATTCAATGAAATAATAATAATAATAATAATAATAGTAAATAAAACATTAGAGCATCATTTTTTCTACGTTAATTGTACAAATTTATGGGAAAAGATGCCAACGAGTTGTGAGGATTGTGCAAAAAATATATAAATATAAATATTCCTTGTTTTAGTGCTCCTCTTTACCAAGTAGTTTGATAAATGCTGCCTTATACAACTTCATGATTCTGGATTTTTCTTTTTTGTTAATTTTTTATTACAACAAATAAGCCTCAAAATCTGAATCACAGAATTATTCTGAACCATATAATAGTTAATTTCTTAATAAACTTAATATCAAAATTTAGACTGAAGACATCATCATAATGCATTAGCATTAACAATTAGAAATTAATTTTGAATTCATTTATATTATCCGTACCTCTGACCTGATTTCTTCAATGGTACATCAATGATTGATCTTAGCTGATAACGTGGCATGAAAAGCATGATTTTCATTAGCAAAACAGGTAAAATTTGTTTTCCAATTCTCTAATTATCACTGAATTGGATGAATGTCAATAATACTAATAAATTATTTTCTTTAAAATTTAACTGGATTAATCTCTCTAATCTTGTATACAAGTCGACCCCCCCTATAACACTGTTGATAATTCCGTTTTTATAAGAATTCCATGTTGTACAAGTCACTTAGATTTTACAGATACGTGAGCCGTTCACAGCCCGGCACACATATTTGTAAAATCTAAGTGACTCGTACAACATGGAATTCTTATAAAATGGAATTATCAACAGTGTTATAGGGGGGTCGACTGTACTTAATTAGTTAATTTATCAATGCAAAGCTCAAGTTAATTAAGAGATAATTTTGTCTATTATGGAGGAATCTAACATACAATAGGATCAGCCAACAAAGGTAAAGAATGAGGAACAATACTTTAATCCATACTATCTGTAATAAATTTTGGAAGTCTGAATTAAGTACTAAATTGGATTTCCAACAGAGATAGAATGAAACCTTACAATCTTTAATTTTTAATTAATTGATAAATCAAATAAGACAGTAATAAAATAATCTAGCTCCTTTATTCTATCCAACATGTTGGAGCAGTGTGTGAAAGCCCTTTTGACTACACCCGTAAAGATTTTAAAAATGTATGGGTTCGTCTGTTGCTCCACTTCCTAGACATCCTTTTCATGATATAGAATGGACACACCTCCACCAAGGTTTACAGAAACCAACTTACCATTTGCTGTTCATCCTTTTCAAATCCCAGGACCCATAGAGTTTCAAAACTGTAGCCTTTACAGCCTTAGCCAAAAGGGCTTTTACTCACTCTTCCAACATATTGGACAGAATAAATAAAATAATCACATATTTCCAAAAGTTCAACATTTCTTCTAGTATATCTGTAATGGTTGACAGTTGCATTTCACTGTAGCAAATGCAATTTAATTACAACAACTGTCATTCTAACAGATATTTATTAATGAACCTAAAATTACTTTGTGCTTCTTATTTAATGAAAATGAAAAGCAAAATATCCTGAATAGTTTAAATGATGATTTAAAACAGCAGAAAAAAAATTATAAAAGTTAAATCACTCTATTATATACACTTGCTGACAAAAAAGTTATGCGCCAAGAAGGGGGCATTGGAAATGAATCAAACTTTATTAGTGCAAACATAATGACAACAATAATAAATGATTACATTATTATAATACTGTATCATTTATTACCATTGTCATTATGTTTGTGCTAATAAGGTTTTATTCGTAGCAAAGCAGATACTTTCCATGGAACACTGGTACAATTTAAAGAAACTTTTACTACATTTTAGAACCTTTGTTTGCCTGGAAACATGTGGTAATACACACATGGAAACATGCAAGCACTGAAAGCTATCCTGTGACAGATTTTTGCATAGAAACTATATCTTTGCTCCGGATCCTTCACACTTGTGATTGGCTTAAGTTGGTATCTATCTTATCCACCAAATGGAGCAAAAATCTAAACAACAAAGAAGACAGAAAATGTGGCAATGTATGAAGTTTGTCTTAGAAAATCCTACAATGTATGTTGCTGTAGGATTTCCAGAATATAATGATTTGCTTTCAATATTCTTTGCAACACTACTAGGATTAACTGATTGTCCAGGATATGAGATGCCTTTCTAGACCGTTATGCTGACAATTGTGTTGTTCAACACTAAAAACTAGGTTGAAGTGCTCACCTGTTATCCCATGTACAGTACTTCAACATGGTGGCTGTCTGTTCCCAAAGAAAACTGGAATTTGTTACTAAAGACACTATGCTGCCAGTCTATAGCAGTTTGTGCTTCTCTGTCATGGCACCACTATAAACAAAGTCGATAATGTAAAGATATGAATGGCAAGACATGTAGCAGCTGTTGTGCATGCGAATTTGCCTCTGCTAATTGCCAGCCAATAATAGTAATAATAATAATAAAAACAGAGTTCTGAAACAAAGTTTCCATCTGTCTCAGGATGGGGCAAAGACAGTTTGTTGTAGCTGTATGTGTTTGTCTCACAATCATACAGTTACCTCTCCTGGTCTGGAACATCCAAAGTTTGCCTATCATGTGTGTCCCTATCATGTGTGTCCCTATCATGTGTCTATCAGTCCCTGACTGTGAGGACAGTGTGTCCACTGTCGACAGTGTGTCCACTGTCCTCACAGTCAGGTCAGAAAGACCCAGATGGCAAGAAAATCAACAAATGGTCATCCTGCTTCTCTCAGCCTGACAATGTGGCATATCTCAACTCTATCATAATGTGTTTGAGTGCATCATACTGGCATGCTTGGTGTTCAGAGACATTCAAACAACAGGTACACTGAAAGTATTGAACATTGAGCCTCTGTGAGCCTAAGGGACCAAATTTTCAGGCACTCCAATGGCATTACCTGGCATGCAATATTTTTATAACTGTAATCATTTACATACCTGTTTGAGACTGCTATACAACAAGTTTTGCATTAAACAAACAATTCTATCTGGTTGCATAACATTTCCATCAATGAGTGTATATAATTGCACATCAACACAGAATATAATACTCAAGTCTTGGTTTATTTCATATAAACTTATGCTGAATGAAAGTTTTCTTATTTAAACATTAATATCTAAAAATATTACAAAAATGTATTGAAAAAATAAATAAACAATAAATAAACGTGCAAAATGGAATAAATTAAAGAGAAATGAGAGAAAAAACTGAAACATTTTAAACAAAAACACAATAAAAAAACTTAATTGTAGAACTAAAAATGGTGCACAAAATACATGCAACATAAACAGATGTATAAGAGTAAATTGATGCAAATGAAATATCGATTGCAGCATTTATAGAACACAATTTCTAATAAACTGTAATGTTCTGTTTTAAACTTTCCTAATAAACTTTTAAACTCATTACGAAATCTCTATTTTTGTAGCAGCAGCACTTTATTTTCAATGCTCTCACGTGATAAATTCAAACAAAATTTGATGAAATTTGTTCCTGTTTGAGCTTACTATCACAGACTATATTAAAATGAACCATCTCAGTTACAAAAAATGTCACTCTGAAGCATATAATACTTTAAAATAAATTAAAGTGTTATTGCATTTCAGTTAGTTATCATCAAGGAGTTGAGTATGTCAGGATAATTCCTAAAAACTAGTTTTTTTGTTAGGAATTATTATGGAAGGATAAACCACTGAACAACCCATGTTCAGTAGTTTATCTGCCCAATCAGTAGTTGGAATTATCAAATGCTCTTAAAATACAAGATATCTATTACATTCTGAAACTATGTAAAGTAAATTACATTCATTTAACATTTACGAAATATGAGTAATATTCAAATGAATAATAAATTCCAAAAACGGTTCTGATAAAATCTGGAGTTATTTAAGTATTTCTGCATTCTTTATCAAAATATTAAAGTCTTTTACCATTTGAAACCTTATTATAAGGAATCTGAATGAGACAAATTTAAGTTACTTAATAATTCAGAAATTTAACTTGTAATTTGGTTTCACAAACACCCTTATACCCCGTTCGCACACAATCCACGACTCACTTCGATCTCGATTTACCTACAATCTGGATTGTAACTGTCGCTAGTGGAACGTCGTGCTGTTCGCACAGGTAACTTGCTTGAGAAAAACCCGGCTATTACACGCGATGATAAAATTGACATAACTACGCAGTAAGTCACGAACACCAACAAACAAAATGGGAGTTTTGGTTAGAAATAAATACTTTTTCTTGCCGTATATCTAATAATATACGGCAAGAAAAAGTACGGCAAGAATCAGATGTCATCGTCTCTCCAGATGTCTTTTTTATTTTTCTGTCGATAGCTGGACACGTGTTCAGCAGCCATCTTGTATTTTTTCGCGCGCGTGGGATTGTGGGATCTCTCTTATGACTGGATCTAGTAGAACCTCGTTTCAGTCGAGATTGAAACGGTCGAGAGCGTTTGCACCAAGGAACTCTCTCCGACCTTAGTCACAATCTAGATCGAAATGCTCGGTGCAACGGAGTATTACAATATATCTGCAACGTACCCAAAACAACATCTTCGCCCTCCATTTCCACTTCATGGGCAGCAATAGAAGAAGTAAACAAATCCCAAGAACGTGGAGTTAAGTCGGGACCGTCTTCGCTAAGTTCAAGATTCATTGTTTCTCCCATAAACACAGTAAAATCTTCCCTCGATCCCACTATCGATAGAAAGTAATTTATTAGATTCACAAATCTCTTAAATAATATATAATATTGTAATAATTTTATTTGTGTAGCCAAATATCAATCAAAAGATTTTGTAAGTTCTACAAAAGTACTGTTGTTGTTCTCACACTGTTATTGTTAGTAAAAATTTGTTAGTTATCAGATGAAAGTGTTTTTACACATGTTGATAATTCTGGACTTAGTAATGGGCAATTATGTGCAAACAATTTAATATATAAATTTGAAATTTCTTGTGATAGACATTCTATTAGTGTCGTCAGGTCTAAAATAGCATTTTTGTGCCTATCACAGATTTAGCCAAGCCCACAATAGAGACAATAGGTGATAAAGTGATAAAGCAGACATAGCCAAATAATTTATGAAAATCTTACTCATCCAGACTCAAATTTAAATGACTGGAACAGCAAAATAATACTTTTATTTGGCCTTCAGGCTGTCATTAATTTAATATTCTTAAAATATAAATTTAAAAATATTATGGAACAGTACTTAGATCTTTCCTACATATTCTTACATTAAATTACTTGTCTTTTGTGAACAGATTGACGTCATTTTCTATTAAAATCAAAAATAAACAAACTATTTGTAATAATTTTGATTGTTACATATTCAGAAGACTTCTTTGCTGCAAATTTTCAACAATCTGAGATTGTTGAAAATACTGATAGTTACTTTCAACTTAAGTAACTTTTACATTAAAGCCTAGTAACATTGTTTAATAATAATAGCAACTGAGAAGACTACAAGCAATTATAAAGTGTTTGTTGCCTCGTATATAAAGGTTTCTGGAAATGAGAATTTGACATGTAAAGACTTTGTTCTAAAAATTACACCAGTAATAGATCTGTATTAACATTTCAAATGTTTCACAAGTGACTAATCAGCTTCTAAAGAAAGATCAAAGCTATCTCAGTACTTTTAGTACAGGTTCAATTATGTATAATGTGGGATAGTATAAGAAGTGAAGCAAGAAAAGAATAGAATATATCAGGCATGTGCAATAACTTATCAAAAAAATAACAAAATTATACATTTAAATGAAAAAAGTGTGTGTGCTTAAAAATGTATTTAAATCAAATTTTAATAAAATACTTCACATTATTTAAATTTATTTAAATTAACAACTGAGACAACAATTACCAAATATTATAACACAATCTAAATCTGCAAATATGGGTATGCATTGCCTATCAAAGCAGGTATGTTTTGGAAATACTTTATTATGTGAACATTATAATATACTTAGACAAATTTTATATGGCATAGTCCAGTGTTCCACAACCTTTTTCTACTCGCGACATGACTCAACATGACACACCAAAATGTTATTATCCTCAAAAACGTATGATATGATACTATTAATAGAATCTCGTAATGCCATAAACCTATTATTATTATTATTATTATTATGTTGGATTTTGTGAGTTATACTCAGTTCACACCGGTGGCTGTGTACTATGCCGGACCAGAGTAAAGGCATAGCAACCAAAACAAAACAAATTAAATAAGTGTGTCAGTGTGTGTGTCTGTATTCAGGAATTTCCTAACAATGTGACATGTATTCAATATAGTGGCCTTCTGTAGTGTAATGTATGTATTTCTACTCAATTCTAATGTTCCCAGGCTTTTGTGTAGTGTGTGTGGTATCACCTGTGCAGGAGAGAATGACAGGTACAATAAGCACCCTATCCATCGTCCACAGATGCCTTATTTCCTGGGCGAGTTCTGTGTACTTGCTAATTTTTTCAGTACATGTGTTTTGTACATTGTGAGTGTTTGGAATGGCTATGTCTATAATGTATGTGATTTTATAGTGTTTGTTAATGAGTGTGATGTCTGGTCTGTTGTGGTAAATTGTTTTATCTGTGATTATGGCTCTGTCGTAGTACATTTTGTGCGTATTGTTTTCCAATACTGTCTGTGGAATGTATTTGTAGTATGGTTCACGGATGTCTAATAATTTGTGTTTCTTTGCAAGCTCTTGGTATATTATATTTGCTACTTGATTGTGTCTATGTAAGTAATCTGTCTGTGCTAAGAGCTTGCAGCCAGAAGTGATGTGTTGTATAGTTTCTGGCATGATGTGACATTTTCTGCATGTGTCATTTGTTAGGGTTGTATCTTTGAGTATGTGTTTTCTGTAGTTTTTAGTATTTATGACCTGATCCTTTATGGCAATCATGAATCCTTCCATCTCCCCAAAGAGACATCACCAAGCTAACCAGCTGTTTGACACAGTTTTGTCAACAAAATCCTGGGCCAGGTCATAGGGATGTCTGCCACGGAGTGCCTTTCGTACCCATGATTGCTTAATTAATGGTGTCTATGCTATTTATAAGTTGTGTCATGTCCATACGTTGTGAATGTAAATTTAATGGTGTGTTATTTGAGTTTGCTAGAGTTACTGCTTTATGTAATTGTGATGTTTCTTGTTTCCTGTAGAAAAACTCTCGCAGTGACTGTATTTGTTTGTGGTGAAGGTTAACTATGTCGATCAGGCCACGTCCGCCATCTTTACGTGGGAGGGTTAATCTTTCTATGGCGGATTTAGGATGATGTTGTTTATGCTTAGTAAGTGTTGTTCTTGTTTTCATTTGGAGTTGCTCGAGATCTGTGTGAGTCCAATGTATAACTCCTAAAGAATAAGTGAAGAATGAGATGACATATGTGTTTATTGCTTTAACATCATTTTATTTCATCAATGAATGAAATACAAGCATAAGAAACACAATGACTGTGATAAAAATATATAAATAAAACTTGAAATTAATAGAAGATGTAAACCTTTCATCACACCTTTCACCTTATGATGGCACACCGGTTGCGGAACACTGGCATAGTCTACCATTTGTACAGGCTATATGTAACACACTAATAAGTGTTTATGTATCTAAAACATAGAAAAGGTACGGTGGCTATGTATTTTTCAACTCCATTACAATTTCATGGGACTGCTGTCATACACATAGGTCACTAAAGTATCTAGTCATATATCTCTATAAAATGAAAGAGTTTTTTAGTTATAACCCATTTATCACATGAAATTAAAAAAATAATGACAGATATGAAATCTTCAGACGTTTTATACTAGAAAAAATATTTACATGTGCAAAAAATATTAATCAGAAACAGAAATACAATTTTATTTCAAATTGGTGAAAATTTTTACATCACAAAAGTATCTGGACAGAGGAAATAAATTGAAGTGTCAAATCATTTGTTTAAAAACATGTTTACAACAATTTGCCACAAAAAAATAAGTTAAAGTATTTGTTTCATACTTGCATTGTTTTATTTTGTCATTGTGAACAATGAAAACAGACAAATTAACCATTGTTACTAAAGAACTCATTGGCAAGTACTAGCAAAAGAGGAAATCTATGCAAAACCTTACATAAGAGTTTTACATTCCAAAATCCACAATTTAAGATACCAATACTTACAAATTACTTACAATAAATAGTGTAGCTAATAAGGCTCAAACTAGATGTCCTGAAATATTTATGTTGAGACTGAAATGTGTCATTGTCAAGAAAGTGAAGAAAAATCCATAAATAATTGCTCCTAAGCTTGTTGTTGAGGCTTCTGTAGAATGTGGAGTACATACATCTGCAGAAACTATCAGAAAATCTTTAAAAGCAAGTAGCTATAAAGATTTTATGGCTATGGAAAAAACCAGTAGTAAAGGTTAGAGTTTGCAAAAAGACTTTTATATAAAATCAGTAATATTTTGGAGATCAGTTTTGAGGTCAGATGATCAAAATTCAATGTGTTTGGTTCAAATGATTGCCTGAAAGTAAGGAGAAAAGCTGGAGATTCTTTAATAATGAAAAATCTGATCTCTACAGTAAAATGTAGAGAGAGTTTAGTGCTATTTGGAGTTGTATGTCTGCAAATAGTGCTAGAACTCTGCAATTTGTTGATGAAATAATGAATCAATATGTGTATAAATAGATTTTAAATAACAATATTCAGAAATCAGTAAGAAAATTTTAAAGTCAGAATATAATTAAGATATTGAGGGTTTGTTTTCCAGCATGACAATGATCCAAAGAACACTTCGAAAATCAATTAATTTCTTGATGTGTCTTGTATAAAAGTGTTCCACAATCACCTGACCTCAATCCAATTCAGTATTTATAAGATCACATTAAACGAACAATTAGAACAAAATCAATAACAAATGAAACTGATCTCAAAAACATCATCATCAGATTTTTGAATTTAATGCACAAAACTGTTATAAAACTTTGGATGAAATCAATGCTTAGTTGCTATCAGAGTAAAGCCTGGTACTCACATGCGGCAACGAACGACGGAAATCATCGATGGAAACAGTTGCCGTTCCGTCGTCTTTCCGTATCGCGTGTACTCACATGCGGAAATTACCCTACAATTGAAATGCGCCATCTGCCAGCCGTAAATATAAACAAGCTACTACAGTAGGTAGGCCACGTGCCAGTAGTCGAAAATGGCGTCTACAGGGATTGCTTTGTTATATCAATTAAACTTTTTAAGTTTGCCTTCGATATTATCGCAAATAAAAAAACCTCAAAAAAGAATAATTTGGACAGGAAAAATATTCTAAATCGTCGAAAGTTAGGAATATCGAATACTTTCGTCGCCGAATTACGCTTACTCCATTCCCAATACTTTACGCAGTAAGTAAGTCTATTTGACATTAATGTTTAAATCGGATAGTAATATAGAGTATAAATGAAATATGTTAGCGTATTAGTGTACAAATAAAGCTTTTTAGCTTGCCGACCGCCATAGTTCAAATGCTATCGTCCCACGTGATCTTTATGACGACATTGGCTAAACGGTCTTCCTATTGGTCTAATTTTTACCGTGCCGCTTTCCGTCGTGGCAAAAGTTGAAAATTTTCAACTTCGTACTCCGTCGACGTCAACGGCAAAAGTGACGTCATTTTGCCGGTCCGTCGACCGTTTCCGTCGTCCGTTGCCGCATGTGGGTACCAGGCTTAAAAGGAGGCCCAACTCGTTCTTAAATGTATAAAATATTTTGTTTTATTGTTATTTATTTTTTTGTCTGGATACTTTTGTGATGTAAAAATTTTCTCAGTTTTAAATAAAAGTATCTTTCTCTTTCTGATGAATGTTTTTGTATATGTAAATACTTCTAGTGTAAAAATCTCTGAAGATTTCACATCTCTCATTAGTTTTTTTCTATTTTGTATGCACTAAAAGTTTTTCAGGCCTATTGGAAGTCTGATTAAACATATAAAGAAAGCAACTGGATGAGGAATAATACTGGACTTATCTAAGTCAAATCATTCAAGAGAATTCCTGAAATTCTAACTTGAATTCAAACCTGAAATCCTTAAATGTCAAGTCAATGATTTTATTACTTCATTTATAATAATGCATGTTGATATTTTCTCATATTTTTTAACTGTTTTCACTATGGAAGCATTAATGGAACTTTTTTGTGGCCATTAAAAGTTTAGTTGGTCTTGTAATGGCAATGGATAAGTAAAGGGACACATCCCTACAAATTTGAATCAAGAAAAAAAATTATATGAATCTTATTTGAACAGAAACCTGAATCCGAAGAGGTAAAAACTAACAGCAGTCTATTCATTTCTCTTTTCAAAATATTTTAGACGATAAAAAAAAAAATTCTTTTTGACAATCTTAAATATTTGAAATGCAGTTAATATTTGGTAATTGTTACATTGAATCTAGATACAAAAACACTTTCATAAAGAATTTTAGCAATCTAAAATATTAAATAAAATATTAAGAAATTTTACCGGGGATAAGAGTTCCTTCTTCGTCTTGTTGAAAATTATTTTCTGCGGGATGCAGAGCATCCAATCCCAACTGAATTAAGCGATTATTAATGTCCTGCTCTATATCAAAGAAAGTCTTGACGAGATCGGAGAGCACATGTAGCAATCTTGAATTAGTCTGTGCCGCTTGACTAAATGGTAAAAATGAGTTATTGTTTTATTTGTTTTTTATGACAAATAACGGTCTCATTAAGTTTGGATATGTTTAACCATTACACACTATATTATTTCTTATGAAAATTAATAATTAACAATAAAAATACTCACACTTGCCATGACTGAACATCGACTGTCGATAGTTCTGTATTCGAAGACCAATCTCTGTTGAAAATGTAAATAAAAACAATATTTAATATCAAGAAAGGATGCAAATCTAGGTATTGTCTTTGTTATTAAATCATCTATTTAAGTTTCCAATTAAATATTTTGATTATTATTAAAAATCCAGCTTGATTAATAGATCAGTGATACAGTTTTGGCTTGGTTACTTATACAAATATGCCATGGCAAAAGCTTAAAGTCAGATGAGTGCCAGAATCATGGATGGCAATCAATCAGCAGGATAAGCGACCAGTATGATTATATTTTCTAAATTAATTGGTCTGAAAATAAACATTGAACAAAGGTCCAAACATTGTTATTGGCAATGCAACTGCATGGTATAGGTTCAAATCCTGCTCTGGATTGATTTTTTCTTCCATTATATTTTAAACTGCTAAATTCAACATAAATGACATGAAATATTCTCAATCCATGTATTATAAAAAGACTTTACATTAAACTGAAACTTGTGAATTCAAGTCACTTAAGCAAAATGTTTAAGTAGACAAATAAATTATTTAATTAATATTACAATTTTAAAATTAAGCAAATCAATAAATAAAACTAATAACTTACTTATTTTGCTTTGACTGAAGTCGTTTACTTATTTGCTTTTCTTTCAGTTTCATCTTTTCTAATTCAATCTCTAATGTCTTTTTAGATTTCTCCAACTGTCAAATTTAAATGACTAATTATTTCCATGGCAATTTAAATTTTAAAACACTTAACTAATGTCAATGAACGAGTCCTACTGAACATATGCTTCATATTGTTCTCAAGTTACGCAGAAAGTTTTAACGAAAGTGAAATTTTTGGATTATGTAAAACAATAAATTTATCAGCTGAGATCAATAATATAGAACTGCTCTAAAAAAATAATAGAAGTCTTTAATTCAATACTAAATACTGTCAGAATGTTTCAAAAAGAATACGTCAACTGATAAAGAAGAAAATAGAAGCTGTATCAAAGCAGTAGAAAACATTCTTGTGCCTGCTTTTTAACATTTAATATAACTTTGTTTATAAAAATGTTTATGATTTTACACTTTACTCCAAATAAATGCATAATTAATTATTTTCCTGTTTATTTGTACGGATAACCTTAATATTAAAACTCTACATAACTTGAGAGTAGTTGATTTGACATGTTTATGAAAACTTTTTCCTTCATCTTAACCTCTTAAAAACAATGGTGGCCAAACTGTGGCTATTCTCGATCCTTATTGCAGCTCCTGTATAGTTGTACAATTTATTTTTATAAACTTGAGACATGATACACATATGTAATATTGTAAAATTATATGAGAGTTGTGATAAGAGTCTACAAGAGCTGCATGTGGATCATCACAGCAAGTCGTATCTTTGCCACCGTGGCTTTTTGAATACTTGTATAATATACCAAGTAATCATAGTTAAAGTACTATATTATTCAATGCTTTCTAGAGAAGTATTTCCAAATCTAGTATGGTGACACTTCAATTAGATATGTTACAATTTTATGATATTCAATAGTCAGCATCACTATTGACACTAATACAAATCTACTGAAACTTAATGAGAATAATGATGCAGCATTTAAAGTTCCATTTCTACAAGTTATACAGCCTGAAAATCAATTTTAAATTTAAAAAAAATAAGCTCTTGCTGTAACTGCCTGAGTTTATTCCATTTGTCAAAGTAATACTAGTAACTTTCATCGGTCATTCACTCCTGGTTAATGAATATCTAACAAAAACAGACATAACAATGTTTCCTCAACCCAACCTATTTATTCTTTGATTTTGCTCCTGAAGACTTTTCCATTCCTATAATGTAAGAGAAATTAAATGAGGCAGGTTTCAATTGGCAGAAGAGATGGAAATTGTAGTAACAAGAACTAGCAAAAACATGGAAAAAAATAGCTTCCAGTATTGCTTCAACAAATGGAATAAATTCAGGCAGCTACAGCAAGAGCTTATTTTGAAAGTGATGTGGTGTAAATGATTGTGTAATAAACTTGTGGCAAAAGATTTATAGTATTTTCAAGGAATATGCTTAACATTTTTTCCCTGCAACCTCCTGACATTGTTGCAGATGAAACACCACTTTCTTTACATTCAACATAAAGAATCAACAACTCAGTATGTGACATTAAAGAAGTTGATTGTCATGTGATCTCCCAAACCCAACAGTGCTAACACTTACAAAAAAATACAGACCGATTTGCCTTCTCCCAACTCTAGGAAAAGTGTTAGATGGTCTAATGATTAATAGGATCATTTGGCATTTACACAAGCATAGAGCCCTGCATCAGAATCAGTTTGGCTTCTCTAAAAACAGAGAGACTGTAGATGCCATCCACCAAATTGTTAACTACATTCACCGGGCTAAATATAATAATCAGCATAAGGTTATAATTACTATTGACTTTAGAGGCGCCTTTGATCAAGCCTGGTGGCCTTCTATCTTGCACATATTACAGGCTCATCACTGCCCTCAAAATCTTTACAAACTTCAACATCCTATCTTAGCAACAAAAGTGCAGATGTTTATACAACACAAAATAACATAATCATACCCATCACTAAAGGCTGCCCTCAGGGATCAAGGTATGATGCTGGTCTCTAGAACACAATCTATAACTCTATCCTGCACTTAAACGACAACCTGCTTCTTGTCAGCCGCACACAGGGCTATGTGGATGACACAATTATCCTAGCTTCACACAGGAACTGTGAAAGCTTACAGGACATATGCAATGACATTCTCAATAACATTCAACAATGGAGTATTAACCTATCCTGCATTGTTCCTGAATATTTTCGTGTTGACCTCATTTGACCTGTGTGGAGACCTCAAATATATTGGTCTCTGCATCGAACATTTTTGATACTAGATGTCGCTACGTGTCATAATTTTTATATTAAAACGAACTTTCGAAATATAATATTTCTGTATTTATAAAATAAAAAAATAATTTCAGACAATAAAATAGCCACAATTACTTTTTTAAAAATGTGTAATTTTCGTTTGGCTTAACATTGACAAAAATTCAACAAGGTGTTACAGGCCATGGACAATAATTTCAACATCGGACAGGTTAAGCATAGGCAACCCATTAACACAGACAAATGCGAAAGCACGATAGTTGATAGGAATGTGCCAATCGTCAGGAAGCTTACCCTTTGAATAGGTGCTCATGGAATAAAGCAAACAACAGAAATTAAATATTTAGGTGTTATTCTTGATAAGAGACTTAACTTCACACCCCATATCAAATACATCATGGACAAAATTAAAAAGATGGCCAACGTCCTCATTAGTATTGCTAGGAACACATGGGGCCTGGCGCTAACGCTACTAAGCTTATTTACAGGAGTGCAATTCAGCCAGCACTCATCTATGCCGTACAGGTCTGAGGCCACGTGACTGCCAAAGTCCATAACCATAAAAAACTGTTCAAAGGATTGCAGCTCTATGCATTTGTAAGGCTTATAGGACCGCACCCACTAGTGTCTTTTGGTGATGTCAGGATTGACCCCTATCGACTTAGAAATTAAATGCATTATTTGCCAGGAAAATCTCATTACCTTACCCTGGCGAGATTATAGCGACTTCAATGTTGACAAAATGATTAGAGTAGGTAAGATTCCCCTCAGTTTGACCTTGATTGATGATATCAAAAAATTCAGCATTGACAAAAATACCCTCCTGACTTACAATTACCACCCCTCTCATCAGCTTGCCTCTGACATTTACTTCAAAGTTCCAGATGATCATCCCATGTTTAGGATTTACACTGACGGTTCCAAGATGGGTGACGATGTGGGTGCTGCTTTTGTAGTTTACTCCAACGTAGGCCACGAGCTTCACGACACTTGCTTCAGTCTAGGTACACACTGCTCAATAGCACAGGCAAAAACTTTAGCTATTTATATGAGCTTAATTCACATTAGGTTTAGGAAGGACAAAAGACACTACTTACACTATCACATTTATTCTGACAGTAGGGTAGCTTTACACAGGATTGCAAAGTTTGTCATTGTGTTGGTTTGCTTTTCGCACTGTCTGTCTAGCTGTTAAGTAGTATTAAGATTTGTGCTCGTATTCGGTTTTATTAGTATTAAGTAGATTAAGTCTTCCTACTAACAGCCACTTGGCACTAACTTATACACTTAGCTATTTGTAGCGACACTCAATTATTGGTGTTCGCTACACTCAGGTTTTCTTTTAGACCCTTTGGGAGACTATGGCCTTGCAGCCTAAAAACTGCACACCAACATCGAACGTACAGGGTACAGTAGCCATATGCACGCCATTCAGAGGGATCCTACCTTTCTCTACTGTCTATCTCTTCTCCCTTCTTCTTCCCCTCTCTCCCTTACCCTCTTTTCCACCAGTTAAACTTTGTATGACCTATGTCTTTTACGTGTGCATGTATGTCATGTGAACTATCAAAATACAAGGAGACGTGATATTTCATTTGCAACAACATAAAAATAAATGAAAATATGTGATATATATTATTTGATTTTTTACACCTTGTCTAACTCACTTTATCTTATTCAAAATAATATAAGATATTTACTCTGAGTTTCTAATAACAGACACAATATTGCATATGTACAGAGTAGTCATTTAATGCTTATGGTATCTTTAATGCTTTATGTATCTTTAATGCTTATGGTATCATTTAATGCTTATGGTAGCTTTAATGCTTATGATATAAATAAAATGAAACAAACCTCTCTAAATTTCGATTTAAGTTGTAATAACTCCTCTAACAAATGGCTATTTTCTTGGTTATACATTGCCATATCCTTCTCCATTTGTAGTTGCAATTGTTCCATTTCTTCCAACAGTTCTAATTTCAAATTGAGATCTTGACAAGTTTCGTCCGTAATCGTATTCTTGTTGCAACTTCCACGAACTACTTTGTCTGACTGAATAAAGCAAGAACAGATATGCTACTTTCAATATGTAAGAAATAACTTCAATTATTAAATAATCATATCAAAAAAAATTTTATAATTGATAGTATATAAAGATATTTAAATAGTATATAAAGGTGTTTCTCAAGTAAAAAATTTTCCTACACTTCCTGCAAACTACCAGGTTACAATGGATCAAACAAGTGGTAATGGACATGGTCCAATGTATCAGACCATCTACAAAAATTTCTGAGGATCCAAACTAGACTCAAATTTCTGAATAGTCAGATAACTTTATGACAACTATGTAATTAGCTTAAAACTTTCTAACTAATTTGATAAGGTGTTGGACTATTTTAAAAAATATAAAAACCATAAATTGCAGCAGAAACTTTAATTACTATAATGTTTTCGGCTGTATTTAACTGACCTTCTTTAAGTAGCACACAAATAAACATGTGAAATGACTAAAGCAAAATGATTACCAAGTAATTGTTAGTAGTGATAATGTAGCCTGATTTAATCCAGTAATCATTTGGCTTTAATATATTGATATAATCATCAGACTTTTAGATATTTATAAAACTTGAAATTCTTTTCTATATATAATTTAATTAGTCCAGCTTCACACATTTCAAATGTTTACTCTAGAATTTTTTTCAAATCACTATTCTATTCAATACAAACTTCAATTTTTATGTTCTTAAAGAAGATTGGTTAAATACAATGAAAGCATCATAGTGATTAATGTTTTTTGCTGCAATTTTTGGTTTCTGTATGATTTTATATATCAGTGCAGTTTTGAGAAGGTGTGGACTATTGTTCCCTATTTTATCGATGGGCAAATACAATTTATTTCTCACACAATTTACAGTGTTATGTATCTTAGATTATAAAAGTATTTTACTTACTTCGTAAGGAACTTTATCACTCATTAACTCTTTGGACTTCCCTGATTCTATAACAATTTTGTTATATTTCATTTGCAATTCCTTCAGTTCCCTGAACAATTAAAAAATGCACATAAATATATTATTTAGTAATATCACTTTTAATTATGCGAAATACTGTATTTTAAAAATAATTTAAATCATATTTACTCTTTAAATTTATTTTGTCATTATATGCTTTATAACAAAGACTAATATTGATATAACTGTAATAAATGTGATTAGTAAAGTTATGGAGTTGTGGTGCCTTACAACTCTCAGAGATTTCAAACTTTGCTCATATATATTATATGACAATATGCCCGTATAATATATATACCCATACGCATTGAATATTATTAATTTGATAATATTTAAAGAATTTGTTTCGTCGTCATCTAAAACAATAGATCATATCCAATGTATTGAATTTAAATTAAATTATTTATGGTAACATCATCACAATGCCAAGCTGCAAGTTTTAATCATACTTTTAATTTATTTAATTTAAAATATATGCTCTCCACCTCAAATTAGTAGTATACTATTCCTTTAACAATAGAGTTGTGCTGGTCATCTAACTCCTTTCAGGGGAAAATTTCTGAATTGAAATAATATGACTTCCGGATTGCATCAGAAGTTTGTATATAGTTAATCGAAGTCACTTACCTCTAAGCTTTCTATATCTGGTCTCGGCTTTCATCTATTTAACTCTTTTTCCAAGATTAAGAAAGGACAGACAAACAGACAACAGTGGGAATTTATTGGTCTACAATTTTTTAAATTTCAGCCCAAATAGTGATGAGTATAAGAACAGGAGATGCATTCTTTCACCAATTTGTTACCAAATAAAGGTCATTTCATATAGAGTCACATGAAATATTGGATGGTTAACCCAACATTCCATATGATTCTACATGAAACATGTAACATGAGCATTTGTATATTGCTATGTTGCTACAAGATACATACACAGTTATGTATAGGAATATTGTAATATAGAGAAAATTTAGTTATTTAATATTCAAGTGTGAATGATGCTTAAATGAATTAAATTTTCACAATTTTTTACTTTATAATAACCGATATCTCAAATTATCATATTGGTAACCCTCTCTGTAGGCTGCATAATAAGTATAAGATCTCAGAGAATGCATAAACAGCTCATAGTAGACAACATGTCAAGAAAACAATGTCAGGGGTTGTACTACCATGTTTCCCCGAAAATAAGACATCCTCTGAAAATAAGAAATAGCAGAGATTTTGCTGAATTGTGAAATATAAGACCTCCCCCCAAAAGTAAGACCTAGCAAAGTTTTTTTTTAGTCGTAACGGTCATCGACAGATGGTTGGAAGTGGCCGTTGGCTTTTTGAAAGTACAGCCACTGATTGGTCAGCAGACAATCACGCCACATGGCATGATTTGCATAAGACTATGGCTTGGGAATCACAGATTTGCATAACGTTACGGCTGGTGATCGCTAATTGGTTGGCCGGGAATCACGCCACATCACATTTGCATAGTGCTATGGTTCAGTAAGCACTAATTGGTCATTGAGCCCAATGTCGATGCTATGAAAAGATTAAGTTGAAGCGAGAGTGGGAAGTCCACTCCAGCACGGGAACTTCGTAAGTTCACTTCGGTTTTATTTAAGTTCAGTTTGACACGACCGGATATACGTCACTCTCGTTTAGGTTAAACTTAGGAATTTTTTTGTTCAACAATAAATGTGAATTCTTCTTCAAAGAAAAATAAAGGAAAAATAAGACATCCCCTGAAAATAAGACCTAGCGCATCTTTGAGAGCAAAAATTAATATAAGACACTGTCTTATTTTCGGGGAAACAGGGTACATAGCACCAAAATCACTACTTGATAATATTTTTATTAAAGTGGCAATAAAAATATAATATTGGTGATAGCAAGTAGTAATAAAAACCTTAGTCCACTTATTTTGACATTCATCATTAAATTGAATCACAAAGCTCACTTCTGGAAAAACAGTAGAATGTATAGCTCCAGTGCACCACACACCTAGCGATTTCATGACGCCATGCAGCGAGTTTGGACAGAAAAGTCAGAAGTGATGTTAAGAACTGAAGGCAGTTTTCATGTAATGCTGCCCAGCATTTCCAGATTGGGGATTTTTTATTGACCAACAAAAAATTTGTGGAATTTTTTGGGATAAATTTTTTTCACTTTGATCTTTTTTCAGTAAACTAAAACAAAAATTTTGCCATGACAAAACATTGAAATACTTTAAAAAGGGTTGGCAAAAATCACAATTTATTAAAGTAAAAATTACATTACAGGTACTAAACATATCTTCATTGCTCACCATGTTCAATCGATGTAAAACAGTCTATTAAATTGTGATTTCCACCAGTCCTTTTTTACAAAGAAATGTTATATTTTAATTGTGTTGGGATTATCACCTGTGGACATTTTAGGCTGTTTTACATATCTGTGCATAGTAGTAGCCTACAAAGAAAGGTCATCTCTGCAGTGAAGAATAGTTGTTCCTGGTAATTGGACATGGCAAGCAATGAAGATATGTTGAGTATCTGTAATGTAATTTTTACTTTATTAAACATGTGAAATACTATTTAAACATTTTGATCAAATGTGTTATTCGAAATTTTTCATTAAAAAATTATATAAAAATGATTTCTCTTGCTAACAAGGAGAGGGCCAGACATTTGAGTCTCCAATTCAAACAAAATATGGTGGGCATGTAGCCTTGAACACAAACAACTCCTTGTCCAAATAATAAGACGCACTTCTCAAGTGTTTCCCAAAAATCAGGCCTCTGAAAATTGAGTGTTTAGCTTATAAATCTTTAGTTTAGTATTTTTTATGTGTAACATTGTTATTTTACTGCATCCTTAGTATTATTATTACTATTGTTATTCCTTATGTTTAAAGCTTATAAAACAAGAGCAATGATGCAATAAAATAATTATGTTATACATAAAAAGAACTAAAACAAAATTCCGAAAGTTCGAACCTACATCATATAGGTTAAGCACTTAGAGTCTTATTAACTCAACTATTGCCGCTCAGAGATGTGAAACTTTCAAAGACTTATAAGCTAAACATTCAATTCACAGAGGCTTGAGAAATAGGACCTATTATTTAGACAAGAAGCTGTTTGGGTTTAAGGCTACATGCTTACCAAGTTTTGTTCAAACTGGAGATACTGTCCATGTAAGTGATAGCTTAACATGTTACTTTTACTTTCCAGATAACAAACTGATAAGGCTACTGGCACCTGCATTGATTAGTAAGTAAAACTGGTGGCAATAATTTATAAAGTGGTGAAAATAAAAAAATTAAAAACTGATGAAGAGTTGACAATATTTTTAAATTTTCCAGAGCGACTCTTGAATGTAAAATATGTATATTAATATAAGCTTGTCATATTTGAATTACTGTTAAGGCACTCTTAAACTGGTTAATGTTAGAGTTAACAATGGGAGGAAGGTCAAACCCTATGCCCATTTATGTCTGTAGAGATCATTTTTGCTAGACATTACTAAATAATCTCTCCTAATGTAGCTATACAAATGATGGACTGTCCTGTTTGTAATAATTATGTTTATTTTTTCATATAGATTAGCTACCGCTAAAACTGATAATTAAAATTTACTAAATATTATAAAAATATAACTCTAAATTCCCAAACAAAAAATACTTACTTTGATTTGTTTTCTAAATCACAGGTCAAGGCTTCTAGTGCAGCATCAGAATTCTGTTTCTGGGCATCAGTTACCATCAAATTTGATGTATCATGTGCATCCATAATCTTAAAATTCTCATTTAATTCATCTATAATAATATTGTCGACGTCACGCATTTTCAATTCTTTCAGAAGTTTATGAAATTTTTCCCCATGAAAATAATTAATTTTATTAATTTCTGCTTCGTGCTTTGATAGAAGAGAATGCTTTTCTTCAGTCAATTCTTTAATTCTGTCTTTTAAATATCCATTTTCTTGTAAATATTTCAATTTTACATCCTTTATAATTTTTTCCTTTTCTAGTTTGAGAGAATTTTTCTCTTTACAAAATGTTTTCCACAACATATTTATATCTGCTTGATTTTTTCTTAAATTCTCAATTTGATCTATGATTTCACCTTTATGAAGATTCTTACCTTTCACATATTCGGATGAAATCTGATCACGAATAAAGATTAATTCTCTCTGCTGATTCTGAATCAATGTAGCAACTTCTTTATCAAATTTTTCTTCTACGTGCTTCTTTTTCTGTTTAAGTTCATGCAATTCTTGATTTATCATCACAAGTTCCTCTTTCAGATGATTCTGCATTTCATCACAGCTATCGTCTTCAGATAATGTGTTCTTTATGAACAAAGATATAAAACTTTCTTTGTCAATCTGATTGTTTTGTTTTAGTTCATCTTGTATCTTTTCTGTTGAAACTTTTTCTTCTAATTTATCTTTACCAAATTCCATATAATCAAACAGAATATGAAATAGACTTTTTGCAAAATCTTCAAAACATATTCCAACATTGTCCGACTTCTCTTTTCCAAATGTTTTAATCGTATCATTTATTTCATTTAAGCAATTTTCATTGAAATTCATATAGAACTGTTTTAATTTATCATTTAATTTAATTTCATATATATTTTCAATGTTTCTTTCTTGTTCTTGATACTTAGAAATTAGTTGTTTTACAACATTTTCCAGTTCCTTCTTCATATATTGAATTTTTAATCTAAAATATGATTCAAATTTCTTAAAATTTTCTTCGTTTAAATCGCACGTTGCATTTTTAATGTGAGCAATATCTTTCGTACTATTAAAATTTTGTACACTTGATGATTTCGTTATTTTATCAGGAGCAATGTTACTTTCTTCATCAGTCATCTCTTCACTATCTGATACCTAATTTGAGAGAGAAGCAATTAATCACTCATACTTACTTTAGAAAAATTATTAATAAAATATAAGTAATACTCTGTTAAGGTATTTCCATTTTAACACAGATAATTTTTGTACTACATCATACTTTCTCAGTATAATATGGTTTCAAAGAATGACACTACTCGATACTGTATGAAGAATTCTACTACATAACTACTACATTATTAAGGAACATTTCTATCAAATTATCAAGAAACATATCTACCATATTAACCAAACACTGTCTGTATTTATGTGGATTACATTTAAATTTTACTATACGGTGTAAATCATACTCCGTACAAATAGTGAAAGTAGTGACTAATTTCTTTTTCGTTTGCAGGAAAATGAACCAATTGACAAGAAATGCCACTAATGAAGGAAGAACAGACTGATATTATTCTATTGGCATCGTATGATATCATTTGTATGAATAGAATAAACATAACTCACCACTTTCACCATTTGTATGAAGACTTATGACTCACCCTGTAGATATATTCCTCAAATTACATTAATTTGTCAAGTGCCACACTCTTTCACATAGCAATTGGCTTATTATCTTTGAATGTTTACTTGGCAACAATACAGACTAATCAATATTATAATCATTTGTAAGAATCAAACATGATCATATATCAAGTTACTGTTCTGTAATTTTATTCTTGGACTCTTTCTACACTGTGATGGCTTTTCTTCATGCCTGTTATAAATGTGACAAAAGCCATAATGGGATAGATGAAATAGTAAAGCATGAGATCATTCCTTAAAATTACTTATGACCTAACCTAGACTTGAATTAGGATCACTTGGAGCAATAAGCATGTTCTTTAGCCATAATAAATGTTCATACTTTTTTTCTTACTAATTAATTTACTAAACAAATTAAAAAATGTAATTATGAAATCAATATTCCTTTTTTTATATGTCTCATGTTAAAAATTTTATTATATTATTATTATAAATTAAATATTATAAGATAAAACAAAATAATAATACTTTGTCTTTAAATGATTCCATGTTCTCTCGTTCACATCCTTCTTCATTACAAATAGTACGATATACTTCAAATAATATGTATTCATTATTTTATGTCTCTTCTTCTTGTGTTTGCTTCATGTATGTGATCTTTAATGTACTGTTTCATCACTGAAAGAAATCAAGTAATAAAATATAATTAAAATTACAAGTAATTAAACAATATTTTATCCTTTCATCTTAAGTAAAAGATTCATTACATCTAATCCTTTTCATCCAATACAGACAACTGGCTTTTTCGTTTCATTCAAAAGATTCATTACTTATTTTGTTTTATGTATTTTTAGCTCCATTAAACCAGCTTTTTCTGTTATAATTTTCATTGTAGTCGATTATTTTTTTTTGTTGTAAGAATCTCAATTTAAAAAATTTAAATGATTTCTTAATACTAAAAAAAAAACTTTTTCTTGTATTTTTAAACTTACCATTTTTTTTAAATAAGAAATGTTCTTTGAACTTGTATCCTCATCTTCAGATCAAAGATTCAAACAAAGATCAAATTTAAATCAGACCCAAAGATGGAATGAGCGAGTTCAGAAGTCATTTGTCCTCTAATAAAGTTCTAACTTCATATTTTTATTGATTTATATATTCACACTTTGAATATTTAACAACCCAAATATGTCTGCCTGATATATAAAATGTAATCTATATATATATAAATGGACGTATGTGTCCCCTATACTTCACTTTTTAGCCAAAACTTCACATCGCACATGAATGGTGTTTGTATGTGGTAGTAGCCCCAAGTCTCCATTCGTGCACTATGGTATTGCGTCTCGATAGCTATAAGGGTGCGGGAGATATGGGCTTGAAAGAGGTTGACTTTGAAGATGTGTAACAATGGAAGTGTCAACAATGAAAGTGTTAACAATTTAAGTGTTAACAGTGGAACTGTTAACAATGCAAATGTTAACAATGGAAGTGTTGAGTAACAAAGGAAGTGTTAATATAAAGCGGCATGCAAGATTTACAGGCAGTTTTTTGCGTTTTTGCAGAAAATTGAACATATTTTTAGACTCATGTAAAAATTCTCTAATTAGTCTGGAAACGGTGGACCTAATTCTTGCATTCTATGAAAATGGGTAAGATTGGCTATAATGTAATTATCTTAATCTTCACTATCGTTACTTTTTGCCCACAAATAAAAACCCAGAGAAGCAGGTCCTTGCAGCTAGTAAAGAATAATAATCATTTAATAACATAGGAAATTGCTGGTTGGATGACCAAAGCAGTTATGGTAACTGCCTACTGTTTTAGGGGATCTAAGATGAAATCGCAGCAAACAACCCTGGAAATTTTTCAGGGGTAGACTGTCCGAAATATATTGACCCCATCACCTTACCAATCAACTGTCCCAGTGCAAGTCAGGCTGAATTCAAAACAGGTCTGTAAAATGATCCTCTTAGGGTTGGTAGGCAGGAAAAGTAAAAAGAAAAAATATAGGAAATTTATTTTTTATTAAATTAAAAACTTCACATAATTATTGAGGTTGTGTTATATATCTCAAAAATTAAAAGGCTTGTCTTACATAATTTTAATCTACTTCATGTAATAGAATAGAGTAATAATATGTAATAATTCCTGTCAAGAACCTATTATTATAAAGAAAGCTCTAAAAGGTAGAATTAAAGCAAGAATCAACTGGTGCATTTTCACTCCATTGTAAGGCAAGTAAGTCAAAGAATATGACAGATGTTATAAATATTTATTGTATTTTTCTAAATAACTCAAGCAACCAATTATGTATATGTACTCTGACAATTTTCAAGTATTAAAATTTGAGTGTCTCAAAAGACGAACATAACTCTTTGTTTAGGTAAATATTGATATAATATTCTTGCAAAAGTATAAGATAAAGCTTAGATTTAATTATATCTTAATGATTTTTGTAAAAATATGAAGTAGGTTGATGTAAAAGTTGGGGTTTTAACTCACTGTCATGATTTGTTTCTACTGAAGAATGATAATTAAAAATTTACATAATACAGTGGGTGATCAGTTAATGAACATAATCCGTTCCAAGACTTTGTTTGCTATCCAAATTGTTTGTTAACCGATTATCGATTTACCACAGGTTTTTATGGGAATTTGATTAATTCATTCTAGAGACTAAAAAATAAAAAATATATACTTTCTTACTACGTTTATTTATATGTAATAATAAAAATACGTATATACACAGTCTTGCATTTTATTAGTCATGTTTTTTCCATTTGTGGGGGTTAAAAAATCTGTCTAATGTCGATTGCTTTTCTCTCTTCTTCAGGATTTTTCAGAAGTAATTAAAAGCATTGTAATTGTAGAGATCCCTAAGCCTATTACCATCAACCTGGTTTGGATGCAATTCTAAGAACGTCATTCTGACATCATCCTACTTCAAAAAAGTATTTAATAGCAGATATTGACATTAATTCTCTTTTTCAGAAGAAAACATATCTCGCAGAGTTTCTTGGTGTTCTTCATTCAAGAGTTCTTAGCGTTCTTCTGTTGTCAGATCAGTTTCAGGTTCCATTATGAGCTCTTCAATGTTCTTTATTTCTCAGATGTGATTTTTGTTACTCCTTTAGCTGCTTGAGTCTTCTTGATAATACAGTATATCTTTCTTAGATAAGATTGAACTGCAGCCTACTGTAGACCTGTTCAAGCCATACTGCCCAGCAACATCAGACATCACACATCTGCCCACCCTCTACCTTTTCTATTGTACTCTCACCTTTCAAAAATAAAAACCGACGCAAAACTTAACAAGTGACCACCAATAGCCTCACAAATACTATAAAAGAATTCTTTCTGTCAGATAAATAAAAGGCTGGAATTATAAAAGAGAGTTTCAAAGTTTGGAGGAATACTATCTGATTGGCATATACTGGGGTTGAGCATCAATGTTGACGTTTCCCACACTCCGAAAAGCTTCAAATTGTTGCCTGAAGACAAGGGAATACCAATCAGTATTCATTATTTTATGTCGCTTCTTCTTGTGTTTGTTCTGTGAGGTGTTCATTGTCCTAACATCTTTTGTGAAAGTGTTCGTTATCCGATTTGTTTGTAACCAATCACCCACAGTACTTAACTCAATCAAATATTCTTTAAAAAAGTAATAATAATATTTAACTGTTCTGTTACTGTATGCAGAAATGGAGTCAATATTTAATAGAAAGCAATTGACCAGCAAAAGTACTGTGGTATTGCTAGATAAACAAAGCAGACTACAACAAAACTGACAAAAATATTACTTGCTTACAAGAAAACAATTGTACTGATATATTAAAAAAGTTTCAGATTTCCATCAATATTAAACGTTTGAAAAAATATACAGAAAGGAAGCAATTACATGAGAAAAATTAAAGGGCCAGTAAATAATTTACTATTGATCATACTTAAAATCTTGAATCATAATGAATTCTGACATCACTCTAGTGATGACTGGATGGTTGAAGCAATTGAGCTGTCAGTTTATTTCTTCAAAAACCCAGGATCCACTTTGAATGGTCAAAAAATCCTAGGATTTTCAAGGAATGGTCCATCCTCATTGAGCCCATTCCCTCACTGCCCAGCCACACCCACAATGGGTGGTATTAAAAGGACCCTTTAGTGCTCATTGACAGAAAGAGTAAAAAAATACATCCAAACATTCCTCCAGTGGCACCAATCACTGAAGTTATTTGAATTGCATCACTAAAAAGATACCCAAAATTTCAGGAAAATAAAATTAATGAATAAACAGAACTTTTTTAATTCTTCACAAACAAGAATTATGCTATATAGTTAAGAAAATGTTTACAACTTCCTTAACTAGATTGGCTTTGATATATATATATATATATATACGCAGGTGTGTGTGTATATATATGTATATACGAAGACAGGTTTTTTCAAGGTCCATAAAACAAAAATAAGTGTAAATAACAAAATGAATTTATTACCAAAACTTAAGTACAAACATGGCTACTTTTCGACGTAATCACTGTGAAGATTGAGGTATTTGTCATATCTGTGGATGAGCTTTTCCATACCCTTGTCATAGAATGTTGCCATCAATGAATTGAGATGGCCTTAACAACCTTGTTTTGAAGATTATCATTAGTCTCAAATCTCTGTCTTGTTAGCCACGTTTTCAGTTCAGGAAAGAGATGGAAGTCTTCACACATTAAAAAGCTTTAAGCTGGGTAGAAGTCTGAAAGGTGGAAGTCTTCACCACTTTTAAACACCCAGCATATAACCCCAATTTAGTGCCGAGTGATTTCCACCTCTCCTGAACAGCAAAAGTGGTTAAGAGAGCAGAGGTTTGAGATTAATGACGATCTTCAAAACAACATTAGGGCCCATCTCAAGTCATTAGCAGCAAATTTTATGACAAGAGAATAGAAAGCTCGTCCACAGATATGACAAATGCCTCAATCTTCACAGCAATTATGTCGAAAAGTAACCATGTTTGTACCTAACTTTTGATGATAAATTCATTTTGTTATTTACACTCGTCTTTTTTTACAGACCATTGAAGATTGAAAAAACACACAAAAATTACCTTTAACTTTCTTTAAAATATTCCTCTTTTCATTTAACAGTTCTTTCATTTCAGAAACTGAAAATCCATTGTTCTCTACATTTACACTTTCATCTGCTTCTTGTTCCTTGTTAATTATTCTCATCATCTGTATTTTCAGTTTATTTAATCTTTCAGAGTTTTCTTTTGTCCAACTATCAGTCAGATACTAAAATGTAATAACATTTTNAAAGTTTAATGAACATTAATTCTATACATTTTTTTTTTATAAAGAAAAAAAGAAAATGACTTAACAATTATATTACCTTTTAATGAATAAATAGTCTAGACTTATTACATTCAACTATGGTATGGTGTTAAATTATGTAAATTTACGTTATCTATATTCCATCTAGACATCTTAGACAATAAATACAGTAAACCTGTGTAGCATAACAAATAGCAAGTTTATAATAGAGGTTGCATTCTTTAAAATCAATGTCAAAAACATGACATTAATTACTGTGATATTGTATCTAATATGTGTAACCGTTCGTTAAAGGGTTTTCTAACCTCGATTTTCCGATTAGGATTCGTAGTTTAAGTATTGTTTTGGGTTACAGAATGAATTATTGTTTATGCTGTCCAGTCAAACATTGTCACATCATGATGGATAATGTCGTCCGTCTGTCATGCACTATAATATATGTTGTATCACGAAACGATCCGTTTATTTTCTTACAAAGAAAACTGACTTATTACTATATCAGAAACCGATATAACGTCGTTACATGTCAAGTCTTTCATCCCTTATTCGTAGGTCGGATTCTCGTTAAATTTAGAAGTAAAATATATTATTTTAAAGAGAAAATAATCTGAGATCAGTAATTGACAAATCATCTTAACGATGTCTAATGGCAGTCTAAAAATACTACATATAATATTTCTAATTTATAAAATTTCATAAAAGTAGCATCTAAGATATGTTTAAAATAAAATAAAAATGTGCTTATCACAAGTAAAATATATTATTTTATTCAAAACATCTGCTGAGATCAGTAATTGACAAATCATCTTAACGATGTCTAATGGCAGTCTAAAAATACTACATACAATAAAGAAATGTATAGAATAACAATAAGAGATATTTACAGGACTGTGCAAAGGTACTAGGAGACCCAGATGCAAGGGAGTCATTCATCTTTGTTCATAAAGAAACAATATTGAATAAATAACTTAGACATACAACTCTTTTAACCTTCACTTGTAGATGGCTTGAGAAGTGAAAAGGTGCTCCACAAAATAATTGAATATTTACATATTTGTAAAATATAATACATTTATAATAAAAATATGTGAATATGTAAGTCCAGTGTAGCAGCTTTGTTATCACTCTACAGTAACATAATTAGAATCAATATTGGAGGGCCTGAATTAGCACATACAAACCTACATTCAATTGTGCCAAGTGGATGTAGCTAATAGCACTGTGGATGAAGAGTAAACTCTTAGATATTATATATACATGTATATAAATGCATTTGTCACATTCAGATCGTTACCCTGTACTTATTTGATTTTTTTTCTTTATTTACTTATTTACAAAGGTAAGGATCTCAAGTCCATCTGGTTCTTGCTACTGCCACTCTTTAAACAATCTTTAAATGAAAGTCAAAAATAAACTGTTACACTTTCATTTATATCAAAACAGTTATCTATAAATCTTTGTTTTCTTTCTGAAAAATATACAGTACACTCTTGCAAATTTGGCTTCTCAATTATGTGTGATCACATTTGCACTTCTGTTTCAATGCAAATGTTATTCATATCATACTGTTTTCCCATTTACTTAGGTTTCATTTCTGTGTACAGTATTGCATACCAACATACTATTGAATATATTACTTGCCTCCAAAAAGAACCAGTACCAAAAAAAGACAGGTTACTTCATTTATTGCCATTAGTCCTATACAATTTCAGTAAGAACCCTCTGTGCAAGGAATGGCCAGATTAGCAATAGTCTAGTGTAGTTACATTCTACCCTATTTATATTATACCATATTTTTGCAGAATGACCAAGCATGTTGGTCTATCTGAGAGAGACCATGAAACTAGATATTTCTGTATGGTAAAAGCTGGCATGCCAGTTTAAGTGAGGTTCTACATCCTTCTCTAGAGGGCACATTAAAAAAAACAAACAAGTTTCGTCTCATAAAAACAAAAGTTTTTATTCTAAAAATTGTGAAACTCTCAGCATTACATCCAAAAACTAGAATTATATGTTTAATTTCTTTGTTTTGTCTTCTTTCTAATGTAAAATACTCTTGGAATTCCAAAACTGCTTTTTTAACACGTTAACTGCTTGTTGTAATATGATACTTTCCGTCAAGGGGGGGCCGAAAAATGAAAATTTGATATCTAATAATTGATTATAACGTAAATAAAAGGGTCGATATACAACAGTCAGGAGAGCAACGATAAGAAAAGTATATATAAACAAAAACCGGGGAGTCGTATGACCTTGAACCTGACACTTCTTTCTCCCAGGCAATAAATTTTACAACCCCACTGTAATTAGACGTTCTTCCCTACTTAAAAGTATTTACATCTGTGTGTTAAAGTATTTCACACTTTGTTTCGACTGCAAATGATGTTTTTTTTCTGTAAATATATATTAAAACGCACTTATATACTTTAATTTTTTTTTAATAATATTATTTACTTTATATGCGATAAAAGAGGATAATTAAACTAATTTTCGATATTTTAAATTATTTACTATTAAAATAAACCACTATCAGATATAAAATAGAGTTTTATTTTAAAAAAAAACTACGACCGCCGACCTTGTATCGCGTCACGACGCCACAAGACGCGCCGGCGGTCGTACCTAGAATCTGTTTGCCATATGACCGCCGGCGTTCGAAGCTAACTGAATAGATGTCCACAAGAGGCCAGCACTAAGCATGCAGAAAACGTCGTACGACGCCAGGAAAATTTAACCTTGAGTAAAATACATTGTTTACGTCTACCGGCGGTCGTATGGCGCTGTACGGGAATTTCCATTACGACGGTGCGCGCGTCGCTTGGCGTTATACGTGTTAAATGTATTTTATTGTTATTTGATTCAAAAATGCATAAGTAAACATACTAAATTTAAGAAACTTCCTGTAAATTATCTCAGCTCACACCTATTAGGCTGTGTTTAAAATTTAAGAGGAAAGTATTATTTTTAAGGTTGAGGTAGATGGTCAGTGTAGCCCACATTAACTAACTATCAATACTACTACTACTACTAATGTCAAAAAATCATTAATTGTTTTATTGTCTTGTAAATGAAAACTCTCTTCCTGATTTTAAGTCAGTCAAATTACAATGTTATTATTTTATTGTACTCAGAAGAATTCTTTAACATTTAATTAAAAACTAGTTTTGTTAAATCTGATTAGTTTTATATTTTAATCACACTTAACTGGCATGCAGGTCTCCCCCATTTTTATGTGGTGTACCAGTCATTCCACAAAAATACAGTATTATATATATTTTTATATAATTATTTATGTTGAAATATACTTATTCACATGAAATATAGTCAATCTTTACCTGAATATATCTGTTATGTTCTTCAGCCAGTTGATGTTTAATCATTTCTATTTGATTGATTGCAGTTTTCTCTCCAACAACTAAACATTATAATTTTATATAAATTTAAGTTAATTCTGATATTTACTAACTCAAACATAACATGAAAAATACCAGTTAATTTCTCCAGAGCCATTCTATGTTGTTCCTTTAATAATCCAATTTCTTTGTCATGCTTTTCAATAAGTATTGATATTTCTTTATTATTCTGCTCTATAAGAATTTTTTGCTGTTCACTTAAAGCCTCTGCCTTCTCTTGATTCATTTTTGCTTCGAGGTTTTTCAATCGAACGTGCTCCTCCTTTAAAAGCTTCTCCTTCTGACTTTTAAGTTGATAGATCTTTTCCTAATGAAAAGATAAAATATATTCTTTAAGATATTTTTCATTAAAATTACCATAAAATAATAATTAAAAAATATATCCTGGATTTATTTAGTTTATTGTATGTTCTTTGTGCACATACAGTTGTGCCTTGTATTTTGAATTTAATTCATTCCAGAAGGTCATTCAAACTCCAAATCAATTTTTCCCAATAGAAATAATGGAAAGCTGATTAATCCATTCCCAGACCGTACATGATACCAATTTCAATAAATTTAGAACAACAAATATACATAATTTAAAGGCAAAAATAACACAGTTAAATGCCCTAATAACAAATTAAAACATAAAAACAATAAATAAAATATGTAAATACAGTATAATAAAATAAAAACTGCATTTACTGGTTACATGCCATCAACTTTAGCATGTTAAACATGTCTGTCTGCCAGATCCACCAAACATGTGCCACTTTCAGACTTAAGGATACACTTCCTCTTTCACCTGTCAAAATTACAAACATCTCTCTGATTTCGTTGCTTTCACACACTTCTTGGATGCCATGGTTAACAAGCAAAGGTTACATTGGGTTGAACTGAAAATTTATACGTATTTTTAACAGCTGTCCTTACTTAATATAGACCTGTGATTTAATTATAAGAGTTGTGAAATTTAACACATTATTGCTAATCTGAGATTGTGTTCTTTATTTAGAAGCTTATTTTAAACTTTATTTTAAATTTTTTTACTTGAGGTATTGATTGAATAAAATCAAATTGTAATGTTTTCAAATAATAAGCATATCAGGCATATTACGCTTTATGAGTTTGGGATATAATGTCATACAAACTGTAAAAAAATTGTAATTTGTATGGGTAAGAAGCTCCTAAACTTCAAATGTGTCAAATGTGGTTTAAAAAGTTTCATTCAGGAATTTTTTAGTTAAAGGATAAAATATGTAGGGGCAACCAAAATCTGTCAATAAAGAAGAACTGCAGGAAGAAGTTGTTAAAAATCGATGAATAAAATACAATATATATAACCAAACACATCAAAAATGAAGCAATAAAAGCACTGTAAACAAATGAGCATAACATAAGATCAAGAGACAATTTGGATACACAACAGATTGTGCTTACATTTTGAGTGCATTTATTCAATATGCATGCAGTTCAAACTCCATGATAAAGTTTTGTCAAATTTAGTATTTGAACTCTGAAACATTCAAAGTTAGTCGTTCAATGTATGCAGTACCACTGTATAATTATGGCAGAAGCAATGTGGAAGTGAATAAATGTTTGCATTGTGTTTTCATCACAACAGTGACTACATTTATTTTATCATTGTTCCAAAAAACATAACTTATCATTAAAAATTAAGCAAAAACTTTATACATAATTACCTTATAATTCTGTTCCATTTGTTCAAATTCTTCTTCTTTCAACTTCTTCCAAGTAACAATAATATTATCCAATATACTTTGATGAGATAAATTAAGCTGATGTCTAAATTGAGAAACTTCTTCATAATGTTTATTCCATTTATTAATAAATTCTTGAACTAATTCTTCCGTTCCAATATTTTCTATACAATTTTTTTCTGTTCCATTATTTCCTTGTTCAAGTTTCAAATAATAGGCATTAATCTATTTTAAGAAAAAAAGAACATCTCAAATAACCATTATCATATACTATCCTTTATGATTATTTATTTTAATAAAATCCTATAATCATTTACACTTTTTAATTCATTTTTGATATATATGATTAGGAAAATGTTTTAAAAAATAAATAATATTAAATCATTAATTCGTTCCTTAATTCTTCAATTAATTAAATCTGTTTTTGAGAACTTATTTCAAAGTATATCAGCATTTGTTCAATGTTTCTAGAAGGACTTTCACTAGGAAACTGGCACCTATTTAGATGTTAGACATGTAAAGAAAACCGAAAATACTCCACATAGCCAGTTCATTGATCAAGTGGAAAACTCTCAACCAATTGCCAGCATTTGGTGGTTTAATACATTTGACCACTGGAGAGGGGAATGAACAATTAATTGTGATTCGTTACAGTGGAGTGTAAAATTAATAAAAAGTTTTAATATATAAATATTAAGCAACAATATGATAAATTTTCTATCAAGAAAGTAAAAGCTAATTAAATTAATTTACCTGTTCTTCATAAAATGTCTTCAATTCGGCCAACTCACACTTGTGATTTTCGGTAATTTTCATTTCTCTTGCTGAAAATTCTTTTTCCATATTATTTTTTAATAATTCTATATTCTGTTTATGAATGGTTTCCATATCATTACATAATTTTGAAATGTAGTTATGCACTTCCTTACTGAATCTAATATGCATGTCGGTGACAGATGCTTCGTGATCTGCTTTTAATGTTGCTGCCTGACCTTGCAATTCAATCTAAATACACAAATACATAAATATTTTTTAATTATTTAAGTAAATAGTTCTATTAAAGGCCTACCTGTTTCTGAATAACTTACAAAATGCATTTAAACTATTTCTCAAAGCAATTACATGTTTAGTTTAAGATAATTTTCGGAATAACTTACAAATTTTTCATGCAAATAACTAGTTATTTGCATGAAAAATTGAGAAATTATTTTGCCTACCTGTTTCTGATGGACATCTAATTCTTTCTGTTTAATGATTAGATCTTTTTCTCTTAATTCCGCTTGCAGTTTAATCCTTTCTGACGCCAAGTTCTCCTCCTGTTCTTGCAGCTTGTGATGGATCTCAGATAATTCTTCCTCCAGAATTCTTTTCTTTTTATGGAGTGCCTGTTCCAATATGTGTCTATGAGATAACTGCTCTTCGAGTCTGTGAAATTCATTTGTCTGATGTTCGAGTTCCTTTCTTAACCTTGCTATCTCCATTTCTAATAATTCTTTATCTTGTATCTGTTCAAATAAAAAGTGAAATGATAAAAAGTAAAATTCAAGAAGAACTTTATTTTAAAATATAGGATGGCTGAAAGTCAGTTAACCATTTTAAAGACTAACTAAAAAATATATGATTCTGACAATTTTATAAGTAAAAATCCATTCTAAACACAGTTTATGACTGATATTCACAAGTGTAACAAGAATATACAAAGCAAAATATGGTTAAAAAACTTTTAAGAACACTCTAGTCTAATTTGTGCAGTTCTACTTATCTGAAATAAATTAAAACTGATATAATTAAATAAATTCCAACCTTTTTCAAGAGAAGTTTCTTTTGAATTTGCAGATATTCCTGAAATATATCGTTCGACAGCAATTTTGAAATATCACCGTGGATGCTCGTGTGTTGTTTCAGTTCCAAAATCAAATTTTCATTCTGCTGTTGTAATTCATCCAAGTGTTTTTGTAAAACTTCCTGTTAAAATATTAAACATTTTAATATACTTTAATACTAAATTAGTAATATTTTTGCTGGAAATATTGATTCTGAAAGTATTTACAGACCATTTTCTTAATTTCAATGGTATTATATTAATTTTTGTCATGATTTTATTAGTTTAACTTGTATTATGGTTGAAAAGTTAGGTCAGGAAAGTATAATGATTCACTAAGTTGAAAGCTACACATTGGCAAACAGATGACCACTCACATCCAATTGTTGAGACTAATCCTTCACTTCTTTTATTTTGGACTTCTTTGTCATGCATTATGATAAAACATCACATAAACAAGGCAAAAAATTGCTTCTAGATCCATATCCATAGATCCTGGATCAATTTTTTTGCTTGTTATTGTTATGTTAATGATTGTAATATAGGCATTAAAGTAAAAATGGCTGTCCTGTCAAGCCTAGTCCTCATCCCTAACCACACCTGTTGTGGGCTTAACTGAACTCACAATTGATATGAAAAAAATGGTATATTAGTGCCCACAGGGTGGAAAGAGTTAAAAAGTTTTAAAAAACTATTGTGTCTATCTACTCATCACTTTTGTTAATCCTTCTGTGAATAAGAAACTTTTAGTTTTACGACTGCAGAATCTGGAAGAGAGAGGTCTTATACTTATCATTGTTTATTAAATATAAAGCTTTGTCAAACTAATAACTGCAGACAATCATTTTACAGAACATCAAAACATTAAACAACATATGTCATATAGCAAAGTAAACAATAGTTTTTTTCATTAAACATGCTTCCTACATCAGCTATATAAGCCTAAGCCATCTGGCTCCTTAAAACAACATGTATAACTGTAAACAAGTCAGACTCATCCTTTGTCTCATTTTTAGAACTCAAGCAGACTCATCCTCATTTTTAGAACTCAAGTCAGACTCATCCTCATTTTTAGAATAAAACAGGTTTAACAAGTGCAATAAAGGTATTCTTTCATTAACATGATTAATTAATCCCTCAATGCTATGATATGCATCAAAGTTGCATTAATCAAATACAGTATCTACGTTAAGTAAAAACAACTGATAAAGCAGTGCTAATTAGAACTTCTGCCGCATATATAAAGAGATTGCCGCAATTAATTTCGTATGTTAATCAAATTCTGCGTTAAGCAAGGTATATTTGTATTGTCAAACTTCAACATAATACCATCATTTGTTTGCCTCCAAAACTGGCACTAAATCAAAGGACCTTGAAGAATAAAAATTATATAAAACAATGAGGTCTAGATGTATATGGGAGTTTGAAAGTCATGTAATTTGGTAATAATAACTTTTGCTCAGACAAATTGAAGAATTCTCTATTTAATACATAAGAGGGAGGTCTGTCTGTGCATATTCATTGGAACTACACTGAAGTTTGACTGTATTTGTAAATATACATTTTTTACATATAAAATATACATTTTAACCTCTTTAACACGACCACCTTTCGTACCAACAAGATTTCAGTCTTTTGTAGAAGACTGGAAAAATTATATTTTAAAATTTGGCTGCCTACTTCTCTGCATGTTTACTTAAGTCTCTTATTTACAATAGCATTGGTAAAATCATGTTTTAAGAACTAGCAAGAATAACCATGAATTGGTTACCAAACTGACTGCATCTTTAACCGTTAGTGCCATACAGTAGAAAATCCAAAAGTTATTAATTTGAAAGTAGCCAAGGTTGGAGGTTCCTTTAACAGACCACGTTTGAAAGATTTAATTTCAAAGAAAAGATGTGTTGAATTCTGTTAATTTTGTAGAAGTGGTCACATTAAAGAGCTGGGTGTAAACAGAGGTTTTACTGTACACTTTCACATTTATAGCTTCTTCAGCTATTTTAAACAGAATTATAGCTTGATATTCAATATTTTAATTTCAAATGTCTTAAGCTAGGATTTCAGCAAGCATTTTAATATTTAAAGCTTCTTAGCATACATAAAAGAAAAATTACTTGCAATTTTGTATTTAAAGCTTATTTTAATTTATACAAAGTGATTCAAAAGCAAGTTAACTGAGTTATATTCTTAACATAATTTTAAAAACAATTAAAACCTGTTACATCATTATTCTTGATTCTACAGCTTCTAATCAAGCTGTGGAATCCATTCTTATAAATATATCTCAGTTAACTAAATTTAGGACTATGTATAAATTTGCTGCTTTGTGTAGTCTGTTACAATTTATAGGCAAGATATTATATAATTAAAGTATAAATAAAACTAACCTGCTTATCACTGTTTTCATTATCAAATAATTTCAGTATTCTGTTAAATATTTGTTCTTGTTGTAATAACTGCATTTGTAGATGCTGTTTCTCTTCTAACAATTCATGATTACTGTCCATAAGAAGTAAGAACTTTTGATGAATATTTAATACTTCATCTGACTCCCAACTGTACTGAATTTCACAAGTTTGAGTCTGAGGAATGTTTTGTTCTTGCAAGGCAGAACGTAACAATGTATTCTCTTTATTAAACATTTCCTGCATTTCTTTCATCTCCGTTCTCAAGGCAGATATCTCAGTATCAAAATTATCTGTCTTGTTAAAAGAGAGGGAAAGGTCTGAGATGCTTTCTTCTGATCTTTCTTCGTTCTGAATACTCGAAAGAGTTTGAACCTTATTGCAAGCAGACTGTTCAAAAATGTTTTTAACAACATTATCGTATTGATTCCATGCATACTTCAACTGCTGCCGTAAACCTTCCATCTGAGATCTCATTTCGTTCTGGTAATTTTCATATAACTCACATTTTCTTTTAAGATTTACAATTTGCACATAAAGACTTTCTTTTATTTTACTTTCAAGATGAAGTTTATTCTTTAAAACTCCTATTTCAGATATATAACTTGTCTGGTTAAAAAACTCTTTATCGTGACTAACAAAGTTGGTTTCCGAATCCAAGTCCTCATTCTCTTTACAAGACAGTAAGTGATCATATCTCATTTTTAAATCTTCTAAATTCAATTGTAAATCCTGATTTTCTATTTCTAAATTATTAATTTTATCTAGCAATTTACTTTCAATTTCTCCTTTATCAATTTTTAATCTTAAAAGAGAATCATCTATATATTTTTGAAGTTCTTCATTCTTTATTTCTTTAAATCTCTCCAACATTAAATATGGAGCAGGTTGGTCGGGTATATTTTCCTCTATATTTGTATTATTTTCCACAGAGCTACTCAAATGATGATATTCCGAGCTAGAACTTTCGACTTTTGATTCGCATTTCTCAGCACTATCCTCAGTGTAAGAAGTTTCTAATAAAGGAATAGTTTCTTCAATCAGTTCTTCCCTATCTGTAGGAATTTTGTTATCTGTACAAACTGAATTTGTTTCAGAATCTGCATAACTGCATTGTAAGTTATTTTCTTCATTTATTTTTTCTAAATTTCTTATTCTATTTTCTAATTCTAACTTCTCTTCTAGAAGTGCTTGGTTGTGTATTCTATATTGTTCAATTTCCTCATCATGTTGATATTTTAATAATTCCTTACATTTTAAATATTTTTCTTCTTCTTCTAATAATAATTTTTCTTGACGTTCAGTAAACTCTTTCCTTAACGTAATTTCCTTCTCTTGAAGTTCCAATTCATGTTTTTCTGTTAACTCTTGCTTGACATCTTCAATTATAGCTTTATACTTCCTATGTAAATTCTCAATTTCTTCTTTCAACACAGTACACTGTTCATTTACATTTTGTAATTGTAACTGAGATGAATCTAACTGCTGTTGCAATTCATTTTTCTCTGTGTGATTCTTCTGAATTTCGGCATTTAATTTTTCAGTTTCTTTATTTAATTCTTTGATTTGTAATAAAACTATTTCGTGTTGCTTTTGTTTCTCAATAAGTTCTTCAATTTTCCTGTTTGAAGATTCCACAGAACTGGTTAATTCTTGGCAGCATTTCAAAGATATATCAAGTTCATTTTTTAATTTTACATTATCCTGTTGTAAAATATCATATTCTTTCTGTAATTGTTCCCTTAATTCTTCAGAAGCTTGAAATTTTTCATTTAAAAGATAAATATTATCTCTATCTGATTTTAACTGATTAATTTCTTCTATAAGAAGAGATTTCTCCTGTTGTAAAGCATCGAGTTTATATTTCAGTTCTTCCGTTGAAGCACTAACCATTTCTAAATGTTCTATTTGACCTGCTTGCAGTTTATTCTCTTGCACACTTTTACTCAATTCACCTTTAACACAGTCCAATTCCTGTTGCAAATAAATGACCTGCTTCTGTGCTTCTAGCAGTTCTTCAGCTGAAATGCCATCCTTGCCTTTCTGCCTCTCAAGAATTTCTCGTGCCTTAAAAATAAACATAATGTATTAATATCTGTGTCCCATTTATATATCATCTAATTTATTTTATAATATGATCTTAATGTTATATATTATACAAATGATTTACATTTAAGCTCATAACATAGACTGCATTTATCCTAATAAACAGAATCCTCTAATAATAAGTGTATTGTCTACTTGACTGAAACAAGACTTATTATAAACTGAAAAACTGCACATTCTATTCAGTGCTGTCATGTTTACAATATGTATGTGTGTCAAGCATTACAATGTTGCTCAAATAATAATAAAGTAAAATAAGTTATCAGAGTTACTCCATTAATAACATTGTTGGGCCTAACAAAAATATTTTGGAGGTTCTTCAGATTTTTGAAAATTGTGTGTGGGGGAAATGAATGTCACCACTTTACATTTAACTGTTGATAAATTTATAATATTTTAAAGAATACACATGTATTTATTTTAGATTCAATGGAAAAAAGTAGCTAAAACAACATATCTCTCAAATCACAGCTTTCAATATTTGTCTCAGCTATCATTTGATTCAGATATCATCAGTTAATATTCTGACTTCCCGCTATAAATGTTTCAAAATAAAAGAATAAAATAATTTAAAATTTAAATTTAATTGTAATTTAAAATTCGATAAGTTCAACAGCTTCAAGCTAAAGTTTGGAAAGGTTCCGACTTGCTCAACCCCCACCCGTAATTAATAGTCACCCTCGATTAATAGTTGCACCTAATTCCCAAGTAATAGGCCTTCTAATAGTGTCCTGTAATAAACAGCACATTGCAAGGTAAAAAAGTTATAAATGGAACACTGTTTATTAGAATAAGATATTGTATGCTTCTGCACCACATGTTTGTCTCTCACTCCCATCAAATTCACCATGTGTATGTATGGAGTCGATTCCGACCCGTTCTATTTTGTTTTGGGATTATTTTTAGTTTGTTATTCTATTTATGTTGGGGCATTTTATTTCGTTAAGGATAAATTGCCGCACCTCACCCAGGGAAAATTCTAAAATCAAAAACTCACATTACTATGACAACTGCTGACAATAACCAATTACATCATCAAACCCAAAAATGACATCTCGGGGAGACTTCCACTGAACGTTAAAAGAATGATCTCCTGCCTTAAATTGTCACCAAAATTATCATGAAAAATTATTTAAAATTTTTGTAAGGGCAATGACATGAAAGAAAGACAAGATTACTGGAATTTTAACAAATGTTAGCGATATAAGTATATAAATAGGGTTGACTGGGCATATTCATGTAATGTCACCACAAATGCATTATAAGGAGGAGGTGAAGCTAGAGACTGAATGAGATGGAGTTAAGGATTGAGCAAGGTTTAAAGAAAGACTTTCCAAGTTTCATTGACAATGTAGTTCTTGGTGACAGTTAGGTAAATTTAATTGTAAGATTACTTTGTGAATTTTCAATATAGTCAAATTTCAATTTTTGTGTCGGTTTGTGAAGATAGAAATAAGACAGTTCTAATTTCATAGTTTTAAATCCCCAACTATCTGGAAAGTTTCTTGTAAATTTGTTAAACTATAAAGAAATTCTAGACTGGAAATTTGAATTCCTATAGGGAATTCCATAGCGCCTAAAGAAGAACCACATTAGGTTTGAAAACGTTTGCAAAGTCCTCTGCATTGGAGAACACCAGTTACAGGCAGTGAAGTTGAGTAATTTGTAAATTTGTTTTTGATTTCAATAAAATATCTTTTACTATATTTTTGAATTTGCTTTAACTCTTTATTTCATTAATGTACATGTTTGGGCTTAGAATAATAAATAGAGTTTTCATCATTACATACAATAATTATTTCAGGTTTTTGACTCATTAACAATTTTTATTATTTATTGCCTGTGTAAAGTCCAGGCCTGGCACTAACTGAATCCTTGATTATGTAACACACCGTTAGGAAATTTATAAGATGTTACATGTAAACATACCAGTCAATTGAAATCTATTGTTATTAGCTGTTTTTATAATAAAACTATGTTATGTTAGGTTAAGTTTAACTTTATTTGTGTTAATTTTCTTTTAATTACTGTTTTTTTATATTAGTAAAAAGTCAATAAAAGTTTATGGTATGGTATAGTACAGATATAGTATTAGTTAGGCCCATTTTTAATAGTTATTCTGAAGCAACCAAAAACTATATTTATCTAACATCTACCAATCCCCATAGGTGCCAGTTGAGTCTACTTTCAAATTTATACTTATTATTTAATTTATTACCTGAAAGTTGCTACTATGAAAGCCTAAAATAGTTATTTTTTTTATGAAACTGAGATATATCTAAATTTTTTATTCTTTTATGTGTAAAATTCAATACAGTGGACCTATATGTAACAAGAAAAATGCATTACCTTATTTCTTCATAAAAAACTATTGCTTCAAGTAACATTGAAACGTCACATATGATACTTTGTAAATGTGTGTACATGATTAACAAAGTGTACTTGCATATTGGTGACTGGGCTTTTCCTCCACATAATGAGGCAAAGTTAAGAATTTAGGGTTATTTTAAACTTAGTTAAGAGGTAAATATTTATCCACCAAAAAATTTTCTGCTTGAATTTTTCCATTAGAGACTAAGTAAGTAGAAAAGAGTGGATCTTCATACATCTGTCTTGAGGTAAGTGTAATATTTAATTAAAAAATTCATTTTATTACACTTTATTACAGTGTCATTATTATTCTTTTAATTGTTTCTATTACTTTTACTAGCATAATTTATTTAAAAAAAAAAAAAAGTAATATTATGATTCATTTTAAAGCAGTCATCTGAATTTTTACATTAATTAGCCCAGATTTAAAATATGCCTGATATAATGTTACTTTCATTCATACTGTTTAATAATAATATTAAATTGGAACAGATATAATAATAAGTAAAAATTTCTTCTTAGTAGTGAGACTAGTAGAAGAAGAAACTTGATAGGAGCTACAAATAAAATCAAAACTGAATTTGATAAAATATTAGTTACAAAATTCAATTTTCAATAGTCTTTAGGTTGTAAATACAGATGCAAATTGACATATACTTACTTGTTGTAATTGTAGTTTTAATATGCTGATTTCTTGAGCTAAACTTTCTGCTTGAATGACAGATTCTTTCTGAATATTATCTCTGTTCTTCAGGGTAGCTATTAATCGGTCAGACAACCGATTGATGATATCATCTCGCTGAGAAAGAGCACACTGAAACTCTTGTATCTGTAATTTATACATGTGTAAAATTTTTAAATGATTGATTACGTTTAAATTAATTAATTTTTAGTTAAATAATATACCCTTTTCCTGAATTCTTCCATCATTATTTTGTAATCTGTCTCTTTTGTCTCATCAGATGATGTTGGTGACATAGCAGGTGAGACAATGCTGTTCTAAAATGAAAAATAAATAAATAAATAAGAACTTCTTAATACCAAATAATCATAATTAAAGTAGCCTTATTCAACATGGTCTACCAAGATCCTGCCCCGTTCTAAAGGCGTAAAACCTTTAAGCAATGAACAGTGTGCTGCAACAACCAACCATAATCGATCCTCTGTGATGCTTCTCAATACTGTCTTTTAATGTTGCCAAATTTGTGACGTCTTTGATAAATCTCAACCAAAAATCATACAGATTAATTAAGACCCAAGTGGTGAGGTGGCCATATGATAGAAAATGTATGACTAATCACTCTGATGTTGATAAAAATCTTGTCCCAGAAACTAGTGTCTAATATGTGGTACTCCATCTTGCATGAAACTGGTAACTCAAGGAATTGTCACTGTTGCAGTTGGAGTATGACAAGAACTGAACATCTCTCAGTATATCTGGTAGATCTCACACCATGTTATGGATCCATTAGAACTTGCCTCTTCAAAGAGGAACAATCTAAAGCTTAGTTCACACTGAGTGCGATTCGCTAGCGAAAGCGAAAAACAGAGCGAATAACCAGTCAAACATGACTTGTTTGACGGGTTATTCGCTGTTTTTCGCTTTCGCTAGCGAATCGCACTTAGTGTGAACTAAGCTTAAGGATAAATGTGATCGTAAACTCACACCAGTGTAACTTTAAGCAAGTGCAATGGAATATTCTGGAAAAGATAAGTGATTTTAGAGCAAAAATGAGACAATTACAGGTGTTCACTGTTACACAGAGGTGAAAATCTGCCTTGTTATCCCACACATTCTTCCATGGTCACAACACATCTCAAGGTCAGTGCTAAAATCAGTTTCTCTGTTGTATAGATAATAATGCCCAACTTTTTCAGTACTTTCCACACTGTGCCACATGACACACCCAACTGTTGTGATACATGCAATACCGAAACATGCAACATTATTCATTGACTCTTCAACATCAGATGTGGTAACATTTTCAATGACTTATGAAGGGATAAGTTTGTGTCTGACCAGGTTGAACTCCCAGTTGTCCAGTTTCCTCGGGAGAATGATAATTCTCCTGAGTGCTTACAGAGTCAATGCTTCTCAGGGCAAATTCTTGTAACAGTAAAATCTCCTAAATTCAACCATAGCATTGTCTTTTTCATAAAACAGCCACTGAAGAAATACAAGAAATAATTAGTACCAAAACTCATCACTATGGTACTTTTGGCACTGTAAGCAATGAAACAAGCAGTTTCCTTTGCATAAACACATGAGTTACAGTCAAATATTATTATTAGTTATGATGACCATCATAGCAAATAAGAATGATATTCAATAATTGCAGTCACTTTCATACTCAGAAATTGGCTGTAACCAATGTATTTATGCAAGAAAACTGCTTTTTCATTGTTTATAGTGCCAAAAGAACCACAGCGATGAATTTTGATACTAATTATTTTTCTGAAAATGTCTTCTGTGTCCTGAAATTTCATATCAGATTTAGACTGCTAAATCTCTCTCTAGACAATACAGAATAGGGGTATTTTAACTATAATCACCTGATATTTTTAAGAAATAAAAGTGTTTTCTCAGAAATTTTTGAATAAAACCCATAAAGAAAAATTATATTAGTTCAAATATTTTAATTTTCAGATTTTCTGCCCAATCAACACTGAGATTATAATTTAATCACATAATTTAATTTATTTTAATTTTATCATTATCTCTACTACTGATTAATAGTTTTTTTAAAATTGGAAATAATTTTTCTGTTATCATATGAATAACAACAGGATCTTTCTGTGTTGTTATTACAATATTTTTCATATTCTCTATCAACAGCACGAATAAAAATTAAATTAGTTTTCTCCAAAATAAATCATTTGAATTTAATAAAATAATCATATCTTATTTATCCTCATTTTATTTTATTTCTATGTAACAACTACGTGAGATGGATAAGACATTTCTCAAGACATGGAGAACTACTGCGAGATACTACTAAAGATGTACTGAAATAGAGGAAGGCTGCAAAAGACCTGTATGTCTGAACTTAAAGATACTGTAATAGAGTTATAAACAGAAATTAAGACTATAAATATGAATCATATTTGCATTCAATAATAAAAGCAATCATGTTGTAAAAGGAAAGACAGATAACAATTACATAACAATAAATACCCATATTACAACACAGTTCCATTTGAAAGATCTCCTCATATTGTGAAACATTATAACTATTTTTATAATAAATTTCCCAAAATGTTTGCATTTGCATCACCAAATTATTTACATGTCACCCCATATTCACTAAAATCATCTAATTAATGGAGTTACAAACCAAGTAAAAACCAAATATTTACCTTTATTCAATTATGAAGAGTTCACCACTGACTTTTTGACATACAATTAATGATCATAAGAACTATGCATTGACACAAGCAAAAGTATTTGAAGAGAATTAAATCTGTTTTCACATCTTTTAGTGTATCTTAAAACCCTATTTAAAAGCTTCATAATCTACAGAATAAACATACATACAAATTATAAAAATACAGTAAACTTAGCAGTTTGGTCCTATGACTTTCTTCTCTTTTCTGTTAAGGATGTGTATTATTGTCTGTCAGAAAGAACGCCTTACACCTTATAATTCTCGTTCTTTAAGATCAGTCTTATTTACACACATTCTTTTACAAATTATGTACATAAGAACATATAAAACTGAGTATATCTCTTCAGTTTAGTAGAAGGGTAAAACTCCTTCTTCCCTCTGATTCTCGTCTTTTAAAGGATTTAGTGCAGGGCTGTCCAACCTATGGCCTAGCACTGTGATGAATGCAGCCCAGCATAAACTTGTAAACTTCCTTAAAACACTGAGAGAGTCTTTTAGTCTTTAAAATATACATTGAGCACATTTTCTAGTAAAGCTGCTTTCTTAAGAGACAGTTAAGCTATTTCTGTTTTAAGTTAACTGCTGTAGGACTAGTGCTGCAAGATTCACAAATGCTAAAGATACAAGTTAAGATGGCTGCTACCATAAATTATATGCATATTATGTACTGAATCTCAAATGAAAAGATTTGGCTACTGTGTGCCAAAATGGCTACCCTTTTTTTTAGTTTGGTGCACAAAAAATCATTTGGCAAATTGGCTGCTTTTTGGGCTACATAAATTATTTCATCATTTGTTTCAGTCTAGAATAGTTAATCTACTCTTGTCATCTTTACATGTAGTTTAATAGTTTATATGTGACACAACTTTTTTCTTTAAATGTGGCCCAAAGCCAAACGGTTGGACACCCCTGATTTAGTGGATCTGAAAGTCAGACATTCTGGAGCTGATCAGCAGCACTACTTTTGTCCATCTATGCTAAGACAATCCTTGACCCCTTCAATAAAACCAATCTGGCCAAGCAGAAGACAAAATCTCTTTGTCTCTTTACCAAAACTGAGAAGCCTATTTGACAAATACTACAAATTATTGACAACAGAAAAATGACAGGACAAATACAAGCATTTTTGGTTGAACACTTCCATCATCTCTGTGTATGCTGACCATAGTTGATCTCATGAAGAGATACCAAATAGTTTAATCCATTTGGACAAATTATTTATATTATTGGACTTAGCAATGGCTGTTAAATTCCACATTAAATATGAACAATTTTTTGTTGATGGCAGATCTCATCCTCTGGCATCAAAATCGTTTGTGAAGAAACTTTTGCTAAATACTATTAGATGATGAAATTAAAGTACATAAGAGTAATTTCATGTAAGGAAAAATTCCTTATATGTTTTTATTTTTAATTTTAAAAAATGCATTTGAAATTTACCAAGAGAGGGAGCATAAACTTTTGGAATCTAAAGAATTTGTCTGCTAAAATGAATTGAAAAGAAATGCCAATTATTGAAGCTTAAAATGCAGAAGTTTTGGTGTCAAGCTAATTTTTTTATGTTTTGTGAAAATTAAAATATTCTCTCCTCTTTTAGACTCTCTTCTGATATATTAGAGAGGTTGAGGCAGACGTTTTAAACGTGTAAACGTGTAGGACAGATGTTGAGTGCCGCTTTCCCGTAAGCCTAGAAGTTTGACGATGGTGTTTGGAATGTCGAGCGTGATTCCACCGACTATCCAAACACCATTGTCAAACTTTTAGGCTTACGGGAAAGCGGCGTCGAACGTCCGACCTACACGTTTACATGTTTAAAACGTCTGCCTCAATCTCTCTATTTCTAAAGTGAAACATGGATGAGAAAAGCAGGGAAAAAATTATATTTTCAAGAAATGTATCCCAGAATAAGACAATTCAAATGTCATCAGAATAAAAAAATTGTGGCAGGAACAGCATAGAATGTGCCAAAAAGCATTGCCCATACAAGAAACATCTTGATAGCAATATTTATAAATAAAAAAATGAATGGAATATATCTAAGATATGAAAATGGCTGGTAAACAGGAGAAGATTCAGATTTAAAAAATTGAAAAATTTGGAAGACAATTGGATAAGTTTTAAATGACTGATTTTGTAAAAATTAATTTTATAGATCTATAATTTGTTCAAAATCATATATACATACAATACAGAGTGTAAGAGGAAAGATGGTCACAACTTTGATAGAACATGGCAAAAGTAACCATTATTGTAATATAATGCATGATGGAATGAAATGTGAACATGGAAACATAGTAAGTACGAGGAATGTGGTGGACCCATCCTTTGGCTCCCTAGATTTCCTGAGCTCTCCTGCTTCAATTTCTTTCTCTGGGGACATGTGAAAAGCCAAGTTTTCAAGATACTCATTGACTCTCCTGAAAAGTAGTCACGGAAAGCCACTGCCACGAAAGTACATAACATGCTAGTTATCTTCCAAAGGTAAGAGGAAGTAAAGACACTCTGAGTGCAGCATTAAATGATTTTTATTTTCGCTAGCACTTTCAATGAACTTGTGTTCATCATCATCAGGTGAGCAAAACTTTAAAAATAGAATATAATGTTCTAATTAGGGTTTCTCATTTCCCAGTCTTTTGCTTGTCTCGAGATTCCGGGATAAAAGTGAACTGTTTCCCGGGATCCTGGGACAGAATTAATTATTTTTAAGATATACAAAATATCATGAAATAAAATAATATAATTATTTTTCATTTTTTAAAGTAATTACACTATGTAACCTCCAAAATCATATTAATAATGCTGTGTAAGATACATATTAAAAATTACCTTTGAATTACATAGAAATTTTTACAAATAGAAAATATTTATTAAAGTTTGCTGGAAACTGCATACAACAATAACAACAACAAAATGCTTTAAATTGACTTGAAAATTTTAAAAAAATGAACTTAGATCAAACTTCTAACTTAAAAGATAATTTTTGTTTTTTAAATAAAACATAATACAAAATATTATTGTAAATTTTTATAATAAGATTTTAAAAAGCAAAGATGGTCAATACTTCAATCAGTCAATCATTCTTATTTTAGTAATGAAAAGTCCTGCTACCAAGAATGCCCTTTCCGATTTAATTGATGTTAGTGGAATTGTCTTTAATGCATTTAAGAGAAGACAGATCTTATATGTTTTTTTCACTTGTAGCCTGGAAGATTTCAAGTTCGTTTTCGAGACTGTAATACTTCTTTCGCTCTCTAGTATTCTTGATTTGTCTACCTTGGCTGCTTTAATAGCGGCATCAAGCTTATAGCCCAACAATTCGGCAATTCGTTTGGCTTTAATTTTAATAATCAGGTTTATGAAGAAAAACTTCATACTCGCAGACTTCATACTCGTTTGTATCCTTGCCCAATTTGCACAACCTGGCATTACACAGTTATCGAAGCTACCAGGCATGGTTAAAAATTAAGACAGCATAAGCACAAATTTTCCAGATATTACAAGTTCTGACAAGTAAAGAATTTCCAGTCCTGCCACAAATAAGCTACATACTGATTATTGACCATTTGTGACATGCCATAACGAGGAAAAATTAGAAAAACTAATAAGTAGGTTTAAAATTAATAAATACAAACGCATTCTGACAGTTTATGAGTTAATTATACTTTCTATTTGCAAAATTTCCTCAACCTTAACACAAAATAAGAAAAAAGTGAACTTATAAGAAATTTGTGGGATTTTGTGGGATGAAAAAAATTTCTCGTGTTAAAAAAACAACCGAGATCCCGGGATCTCGTTTGAGAAACCCTAGTTCTACTGTAAGTGGAACACATATTATTTAAAGTTATAAAACTGTTATGAACATGCTACAAAGTTTGGTTACACTACACGTTGTGATGTCTTACAGCTCATGCATGGATATAGATAGACCCATGTTAAAGATGTGATAGCAGATGTACATCACTACTTAACCATTTATATAGAGCAATCCATACACTGAGCCGGTCAAGTAGAATTGTTGCATGGATCCAAGGTTGTTGAAAAAAGATTCCCATATAAACACAAGTTTCTGGTCGCTGCAGCATCTGAGCAGCATTGTTCAAGCACCTTTTTTAGTACACTTTCCTTTTACCATGTCATCCTGGTGCTCAGCTATGCAGTTAGCAAGCATTTGTGTTGTAGCCCCAATGTATCTTGTGTTCACCCCCATTACAGGATTCTCCAAAAGTATAGCATAGATTCCTGATTTTTCAAAGATAAAGAATTTATTCTGATCATTTTAGATGAGTATGCACAAATTCAGTAACAAAGATAGGGGCAGGAGAAAGTTATGTTGTCCAAATATATGGCAAATGCATATGGAAACCTCAGGAACAGAACAACAACCCATTATGGGCTTAAACAATGCTACTCAGATGCAGCAACCAGAAACTCATGTTTATGTGGGAATCTCTCCTCACAAAATCCTTGGAGCCATGCAACAATCCCACACTTGACCTGCCCAGTGTGTGGGTTTATCTACATAAATGGTTAAATAGTAATATACTGTACATCTGCTATCACACCTTTAACATGGGTCTATATCAACTCATGCACTACAAGACGTCACAAATCTAGCATAATTGAACTTTGTAGCATATTCATAATGGTTTCGTAATTTCTTAATTTTAAATAATATGTGTTCCATTTACATTACAACATTATATTCTATTTTTAGTTTGTTTTCCTGATGACAATGAACATAAGTTTGTTAAAATCACGAGCAAAAGTAAAAAACAGTTAACACCTCACTCAGCGTGTCTTTACTTCCTCTTATCTAATATTTGGCATGAAGATCAAACTACATTGTATTTTCCAAAGTGTATACCAATCACTCCGTTGTCATTGTGATGCACGTATTAAAGTTGGTGGTCATTCATTTGAATAATTCTTGTAAATATGAAACATTATTTTTTGTAAATATCCGTGATTTTATTTTAATCATGGCCATTTACAAAAAATAATGACTTTTAGTTTTCCATGATCTTCGTACTTACTGTGTTTCCGCATTCATATTTCACATTCCACCATGCATTATATTATGACATTATTGTCAAATTCTGCCATCCCTCAAACTTGTGACCATCTTTCCTTTTACATCCTGTATATATAAACATTCAATGAACTAACCCAATTTTTAATTAATGCCAAACAATCTTCCGGATATCTAATTGTTAAATTAGTCTTATTGTAGCCTGATAATCTAGCAGATTGTGAGATTACTCAATAATTACTCAATACTCAAGATTTTAATGCCTTCTGTAGGAGATGTGTATAATCTGTTTGAGACAAATTTATACAGTAAACTTAGTTGAAGATCTTTAATAACATGAAACATTTCTTTCAAGATTTTCAAGTTAATTTAAATTGTTTAGTTTCTCTAACATGTAGGGAGTGTTATAAACAATGCAACATTTATATACCATGTCAATTGAATGAATAATAAGATAATAACCTTAGGCATAAAAGAAAGTAACATAGAAGTGTTTTAATATCATCATCACACTCAATATCACTCTTAAACTTCAAATGACATTAAAAAATTGCTGTTTTGGAGCAACTTTTAGCTCTCAAACACTTCTTATATATATTAAAATTCATTTTAAAAAAAAGGAGGAAAGAATACATATAGCCTACAAGAGTATTAGAAAATACAGGGTCTTCCAAAAAAGAATGTTATCATTTTAAATTATAATAATTATGTTAATTATTACCAGAGAACATCGTAATGTAATTTAAAACATTGGAAAACTGTTAAGTTTCACATTTCCCATTACAATTTGTCAATGCATATACCTTGTGTCACAGGACATACATCCAAATGATACCCAAATTCCTCCTACACTGAATGTGGCATGTTCATCATCACTTCTCCCACAGCAGTCACAATTCTACAGCTTTAGCAGATTATTCATGTTGCAAAACAATGAGTGATTTTGACTCTAAAGTGCAGAACACAAAATGCCTTCTCTATTGTGGAGTCTCCATTTTCACTTACAGCACATCCTAGAGGCAGTAGATGAAAAGATATTTGAATGTAAATGGGAGGTGAAACTGAAACATTTACTCTATCAATTAGTTTATGTCACATACTTTTTGGATAATAATCCACATAATTACAGTAACTTAAAATGGTAGCATTAATTTTGGAAGACGTTATAAAACAATTTTTCTTGTGTTTTCTTACGTTAATGTGAACACAATTTAGAACAAATTTATGTAATTATGTTGAAAGATATAATTACATTAAAACTCAATTTCCTAATTCAATAAGGAAATTGTCTTTAATTTCTTGTTGTTGTTTTAATTTAAAAATCTAAAACAACCTCTTACTTTGGCAATTTTCCAACTAAAGTTTCTTACTTAAGTTCAATCAACTTCAACTCAAATCTGATTGATAAGAAAATATCTAAAACAGATCTTGAAAAATGCTCACTCTCTTATATAATACTTTTCTAACCAAGAGATTGTTGTAAACTTTTAAATTATATTTAATTAGGATTCATAAATATTTTTAAGAATATTATTTCAGCAAAATACTCAAAACTTACTTCAGAAAGAGAGTTTTCAGTTGTGGTACTGTTGCTGTCATCATTAACAGATTCAGTATTGATGCTACTCCTGTCACCTTTGCCATCTAACTGTTTTTTCTTTGATCTTTCTGAACCATTCTTTCTTCGGAGAAATTCTGCAAACTGAAAAATTTTTGTTTGTATTATAATAACTATATATAAAAAACAATATTAATCATGCAGTTATTTATAATAAGTTATTCTTGACTGACTAACAAAAGAGTATATAATACTCTCCTACTTCTTCTGCAGTCTTATAATATGCCAGGGTGAATCAACCTTGTCACACAGGAATCATACATTGCTTATCAGAAATATGTGAGAGTAGCATTCTCTATTAGAACAGTAATAAGTATACGTATAAAGTCTACTTGGACTTTGTTTATTAATAGGACTTATTATACTTGTGAAGTTTCTGATTAGCAATGAGAGGAAATCTTTGTCAAAAGTCAAAACAAAACATCTTTACTTTCACTTCTGTTTTGACTTTTGACTAAGATTTCCTCTCATTGCTAATCAAAAAATTTACCAATATAATAAGTCCTATTAATAAACAAAGTCCAAGTAGACAATGTACACAGAAATATAAAGTCTAAGTTTATAAAAATAAATTGTATAAGTAGACTGTATGCAAGCCATAATACAGTATAGAAGACTCACTGTCTTATGAGTCACAATTTGGCCACCATGATTATATGCATTTAGGCATGAGAAATGTGCACTAGAGAAATGTGATGCAATAAAATTTTTGCTGATTTGGTACTATTGATACCAGAAAGATCATCTGAACCGATAATCTCCTACCACCAATCATCTGAGATTTAGGTCTAGATAGGGCCACCAGACTCTCAGCAGGAGAATTTCTCTTGTGACTTAAATTTAAATGCCAATCATACTGTAGAATCTTGTTTTAACAGATCATTTGAGCTACCGAAAATTATCCATCATTCTGAGAATCTGTTATATCACAAACAATGAATTTCCCTCCAGAAAACACTAGAAAAAATATACATATAGAAGTACAGTATTAAGAATTCATGCATAAACCATAAGGATGCCGTTAGCTTATCAGACGCTTGGAGGTATCTTCTAAACAAAATAGATGACGATACCAAAGACTAAACAAATATTTTGTTTTATTTATTTACTTATTTATTTTATTCTCCATAGTTTCATCATTGTTGTATACTTTTACTTGTACCCTCAATTTTATAATGTTTATGCTTTACTTTTTCAATTTACATATTTTAAATCTTATTTGGAATATTATATTTAAACTTTAAAGAATTCTATTTAAAAGTGTTTGATCCTGAGAATGGCTACATAGATGGCCAAAAAATTTAAATATAAATATAAGTAGATGCTGGAATAGGCTAGTTCTTTAATGTACTTTACAATAATCCAGTTCAAAGTTAATATATGTAATGGATTTCCTGCTAACCCAGGAAAATATCTGTTATTCGATACCTTATATATAGGAAATACCTACACTTAAAATTATTCAGTCTTTTGAGATCTCCATCCTTATTTCTATAGAAACAGGTATGTTACAAGATTGTATATTATACCATATGGGTGTATGACAAAGCTGACAGAAACTGTATATACAGTAAGCATAAAAAGAGGCAAATTCCATATGCTCATTAGTGCTGCACTTGACTTCATGATTTGTTAAAGAATTGTCCATCTTAATTTGTTTGATGCTGCTTTCCTTCCTATTCAGTACAACTGCCTGATATTAGCAATGTCATGTACAGCCTGTTAGTTTATGCTGAAACTCATCAGGAAGGTCTTCATGACTTGGAAAGATTCGATGACCTCACTAAATTTCGACACTACACTAGGATCAGCATCAGAATGTTCACTAAGTGGCTTCTCCTCAATCATATCAGCCTATATTTAAAGAACTGTACAGTCAGCATGTTATGCTGACTGTACAGTTCTTTAAATGTACATATCCCAGATGTAACAAGTGCATCATCAAACTCTACAAATTCCCAGAAACATCCAATATTAATTAAATATTGAAAAAATATGAAGTTTACAATAGATGGGCTAGAAAAAAATTCATTATTTCAAGTTATGGATCTGCTAAAAAGAAGTAAAATTATATTGATTTGGTGGAATCTGGGAAAAAAACATCCGTCATTTTGAGAAATCCATTGTTCTATGATCTGTTAAAATGAGATTCTACTGTACATCTCTTCAAACTGCAAATTCTTTAATTGGCAATTCTATTCTATCATCTCATATAGCTATGATAATGTCCCTGTTATAATCCCTGATTTATTTACATCTGTGAATAATCATCTTCAAGTAGTAATAATGATTAAGTAATCTACATTAATGATTAAATTTAGTAACAATATGAGGTATAAGATTTAATACATCAATAATTATCATAAAATATTATTGTCATCAAAAATAAGCACTTTCAGCTATAAAACAAAACCAAATCAGAAAAAAATCAATTGCAAGGAAAGTGGAACTAATAAGATTGAAGAAGAAAACAGAGAAGCTCATTCTGAGTCATTCTTTTACTGAACTTCTCTAAATGTAATTTGTAAATCTTAATTAATAAATAATTAATGTTATTAACTGATTAACTACATGCTACTTAATTAAGTTTTAAAATTTTTAATTCAATAAAAATTAATATGAAGATTGATTTAAATTATTCTATTATGGGTTATATCTTAAGCAGGGCTGTGGAGTCGTGTAAAAATCTACCGACTCCAACTCTGACTTTTCCTTATCATCCGACTCCGGCTAAAACACCAAAACTCCACGACTCCGACTCCGACTCAACAGCCCTGCCAGGGCTGTGGAAGTCGCGTAAAAATCTACCGACTCCAACTCCGACTCTTCCTTACCATCCGACTCCGACTCCACAGCCCTGATCTTAAGTCAGTTTTTCTTGACCCATAAAACACACTCAACCAGAAAAGCAGGTAAAAGTTAACTACAGAATATTAATGCTATAAATACTTTATCATTTCTATTTATTTTACTGTAAACTTTTAAAAAGTGTGTCATAAACCAAGACAGAGAGATGAGAGTGGACTCAGGCTGACTAGTCACAAAAACCCGATTTCTCTATGAAATATATAAAATTGTATGACTAAAATAAGTAAAATAAATGAAAATGAATTTTTTATTTTACTTATTTTTTTATATTTAAAAAAGAAACAAAAACTGAGAAACTGGTCTTTTGTGTCTGACCAAATTGTCCTTTAGCATCTATCTTCATCTAGAACTGATAATAAATGTAATAAAGTATTTCTAATTTTACATTCATTTCCTTTCATTAACAAAGTTAATGAAACATAACTTCATTTAACTAAAAATATAATTAATATTATCTTATTCTTCACATATGTTAGTTTATATCAGAATGAATAATTGGAAATTAAACATATCAAGAGTTTTCCTGTTTGCTAATGTTAACTGAATGGAAACTATGCTTGAATACAAATTTTCTGTTTTATAATCTCATCATATTTATATTTTTATAATTGTAATTCATGGATAACTCAATAATCATGATGATAAAGTAGCAACCATTCTGGAGATCTGGGTTTGAATATAGACAGTAGACTATGTATGACAGACTCCAAGAGTGATAGACCACCTGGCTACTTCCATTGCAGTCTTGCCTAAATCTGTGATGGTCACATAATAGGCACTCTTATTGCCTTATGGCAGAAAGAGTTCTTAGTTATTAAGACCGTTTATTGTCCAACAATAGTGTGGAATTTAAAGGTCCCTAGCCATCACTGTAGCTGACAAGAACATTGTTTTATGGTAAAACTGGCCAGTGGCTAGCTTGGTGCAGCATGGTATTGGCATCAAATGTCAAAGTCAAAAATTGTTCAACTCTGGAGTTGTATCACCAGAAATGTGCATCTGTAGTTCAACACAAAGCAGAGCAGAGGGAAGAAGGCTACAAACTCCAATATTACTATGTCATGCTGTTACTTGACCATAAACTGATCCTTATTATTCAGATATTTTGCTATATCTACCAGTACTATATTAATGCATCTTAAAAGCTGTTGTTTAACCTTAGTACAGTACATTATCACTTCAAACTATCTGCTAACATTAGTTTGAATGCCATTTGAAGAGTTATTTTTGTATGTTTTATGACCTTATATAACTAGAATTTTCTGAAAAATTTTAAATTCCATTCAGTGACATAGCAAATTTTAAATTCTACCATTAAAGTTAGATCTAACTCAGCTATAGACAATGTAACAAACAATAAATTTCTAAGTTATAAAGTAAGTTATATTCATATAAATCCATTAAAAACAGATAGGAATTTAAAATATTATGCACAAAAGTAATAGTTTACGAGCTTATAGCTTATTATATCATTCAGGTTGAGGAATCAACAAACAGATACAGAAAATGATTCATCAATATAATATGCAGTATGAAAATAATAAAACTATAGATAGATTTTGATTATTTATTCAATAAAATAAAAGAAATTTTGAAAAATTGTATATTAGAATACAGAAAATTAGTTAAATTTATTAATTAAAAATTTCTAAAACTGATTTAAAACTTAAAGTTCACACGAAGTACAGTGAAACCTGCTAATATCAGTATGTCCACTGAAGGGATCAGTTCAAAGTGGTCACCTTATACAAGTGATCACATTAGCAAATTTCATTGTATTAAACTTTTAATTTAATTAAGGAAAACATTTACTTGTGTAAAATGTAATCATGTTAATTTACTTTAAAACAGGTGATTCATTATACATCAGATGGAAACAATAATACTTTAATATGTGCTTTAGTAACTAGATTTTATGCTCTTCTTTTAATTATAAAAATGAGATAGATTTAATCACATACAGAGTCTTCCAAATAGTGTGCTACCACTTAAATTATTGTAAGTTATGTTAATTATTATCTGAGAACATTGTAATGTACATTAAAACATGGAAAAAGTGCCCAAGTTTTACATTTGTCTATTATAATTTCTCAAAATGTGAACCATGCAATGCAAGATTTGCATTTTACGAATTCTTCCTATGCTCGCTATGGCATATCCTCTTATCTTTCCTCTAATAGCAGCCACAATTCTACAGCTCCTGCAGATTACTGATG